TCCGCGGCCAAGCGGCGACTCCTCCTACGAGGCTAAGCCTCCTCCTCTCTGTGCCTTTCACACCAAACTGGTTGCTCTTGTGTTTTTGATCAGGGGTGACAAAACGCTTATCCCAGCATGTTGCTGTCGATGGATGAGAAGCTCTGCTTGGCTGGCACGCTATGATTTCATATCCATTAAACAGTAACAAGGTGCACCTTTTAGATACCATGACGTACTAAAACTTTTTTTATTATAAGTATAGTTAAGTCATGGTAGTAAATTATAGATTGCCTTGTCTGTGCATTTTGAAAAAAGTGTGTCATGAGCTTCGTTCTAGAGGGATGAAATACTGTCTGGGCCATGAGGGCCAATACCCAGGGGCCTTGGACAGGCCCTTGACCACATAGCTTGATGTGTCCCAAATACTGAAATATTTAAATATACGTACAGATGTTTAGGTGATGTTTTTACATTTTTTATGTTGGAGTTTTACAATGAGTCCTAAAGTAAATACCTTAACTGAAATCCTGTCTTTGCATATTATTGGACTGTTAGTGTGTTAGCATGTTAGCTTTCTGCTGACGTCGTCAGCATACTTTGATGAGGGCAGAATATGGTCCAGTTACAGAGAATATAAATTTGGACTCTGTAGCAAACACTGCTTGCTTGTTTCCAGTCTGTTTTCACACATGTGCAAACTGAGAAATCTGAAAGAAATCCAAATAAGAGTATATATGCACTAAGAAATCTGATTATTGAGCTAAAATCCAGCTCTCTTTATCGGATTTCTTAATCGGATTTCTAGATCAGAGTATGCTGTTTACATGACCATTTGAATAATCAGATAACTGCAGAAATCTGATTATGATTGGATTAATAAGTGCGTGTAAAGGCGCTCATTTTTGGCAAGCTTATTGTTATTTTAGCTGTCTACTATAGCATTTTGGCATTTAAATTGAATTGAACTGAATATGAGCTGAATATGCAGAGTTTTAGCTCAAATTTGAAAGTATTTAAATCCCAATTAGTTGAACAGTGTTACAGCACCTCCAAGTGGTAGGCCTGTCAGTCAACAATCAAGAGAAGACTTTTCCAGAGTAAACACAGAGGGTCTACCATAAGATGTAAACTATTAGTAAGCCTCAAAAGCCAGATTGGAGTGTGCGAAAAACACAACTAAAAAGGTTCTGAGCAACACTTTATGGACAGATGAGACAAAGATCAATTTGTCTCTGAATGACTGGAAGAGTATGGATGCTACCAATAGAACTGAGTCCCTTGTATTAATTTATGTTGTGACTGCTGATAAAAACAACAGGATGAATTATAAAGTGTACAGGCCTATATTATCTGTGTTATCTGCATTTCCTAATGGTGCACTTTATGCCCTGCAGTCCATAACTTCACGTGCATGGAGTACAGCAAGGCCTTAGGGTGTCCTATTTATCATTTTGCCATTCACAGGGGTGCTCAGGAGCACCTTCATTGCAGCCTTTGGTGAAGATCACAAAGATGAAGACTCAGCAGTGGCCTATAACCCAAAGTTCCATGAGATACAAGCTAGTTCCAATCAGAGTAGAGGGATTTCTTTACAGCTGTCTGATAGACATGGCAAAGAGGAAGACATTCAGATGTGAGTACAAAATGCATTTGTTTATTAATTTAACTTGTCACTAAGCTGCATTATGCATGTAATCTGAATTCAGATACTGTAGATAAGCAAATTAGAACATGCAGAGCCTGCACGTCAGAACAGCCTGTCCCGAATGCACATGTTTAAACCAAACACCGTCAAAGTCTCTTGCCCTGCACGTTGTTGACGTCACCAAAGTCTAGACTTTGAGAAGGACCACAGGGAAACACCCAAGAGCAAGCAGGGACTAAAAACTGTTGCAGTAATGTCCTGGCAGAGCATCTTCAGGGAAGTAAATCAGAACCTGGTGATGCCAATGGGTACCTGACTTGAAGCTGTCATTGACTGCAAAGGATTTGCAACCAAGTATTAAAAAATGACAATTAAATTTATGATCATGTTAGTTTGTCCAGTTACTTTTTAGCCCCTAAAAATGGAGGTGAGCTATGTTTTAAAATGGCTGTAATTCCTACACCGTTAACCTGATTTGGATGTAAATTAAAGCTAAAAGTCTGTATGTTGAGCTCATATTAATTTTTTTTATTTCAACTCCAATCTGCTGTGGTTGATAGCTAAAAATAACTTTGTCCAAATATTTATGCATTTATGCAGAGGCTGTTAGTAACTGAGTAAATGTATTTACACACCACTGGTTAAGAAACACTGTTAGCCATTAAGTAAGTACACAAAAACTATGATTTCAAACAATATTTCAATAAATAATCTAGCTGTTAAAGACCTGAAATACTTAGGCTGTTGTACTGTAACTGATTTTAGAGAGAAAAGCTATGGAGCAGCAGATGTTGGCCAAAAGCTCAGGTGTTGGCCTGTTTCAGTGAGTGAGTCTGCACTGGAGTACATGCTTGCTCGCCACTTTGATCTCTCCAGCTTTGTTCTTCCTTATTGACTTCCATGCTGCCACCTGTGAGACCAAGTGTGGGATTCATTTGCCTACTGTAGTCAAAAGTATTTCAGGCTGCTTTTGTCTAAGGGGGAAATGCAAACCTATGTCAGGTTTAGCCAGGATTTCCCCAAAATATTTCACCTCCAGTCCTGGGAAACCACTGCTCTATTTAGTATGGTGCATTCCCCGCTCAAACAGCAAGAGAGGTCACTATGATACTATGAAAATGTATATTAGAGCAAGGAAACCGCACACTGCACATAAAACCCTCAGAAGAGCACATTTGTTATTCACCAGGGACAGACAGCACCCTATTGTCAGTGAGTGAGTATGAAAGCATATCAGTATCAAAGTTAAAATGAAAATGTAATATGTCAAGTGGAAATGTATTTGTATGTTTGTATGTGCCTTCCTACTCATATATGCAATGTTGAGCTGAAAGTGAAAATTCAAATTGAATACTGCAATTTTAATTTGCCATTTGGTATTGAAATTTCCCTTACACAAGGATATAGATGCTATATGAGTAGCTTTATTTAAATTAAAATGAATTTCCAGAACTGCATATTTATGCTCAGTGTTATTATTCAATAATTGTGTAAAAATAACAATTAAAATGTAATTTCTTTTATGCATTTTAAGTTTTTAATGATACTTTTAAATTGCTTTATCAAAGAGAACACCACGCTAGAAAGAGGGCAAAATTCAAATGTAAATGGTAAACAGCGCTTCTTCTCTTTTCAATTACGTACCCTCGCTTACTGCTCTCATTCTGTGTCAAAATGCCTTTGAAAATGCATTGACCAGATTGCATTTTAATTTTCATTGTCTTACCAACCTGTCAATCATCCTGTCAGGGCAGGGCCAACAGTAACGCTCAGTGGAAAAGGCTTAAAAACATGGCATCTTAAGAGTTTATAGCTACTCTTACATTAGCAAATGAGATGAAGAAGAGAAGAGCCACTTGTGATGCTTAATGTCTTTATACATGACCCCATGAGAAAGTGTTTAATTGAACATGTGGCCAAGGTTTCTGGCTTATCAATCTTGTTGATAAAACGAGGTTGAACTTGGCTTCCTTCTCGCAGCTTCTTTTTCAAATTTTCTGGTCCACCTCAAACAGTGCAGCAGTTACACTGAGCACCGTTTAAGGTGGAACAAAAATTGGAAAAAGAAGCTAACTTTAGCCTCGTTTCATAAACTAAGAACAGTGGGCGAAAATGAGGCTGGACATAGATTCCAGAGATTCCAGTTGATGCCATGCAGAGATATCTTTTACAAAGTGAGTATCAGAGGTGGACATATTGCTCTGACATCAGCTCACCTGCTAATATGCTACGTGAACTGTGGAAGGATGCAGAATTGCTAACACCAGCTAACGCTACTTTCCCAAACAAAGCCCCAGTCTGCTGATTTTATCAGTCTGCTAACACGATCAACCTCACTGTGTCACGCACACATACCAGCAATTTTTGTAATATTAATTTTTAAAAAGAAAAGCAGGACATTAAAGACTCCCTAGCTGATTTCAGATGAAATATGACAGGGTACTGACACAGTACAGCGGCTGTGCCAACTCAGCCACTCTGACGAGATGGTTGTGTGATTTACGTCTGCATGTGCCAGTACGATTAAAACTAAATCATTTTGTGAGTACGTATTGGTAACAGTGGATATTGCTTTAAAGTCAACCTGAAACCAAGACCATCACATAGAATCATCATATTGTACAATTTAAAAGAACAAATTTGCTCTCCTATTTGAGTGTTGATTTACTACCGGGTAGATGTGGGCCAGAATAGGGCCAGATCTTGGACGGCTTCATACCATTTTGCCTCATGTCTTCATTTGTGGGACGATTCTGGCATGAATGTTGTGGACCAACAATGTAGTTGGGCCTGACTGGGGCCAAATTTGGGCCATATCCTTTAGTTCTACACACTTTACACTGTGTGGGCCAGATCTGGGTCAAGGACCCAGCCGTATAGTGGGCCAGAACAAACCAAGGATGTGACCCACAAGTGGACCAGACAAATTTTGCTAACTAGGTAGTGACGTAGATTGTAACAACAAAGTCATAAGCTCTTTATATTTGACACTGACTTGCTCATTTTGCATGTAAGCAGTTTGCATGTACACCCAGTTACAAAGGCTAAGACAAAAAGACAATCTCCCTACTTTTCCATCCTGTCACATTTTACTGTTTTCCTGCTCTATCACTTTGACTCTGGGTTTGTTTATTAGCCGGTTAGCTGGTTGTGGTATATCAGAGCAGATAAAACGGTACAATACACACCAAACGGCTGTAACAAGACCGAAAGACTCCTTTTCTCGGCTTTGAACGGCTTTTTGTTGCTTTTACCGCTGTGTATATAATAGCAGCGCCATGAAATTTTACAAACGGATGGAATAACCGTGTTTCGCTGGATAACCACAGTCTCCGGACGCTCCTGCTTTGTGGATTCAGAGGCAGCCCGAGCAGCGCGGTCAGTGATTTCTGGGTTCATACGTCAGAGGCGCCGCAGCCAGCGAAGCACAGCAGCTGCAGATGGAAAAGCCGCCTTTCACAAACACAGCCATTAGTTTTGGCGTTAGTTGAGCTGAACAGCGATTTAAAATGCGTCTCTTTTAAAAACGTGGGAAAGTCCTCATCGTCTCTGACGGCCAAAACGGACGAAAAGGTAGGACAGACAGGCCGTGATGCACCCATCTAACAGCAGCTGTTCGCCAACGTCGGCTAGAAGCATCAGCTAAAGGCTGAAAATAAATAGGCAAATAAGTTGGTTGTGTTTTTATATCCATGCCGTTGTTTATAGGTTTAAGCGGCACGTGTGACATTGTAATCTACACATCTGTTATTCAGATGTCATGGAAGCTCCGGTGAAGGGTTTTTAGGGTGAAAGTAATTCAGGCTAGATTCAGCACATACTTCTAGATATTAAGCAGTACTTATTAGAGATGAATTCCATCATACTTATTGCCTTGTACGTGAGGTTTTGCATTTCCACACGTCTGTTACCCAGAGAATACGAGAAGCAGCACTGAGATTTTTGTTGATTTATGCAGGAATGCATGAGAGAGCGAAGGTGATCTATGTTGAGGCTGAAAGATGTAAGCCTGTGATGTCGCATGTGCACTTTAAGGAAGAATTCAATTGAAATGATCTCCTTCTTTAATCTGTCAAATAATAAGGCCTGAATTATTCTCCCTTCAAAGGAAACATGGAGAGCTATGAACAGTTCTTTTTGCGCAGTCTGGTTAGACTACAATCTGAAAGGACATACGACAAGAACCATCTCACATCTGGCCAATGCATGGACACCTCTCTCATCCGCTTCTATGGGAGGACAGTTCTGTCACCTATGGTGAGTACAATACTTAAGAGATATGTGATAAGCTCTGTAGTCTGAAGCATTACTTAAAGCAACATAAAATGACTTAGTAAGGTTAGGCCACCACAAGCCACCAGAACCGCTTCAGTGCACCTTGGCAAAGATTCTGCATGTTTGTGGAACTGTACTGGGGATGTGGAACACCAGCCTTCCAAATATATTGTCTCAGTTGGTATTTTGATTATGGTTGTTGAGAGTGCTGTCTAACACGTCAGTCCAAAATCTTCCATAGGTGTTAATTTTAGTTGAGATTTGGTGACTGTGAAGCCATAGCATATGATTTACATCATTTTCATACTCAACCGTTCAGTAACCCCTTATGCCCTGTGGATGGGGCCATTGTCATTCTGGAAGACATGGCATTTTCACTGTGGGATGAAGCTGATCAGTCAGAGTAACTTGTTTTGATTTGCAGAGACCCTTCTCTCTACGGCAGGGGTGCCCAATCTTATACACAAAGGGCTGGTGTGGCTGTAGGTTTTCACTCCAAACAAGCTGAAGCACACCTGATTCTACTTGTTTAATCAGTTGGTTTAAACAAGTAGAATCAGGTGACCCCCTGCTTTGTTTGAGTGAAAACCTGCAGCCACACCGGCCCTCTGTGGATAAGATTAGACACCCCTGCTCTATGGGGACAAGTAGAGAACATGGCGAAGGATATCTCCTCTAACCATCTCACATTTTTTCTACATCTCTGTAACACAGTGCCTGTGTTTTTTGCTCTCAAATGAGCATTTGTCTTTGTATAAAGGGGGTTGTGTGCTGCAACCATACTATAATATTCCTCTCTATGTTGTTGTGAAATGACTGTGCTTGCTAACACTGTCTGATCATGTTGTGCATTGACATCACTCATCAAGAACAGTTGTTCTTATGTTTTTCTTTGAGGACCACTTGCTCTTTTCCTATCAGAAATAATGCCTGAGCAACATGGTCATTGAATGTGTGCGTTTAACCACAATTTCCATCCTGTTGTAGACCCTAAATGCTTGTCAGTTTTGACTGTTCCTACTAAAAACTAGCCTGGTAATTTCAAACAGCCTCAGACAAAATGGCTCCACAGGCAAGATGGCAAGGGGCTAAGCTAAGTAGACACAGACTCAGATGGTAAAGTTTGCAGTTCCATTCATTTCTAATAGATTTATTACAGGTTTGTGGCCAAGTTAAAGACAGCAATTTACTACAAGCACATCAGCTTTTACTGAACTGCACTTTGTTCTTTTATTTAATAAAGATTAAGACTTAATTTATGTGTTATCAGTGTGTCTGTTTCAGTGTAAGGGACCATGGGAAAATTACAGGCCAAAATGGTCAAGTTAAAGGGAAAAATTGAGAGCTGTGCTGGACAGTGGGTCCCCAGGACCAGAGTTAAACACCATTGCTCTGTTGACTCACACTTTTGAATGCCACAAATTCACAGGGTTAAAGTTTACCTAGATTGTTTTACATTAAATGAAAATTACAAAATTTACTGTTACTGGAAGCAAATTTCTTTTTTGCATTCCGACATCTATTGCTATTCAAGTGAATTGTCTTTTTTCAGAAGGGAACTCTTTTCTGCTCACTGCTCAGCTTTGCTTTACCGCTCTACAAGCATGGTGTAAGAGAAGGGTAGGCAAAAAAGTGTAAAGAGCTGTGTCTTCCAGAGAGTTGACTTAATTGGCTTTTTTTACCTTTCTACAATTCGTGAAGCTTTTTCAAGAACATTCTGCGCTAATTTGATAGAATGTAGAATGTCTTGTTCTGCTAATTTTAAAGTACAACATTGTCCGTAGTATGACTAGTTGTTGCTGTGGTCTGAAATGTTTTTCAAGTATAATGTTTTGTAGATTGTGTAGTAATAAAGGTAAATTTGATTCCACCATAATAACAGTCGTCACAGTGTAAAATTGCATTCTACTGCTTAGGACTTATAGTTTCTGAAAAGTATGACAGATTTATGTTGGGGTTTGTTGGTTCTGCATGGAAGATCCACTGTCCAGAGCACAATGTACTAACCTTTCTGCTAAAAGTAGTAAAGCATTACCTGAATTTGAACTATAGCACCGACTGAACCAGCTTATTACTCCATTTAATGAAAATCACAAAATTAAATAATATTATGTGATTAAAATAATCAGCTGTCCAATATTAAGTAAAACAATGTTTTCAAACAGCATCCCAAATTCAAAGTAAACTTTCCATTAATGCTCTGATCTTACGCTGTGTTGATGATGGTTTATTGCTAAATTTAAAACTGACCTGAACCTGACAAATATTTGGAAAATGACGTTTGAACCCAATGTGAGCAGTTGGGTCCCGTTGAGTTCGGACAGATCTTTTATGCTCTAATATGTACCTCTGTCTATGTTTATGTCTAGCTAAGCGAGAAGCAGCGCAGGGAGATGGCTCAATACAGGCAGACAGCCGCAAGACTGGAGGCAGAGAAGCAAACTCAGTGTCGAAATAACCTCTTAAATCGGGTCCAGAAGATTCTGGATGACCGAGGAAATGCATTTACAGTGCCTGAGCCTTCCAAACCCTCAAACAATGTACTGACCAGTAACCACCTCGTGACTCCACCAGAGATTTTGAACAAAAACCCAGGAAAGGATCTGGAGAGGGATGTTGAGAGTGAAAATAAAGAAATAAGCCTACAGAACCTGCTGCGGAGGTCGCGAGAGTACATTGAAAAGGAATATGGTTGGCGAGGGTCAAAGGTTAGCAGCAAGTCACCTGTGTCTTGTACTGTGCCCTCAGAGAGTCTCTCAAATAAAGAGAATGAGAATGGTAGCCCTGTGCGTGAGACTGATGGTAATATATCTTGCTACATCCAGTACCATAGTCCCCTCAGCCCAGGCCAACTCAAGACTCAGCCTTTTAAGAAGCCTAAATCAGTAATTGATCCTGTACTTGGCCTTGACTCTTTATCTGGATGCACTTCGCACAGTCAGCTAAACACAGGGGCTAGTCTAAGCCTTAGGCCCCATCGTGGCCGCCCCCGTCCAGTGTCAACAGGTGACATAATTTTCTCATACTCTGGCAGAGCCAATGAGCCAGGTATCACAGCTATAGGGAGGTCTCCGGAGGCTGTGCTACCACCAGGCCTTGAGAGAAGGCTTCTGGAATTAGAAGGACTAGGCGGAAGTCGACGAGCCAGCCATTCTGGCTCCAGCCCAGTGAGTGAGAGAGGTAGTTTTATCAGTACACCAGATACAGGACATGACCTCTCAGAGACTGCATTTCGGAGAAGGTGTCACACATTGGATAGTAACCTGGGGCCACCTCATCAGAGCCCTCCAATAGATAGGAGCCAAGAGAGAGTTCCTCGCTTTATGGCAGGTGTTCCTCAGAGGACTCCCCCTCGCCGCTCCCCTCCTGCCCAACTCAACGCAACATTTACACTAGCTAGCCCCACTAGCCCAACTTCATCAATGCTAAGGCCTAACTTGATGAACACAGATCTCTCAGCTTCTTCATGCCATATCAAACAACAGCAAGCGACTGAGGGAAACTGCATAATCAGTACAACACTGGATGAGACCAGGACAGGTAAGCGAAGAAGAGATGGAGACAGATATTACAAGAATCAAAAGAATATTAGAAAAGTATTTCTGCTTTATATGTTCCGAACGTCATGTTATAGCTTAACAGGCAATGGTATACAGCCAACAACGGCAAAATTATAATTTGTGACTGAACATTGCCACTGGCGATAGCAGGATTTCCCCTTGCTGCTCCATTTAACAACAACGGAATATCCAGTTTGTCGTTGTACATCTGCCCCCCACATGGAAACGTTTAAGGGTGGGAAAAGGCCCGTGCCTGGTGTCGGTTAACCATGTTGCTGCAGTAACATTGGAAAAAATCGTTTACCTCCAGTTTTTAAAAAACACCATTAATGTATTTATTTATTTCATAAATTATTTCTAAATTAATAAAAGCCTTACCACAAATCTTAGGGAGGGTAATCATTGGGAGCAAAGGAAAAAATTATCTCAAAAGCAGCTCAGCAAATATGCTATAAAAGAGTGTTTCTTCATGCTAGGGACCCACTGTCCTGAGCTGTTTCAGCTATTCCCTCATCACTCCTAATCCAGCTCATCATCTGATTATAGAACCGTTTCTCAGCTGGATCAGGTGTGTTGGGACAGGAATAGTTGAAACTATGGAGGGCAGTGGCTTCACAGGAGCAGTTCAAAAAATCACTGGTAGAAAGCTACTTTGTTGTGTAATTGATATTTTATAGCACAGAATAAGTGTGTTGTGTGTCTTTCTCAGAAGAGGTGCAGTGGCGAGTACAGGCTATTGGAGAGATGCAGAGATGTGTGAAAGAAGAGCAGCATGCCTTACAGATGTCCCTAATCATGGCTGAACAAGAGAGAGAGCAACAGCGCCTTCAACAGGTCAGTGTGTGGAACTCCACATACAATTGCTTTTTTTTAAATAGTTTGAAAAATGGTACAGACTGTCCAGATTATGAGGTCTGTGAAATTGCAAGAAATTGTGACTGTCCTATACTACATAACATGCAACTACATAATGCAGAACTACAGATGGGGAAAAATGACCCCATTAAGAACACTGTCCATTTACTGTGAAGCTAAGCCATATCTGTGCCTTTTATAATGGACAAGATAATAACGAGTAAATCTACATACAGGGGAAAATAAACTGGAACAGCAGACAGTTTTGTTTTTATAGCACAAAAAAGAAATTCTTTAAAAGGGGACTTTTCATTCATTCTAAAATGCAGTAAAAACAAGAATCAAGAAAAACAAGAAAAAGATTTGTTAATTTTTTTAAACCTTTATTTAACTGACAAAAGGACAAAGTGATGTTTTGGCTGACCAACTTGACTGCACAATATAAACAAATTTTGAATTTGATGCCAACAACACACTTAATAAAGGTCAGGGGACAGGGGCAGAATAAGATTGAAACGTTTTTAGATATTCATGTTACACCATTTTGAAACATTCCACAATAAGCAGGGGAGTTGATAACAAGGGAGGTTATCATGACTGGGTATAAAAGGAGCATCCACTCAGTCTTTGCAAGCAAAGATAGGTGGTAACTTAGCACTTTGTGCCAAACTTTGAGAGAGAATTGTCAAACAGTTCAAAAAGAACATTTCTCAATGCAAAATTGCAAAGAATTTAGGTCTTTCACCTTCTACCATACATAATATTCTGAAAAACTTCAAGAAATCTGGAGAAATCTCATTGCGTGTCGGGGGAACATGTTTCAGGCTCCAGTCCTTGTGGGCCAAACTATTGCAGACTTCAGCACACTGCCTCCTTTAACACACGTGATTTAGCTCATCAGCTAATTAGCAAGGCCTTGAAGAACTGAATTCAGGGCGTTAGACGAGAGTAAATGCTTATCTCCGCAGCATTTTGGCCCGGAAGTTCCCCAGTTTCACATGCCTGATGTAGGGTAAGACCGGAACCATTGTTGAATGTGTGTGACCTTTGAGCCCTCAGACAGCATTACATGAGAAAATGTCATGCTGCTGTGTTAAATATAGCCACATGGGCTAAGGACTACTTTGGAAAACTTAACACAGTCCGCTGCTGCATCAAGAAACTTATTACAACAAACTCTATTACACAAGGAGAAAGCCATACATCAATTCTAAGCAGAAATGCCGCGAGTTCTCTGGGCCGGAGCTCATCTCAGATTGTTCGAAAGACAGTGGAAATGTTTGCTGTGGTCAGATGAGTCAACGTTTCAGCAACGACAAAAGGGACTACCCATACTTTTATCAGCGAAAGGTGCAAAAGCCAACATCTGTCATAGTACATGATGAATCAGTGCCCATAGGAAATGGTTATTAGACATGACAGAACTCTGCTTAACAGCAAAACACGCATTTAAACTCTCCAGCATGATGGCTAAAAATGTGTACCATTGCCTAATTCTAGCTAATAATCTCTACAGTTAGCATATTATGCTAATGGTAGCTAGTCAGTGAACAGCTTTGTGTTTTTTATGTGCTGAGAATGATCCACCACCAAAGTAATACTTGCTTAGGGGTGGTCCTGTGGGGATCCTGACAGATGAAAGTAAAAGGGGACTAACAAAATACGCAGAGAAACAGATGAACTACAATTTGTGAATGTAGAACTACAGAATGCACCTATATGGTAAGTAGAGCTGATAAAATATGTAACGATAGATACAAGGTACTTGTGCCTGATAAAGTGGCCAGTACATGTATATTGTGTATATATTTGCTAATGCTTGTGTCTTCTCCAGGAGCTGGAAGAGAAAGAGAGGCGGCTGAGGGATCTGGGTGGTGTCTGTGCTGTTGTGGGGGAGTTGGGGAGCGAGTGGAAGGCAGCTAGTGAAACTTTCTCCTCACTTAGCACCTCATGCCCTATATGCCCAGCTGAGATCTCACCTGGATGTACCACACCTAACATAGGTATTCCACCACCAGTGTTATAATAAAGCATAACACAAGATGTAGTAAAATAATTGCAAAAAATGTAATTTGATGGCTATATAATTACTTTGTGGGGCTGTCCCGAATACCATTTTTGGTCTCCGAAGCTTTGGCAGTAATAAACAGCAAACATTTAAACCTTCACTTTAAGGGGGAGGTCTGAGAAAGTCGTTCAGAAAATCCACGTCCGAATCTCCAGGCTAGCTGCTCTCCTCGCAAAGTGCTACAGCACTCACAGCATAGCTTCGCTCCATCTACCAGGCCTGCTGGCCTCTGTTAGCAGCAAGAGTAATAGCACAGTGTCTGCACAGGTTTCTTCTGAGAGCCACAGACATTACAGTATTTTGTGGTTTGCCTTTATTGATCGCCTACATTTAGCCAAAAAAGGGATATCTAAATCTCAAATTTAGAAACCAGATACCTACCCAATGAAGTCGAATATTTGGGTTCAGCCCTATTACTTCAATATAAATTACAGATCTAATTTAATTTATATTAATAGCACTGTGTGGCCAAAAGTGTGTGGACACCCCTCCTAATTGATTTTAGGTGTCTTAACTTACTACTAACAGGTGTATGAATTGAAGCACAAAGTCATGCAGTCTCTATAGACAAACATAGGCATTAGAATGGGAGCTTCATGAAATGGGTTTCAGTGGCTGAGCAGCTGCACACAAGCCCAAGACCACTATGCGCAATGCCAAGCTTCTGCTGGAGTGATGTAAAACACGCTGCCACTGGACTCCAGAGCACTGAAAACATGTTCTCTGGAGTGATGACACCCTTCATTGTCTGACAGTCTGATGGATGAATTTGGGTTTGCCAGGAGAACGCTATCTACCAAAATGCATCTGTAAAGTTTGGTGGATGAGGGATAATGGTCTGGGGCTGTTTTTCAGTGTTTGTGCTTGGCCCATTATGTGCTAATGCTACAGCATACTGTAGTGGCAACAGTTTGGGGAATGCCTTTTCCTGGTCCAGTATTACTGTGCCCCTGTGCAAGGTCCATAAAGACATTGTTTGACAAGTTTGGTATGGAGGAGCTCCGGAGCCCTGAACTGTACTGAACAACTTTGGGTTGAAATGGAACATCAGTTGTGAGCCAGGCCTTCTCATACCTGATTTTACAAATACTCTTTTCACTGAATGGTCACAGACACTTTATAAAATCTTGTAGAAAGCCTTCTCAGAGGAGTGGAGGCTGTTATAGCCGCAAAAGAAGGGCCAGCTCCATATTAATGCCCATGGTTTTGAAAAGAGATGTCCAGCAAGCTCATATAGGTGTGATGGTCAGGTGCTCACAAACTTATAGTGTATAGTATATAGCCATATAGTGTATATACTCAGGGATTTCTGTCACAGTACTCTTAGTGCCTGAGAATAGTGTCTATTACAGTTACAAGAAAAATTAACTGACATTGATCTTTGTTATTCCATTTATGTTCTACAGGTCTCCCCTCTCCTGCTACTTCAGGCATCATGACATCTTCTGTCCCACCTCCAGTCTACTTGTGGGGGCTAAACCGGGGAGTAAACAAATCTAGGAACAGACTGAGCCAGGTGTGAGAGCTTTTGATGAGATATATATGGGGAAGTTTTTGTGTCATCTGTAACTGTTAACATGGCTTAATCTGGAATGGCAACAGCATCAGTCTACTAACTTTAACTATTAGTGTTCTCAAAAAGAATATATAAATAGACTTGTTATACATTTTAGATGCCACTTTTTGTCTGTATGAAAGCCTCTGTTCAAAACTGTCCTTTCTACATGCAGTGATGAAGAACAGTTCAAGTATTGTTGTCATTCTTGGTTAAATTGCTGATTTCAGTATGTTAATATTTTGTCATACTTTCTTCCTGTTTTTTGGAGGTTTTAAGTCCAGAGCAGCAGAGGGCACTGTGTCGCCTCAGTGCCGTTGCTCAAGGTTTCCTTACGCGGCAGCTCCTGAGGACTGAAAAAGTTAAACACCTGCGTCAAACAGTAAAGGTGAAATATTAAGATATGCACATGTACTTTAAATATGTAAACTTGTAGGCCAGGTTCAGGCGGTCTGCGTGTTATGTACAAAAATTTAACTTAAAGCAATTAATGGCCCATTTCTGATTGATTACTAAAGGTTTGGCCACCTAGTGGCAGCCAGTTTTACATAGATTTTTAAAAGTAGATGTAAATTAGCAGTACTGTCTCAAAAGGGTGTTGTTGGTAGACTTCTTTAACAACAGATGCTACACCCTAGTTACATACAATGCTGTCAAGATGGGAGGGTGAAGGCTTTGAGTCACGTGCAGTCAGTCACCACATCCTTTCAACCTGCTCACACAACATCTTTGGACAGCTCAACACTTTTGGAGAACGCTTATATGAACCAAGCAAATTTTTTTATTGTTAAAAATAGACAAAATCTCTCTACTAATAGGTTGCCATTTTTGTCACATCATCAAATGGACACTCTTTTTCTTTTCCAACAGTGTGACAGTGGCAACCTACTAATTGAAAGATTGTGCCCATTTGTCATGTTATTAAAAATAAACAAAACTTTTCAATTTCATACACAATGTTTTGTTATGAAATATTGTTATATATTATTGTTATGTATTGTTATATATTGGACATATTGTACAAGTTTTAACAGTCAGTTTAGAGTTCCATTTAAATAAAGTACGCTACATTCACTTTTCCACAGGAAAGAGGCATATTTGTACCTTTTTATTTCAACGTTTTAAATAGAAAAATAAAATCTAAAGTCTGGAGGCAGGACAACATATATGGACCTAGTGCAGCTTAAAAAATATAATTGCAATAGAACATAGACAATTATGTTCCCTAAGGTGCTGAAGATGTACCACTCCAGTGACGGTTTAGTACCTTTTTTCTGGGAGTTTATCGTGTCAAAGTAATTGGACGGTTACAAAATTTTAGTTGTTTTGGCTCTGTACTCCAGGACGTTGGATTTGAAATGAAACAAAGACTGTGAGGTTAATAATGACAGCTTGACTGTGTAAAAAAAAGTTTGACTTTGCAAAGTCCCTTTTTTTACTCCATCACTCTGTGTGTTTGTGTTTGTGTTTGTCTTCGCAGGACACTCGGGAGTTCATCTCTTCTTTCCATAAAGAAGCACCGCAGAAAAGAAACACTCTCTCAGAGCAGGATCTTTCACTGCAGGAAAGAGTCAGAGCCCAGGTAAACAAAATTAGAAATGAAAAAAGGCTGGAATACAACTCCCAGCATCACTTGCAAAGTTCACAAAAGCTCAGCAGATGTGCTGTAGATTTCTGGCTGATTTGCATTTCTTACAGGCATGGATTGCTTTGTGATTGTGTGTTTTGAATCTGTCTCCTGCAGCTGCGTGCAGCACTTTTTGACATTCATGATATATTCTTTGAAATGACTCTGGATGAACGGTTGGCTCTGCTGCAACAGGACCGAGAGCTTCGTACAGAGAGGAAACTTCGAGAGATGGTAACCATGGAAACAGTTCTCTTGCATTTTCCGGCCAATCATTGAGCAGAATATTATTCTGTCAATACATCGTAAATAATACTCAGATTTAGTAAATGGGTTTATAATTAGGCCCAAACACAAATGTTTTTATTTTTATGTCATTATACAGTCATTGAATACACAGTTACAGCACTTGGGCCGCTAGAAATATGATCTTACTTACCAATAGCTCATAGTAGTGCTTATGTTAATGTGATATAAATAAAATAAAGATTTTTATGTGATCTTTGCTCTGTTTACTTTAACAACAAAAACAATGTGTAGTCATTCATAGTATGTTTCAGTTGCATTCACAGCTAACACACCATCAGATATAAAATCACAGTGCATTGCTTGTTTGTTTTTTTTTGTGTTTTTTCTACAGTTGCTTTTTAACCAATAAATGCTTACTATACAGGTTAACCACTTTACATGGTATTTTCTCAGGGGCATTTCTCACAGTACTTTGCATTATTATTATTATTATTATTGTTAATATTGTAAATTTTATCAGTCTTGGCAGGCTACAATAATAATAATAATAATAGTTATAACAACGTAGTAGTTACATACTAAATTGTTGATTGATATAATACAGAGGAGTATATGTTAAATAATTAATATATAAATAATATATTAAAAGATGTTATAACATGGTCATTTAAGAAATGCCCAAGAATCTTGACATGGCTGCAGAAAATCCATCATAAAGAATGGACAAACTTGTTATGGTGTCAAATGTGCCTTTACACATTCTTGTTGAATACTAAACTGTACCTTCTGCAATTTTGGAAAAGATCAATATTTTAGCTGAACAGACCATGTTAGTTCATACAACATGTCTATATGTAACTGTAAAATAGGAATACTGATTAGAGAAAGAAAATATTTTTGTATAAAATAATAAATTCGGAAGGTACATTTGAAAATCTACCCTTTTTAAAAATGCAAAAGTTAATGCACTAAATATACAGGACAATGCATGATGTTATTCAGCATAATGACTAACTGAATAAATTCCTTATCAACAGGAAAAAGCCAAGAGTCCCAAAGAGAAGATGATTTTGTCTGCTGCCACCCAGAAAGTTCTAGACAGGAAAAAGCAGAGGTGAGGAGATGTACCAAGCTTCTTTATGTATTGTTTAGTTGTACATTACAGTCTTAAAGGCAAGGCTGCAGCTGAGGTAGTAGAGACCTTGCTAGCTCTGGAATACAACATATTTCTTGACTTGCAGTATTTAATCCTTTTTTGACATAATCCTTCAAATTCTCAGGGTGCATGCCTAAGCCGAATGGAATTACTGTACCATTAATGTACTGGTTTGGCCAACCAAGGCGTTTGGTGTCTGAAGTTTGCTTCTTTAGTTTTGTGTTGGAGCTACAAGGATAGTGCAGCTGACAAGCATTGGCTTATAGCCTCCAAAATGTATGTACAAACTGTACGCATAAATCATGCACTTACCTCAGACTGATGTGTTAAGTAATCTCAAGTAGAACTGCTTATGTAATGCTTCTGATGCTTATATCCCATACTGTAGCACATACTGTTATTTATAGCAATGGAAAAAAGTAGACAAATTTCTGGCTTCAGTCTGCTACTGTTTTGATTCCTCTTCCTGAACCTCCTCAGAGTGGGTGAGTCTCCAGGTCAGACCAGAAGGATGCAACAGAAGCCCAAAAGCCCGCTTACCAACAGGTAAGAGTTGCATAGACGCAAAGGCCTGAGTACAGTTATGAAAATGAGTACAGAGTTAGCTGAATTTATGGATATAGTGTGCATGCAGGTGTCTCTGAAGTGGGGGTGTTATGAATATTCTGTTAGTAAGATACTGACTGATGGAATAACAGAATTATATTATGCATATTACTTTTATGCAGTCATTATTGCCAGAGTTACCTTGCTCCTAAAGGAATGGGCATTACATGTAAGTTAATTTTTGTGCAGAATATAATGCTCACACAAGTTGGTCTGACATGTTTTCTTCAATGAGGAAATGCAAAAAAAGTGCTCAAATAAAGAATATAAACAGAAATATTACAGTTGCACACTTTAACCAAGTTAAGTTTCCAAGGCAAGTCAGATATACAAAACATACACAGTTCACAGTAAAACAAGTTATACTGAAAGACAGACCAGACAGCAACAAACCTGTGATAAACAGAAACACATGCTACCTTTTAACATATTGCTTTATTTCATTATTGTTTCCCCTTATTTCATCAGCTCATAGAAAGAAAAACAAAATGTTTACAACCCACTAATAACAAATCCTGTGAGAAACTGGATACCATTCACTTTAGATAAGATGAGCAGACTTGTATTCACATTTTGAAATAACAAGTTAACATTTTTTTGGCTATGTGATAACTTTTCATAACATTTCCTTAGAGCTTGGTTTTCTAGTTTTAGTAACTTTGAATGTTAATGGGAAGATAAGGAAAATAGAAATACTTTGGATAATTGGTAATTTAACAAAATTCGCCTTCTCAGAAAAGCTCTTTTTACAAAGGAAAATTAAAGTATAACTGTTTAGCATTTTAAATATAAAATATAACTAATCAACAAGCATCATATAGAAAATTATTAATGGGGTGATACTTATAAGAAAACTTAATGCCACCACATATGCATAAACTCACTACATTACAGTGTAGTTTAGCTTAGACAGAAGGACTGTCACTGTTGGGCAGTTGCCACTGTCAGGCAATTCCACCAATTTTTTAAAAACCTGCATAATTTAGTCCTTAAGATGTAAAGTTAGTTTGATGTGAATTTTTTGTCTTGAATTTCTTGATGAACCAATTTTCTTTACAGTTGTGGTGATAGGAGCCAGGGGTTGTGATATCTACAACTAAAATATAACCATTTTATTAATTATACAAAACAACCAGTGGCTTTACAAGTGTCTTTAAGTGTTGATTGTGAAATAGTTCTAAATATGGAAGAAAAACGTTATCTTTAGGAACTCTTTTAACTTACAACCTTTTGCATGTTCCTCTTTGCCATTAATGTATTTTTAAAAAGTACATTTAAAGCCAAAAACCTATCTGAAATCTACTGTAAACCAATGTCAGTGGCATCAGGCAATATATTATTAACCATTTTGTGGAGTAACTTTCTGTTAGGGAGCTTTTGGAGGCATTAAACAGTTTGAATGTCTGGTTCCTGTCACTGCTGTTGTGAACAATTCTGATATCGACTCTCTTAAATGGAACGTTTCACATTAAACCACTCTGAATGACTTTGATTATATCTTAATGATGACTCAAAGCTAGTAGCAAGCAAAAACAATATTCTAGTTTGTATAATGCAGCGGAAAGAAGGATTAATACTATATTTTTTAATTTTACATTTTTTCAGCTCTGCTTTGTGTTTAACAATGATGCAGCACTTTGATAAACATTTGGATTTAGTCAAATTTAGCCAGAAAGGCTAGTTTTTATTTGCCTATAGACTTATCTTTTACTTCTTAATTCTGGTTTATTCATTCAGTGCAATTGCTATACGAGCCAAAATTCAAGATACCTTGGAATCCCAAAGTTTTCTTCTCTTTTTTAATAATGAATTTAATTAAATTTTTGTGTTATGTAAGCAGTGTTTAAAGCTTTGAAACACAGACTTAATGTTCCCACCCTCAGTCTTTATGTTGTTTATGTGAGGACATAAAAACTAGCTTAATTACATATTTCCCCTATTCAGCCTACAGCAGTTTAGTACAATACAGGACACCCAGTCAGAACAGAGCTTATTCACATTGATCAGTCTTAATGGCACATTAACAAAAACAGCTTGTTTAATTCTACGGGACAATGAGGTTGGAAAGTGGTCATGTAAAACTGATGCGGTACATAAAACCACACACATTATAAGATATGGCCCCTTTAACATTTGTAAGCAGATTTTTTTCAAATAATTGGATTGAACATGGCCCTGTCCCACATCTCCCACAAGATGCATCTGACTAGAAAAAATGTTAACCAGTAAGACATCAGAAATATTACTTATTTACTTTTGTTTTTATTGATGAAGAATAATTTCAGCAAAAGTTCAAAAGTGCTTATCTGCAATTGTATTTTTAGGAGTTTGCATAGGAAGACTCAAGAAGACAGAGTGAAGCGCTCAGACGGCCTGAAGAAGCAGCATTCACTTGGTTAAGGCGTCCTTTCTGGGTCTGTAGCACTACAGCCTATATAACCCTACTACTGAACAACTCACAACTTAGACCTCACTTTAACAAAAGCTAAATTACTGCTGCTCTCAAAACAATCTTATTCTGCCCTTGCTAACTATGGCTGAATCAGCTTGTCCAGCAACATAAACATAACATTAATGTTAATATTAATTAAGTCTTTATGTTGCCAGTAATATTTACAGTACTGAGCTACTCTGAACTCTCCACTCTATTTATGTGAAATATAAGCAAAACCAATAAGCAAACATGCCCTCTAACAATCCATGAATGTGCATAAGTGTATGCAGTTCTAAAACTGGATAATTAGGTATTAAATAAAGGACCCTTTTAGCTCAAAGGTTGCTCAAACATTGTCAAACCTTGTCTGATTTATTTGAAATTGGGCAGTTACTTTCTCACATATGACTCATTCAACTGTGTCAGTATTGGTTAAGAGTGAAGATTAATATCATATTAGGTAATGAGCATTACTGGAGTTGATGCTATGTAAATGTTGGCTGAAAACATAGACAGCTGTGCAGCCAACTTAAAAAATATAGTTGTCTAAACAAGGTTGTCTGCAAAGTCTATTGACCATATACACTGGGTGAAACACCATGGCTGTGAGAGCTTCAGCAACGTCACTAGCTTCAAATCCTGCAAAATCAGCTAGAGGAAGCACAGAGTGAGTACAAAACAGCATTGGAGAATAAAGTTAAAGCTATTATCAAGAAGCCGTGAAGGCAAGCAGCACTGAAAGGCATCCATCAGGGTCTATGAAAAATGACCACGATTGGGCATACTTATAACTCAGGACCAGATAGGTTTCATAGATCTATTCCATGTAACACTGTTCACAGTGTATACCAGGTTGTCAGTTTATGTACACCTATGTTGTACCTACCATTGACCATTTAATCAGAAACACCTATCATAGCTGGACATTGTAGTTATAAAACTGCTGACTGTTGCCTGCCTGTTTGCTTACAATTTCACCCTGTACCCCAGTCACCCTGTACCCCAACCATCAATGGACCACCACAGGACCACCACCGACCAGATATATGTCTGTTCTGATAATACACAATGCAAAAATGTATCATCAAAAGTCATTATCAAAGTCAAAACACAGCATTGGCTACAGGCAATCCTATGCTCCAAACCTCACTTCTTCCAGCAATTTTGAATAATCTCATCAACTATCAATTATTTCTTTTAGCTAATTATCAAGCTCTGCTCTAGCCTATACTTAGTTTATAATTAACTGAAAATGACATTTTATAAAATTAAATAACACAGAACAATGCAATTTCTTTGGGTAATTATCTATTTTGCCTCCCTTTCGCATCTACCAAAACAAGATGTTTTCTATCATCATAGCATATGCGCTCTGGAATGCAGCTATAGATAACTGGGCAAAAGATATGTACCATTTTGTTTTAAGTCATATCTTTTTGACTTCATTAATTGTAATCATCTGAATCTCATTTACAATCAGTGAGAGACATTCAGAGAAAAGTAAAAGTTTCTCCAGTTCCATTTTTACTGTAGGAACTCGCAAAGTCAGAGATCAGACTAGCTTTTTTTTCTTCCCCAAACTCTGCAGACAACTGACCTATAGGGAGGCAACATGATTAAATCAGCCTTACTATTTGCGTTCAAAAAAAAGTCAACACTGAATTAGAAGTGATGGTCTCTACAGTGACTTCTCACTCCCATATTCACAGTTATATGGTTTTGGTTTTTTATTTTGCACGTTTATAATGTTTTGCTTTTGTATTGTATACATAGCTACTGTGCTTGAATGGTTGTGAAATGCCTGTTTCACAAAAGTTCCAACTTTAAGTAATCTGTTACTAAACAAAAATGGCAATGCCAAGCCACCAAGAAGCCCACAAGTATGTCTGCTTTTATTGTTCATGTCAATAATGATATTGGCTGTTAAATATCACATAATAGTTTTGCTTCCGAAAAAAAGGGCAAAAATTATGTGCATGCTACTTGAACACATACTGAAATGAATGTCGTTTGTATTAATTTAATTTAGTCGTTTTGTTTATGTGGACCTTTCGGTTCTTCAAAAATTCTGTGTTCTGTGTTTGAAATGGCATGTTTCAAACTAGTAATGAAATATTTTTCATATTCTTGCATACAAAATAATATGACTGAAGCAGGTGGAATGTTCAGAAATATTCAGAAACAGTCCTGCTTACAGCAAAAAGAATAATTTGAAATGTTTTAAACGCAACTACCAGTCATAGCTCAGCACTCTCACAAACAGACAGACAGCCAAAACAGCAGCAGAACTGATTAAAATCTCTATTTCAGATGCAAGACATTTCCTAAGAAGTCAATTCTGTGCTGCTTTCTGTTTAGTGAAAGAACAGCTGCAGCTCACTAATCCTGTAAATTTCAACTGCTTTGCAGGGCTGGGGTGTGAGGCTATAACCAGATGCTACCTAGCAAAGTTAGGGGGAACAGCAGTGACTCCACTCGTGAAAAGGCTGCATGTAGTAGTTGTAGTTTTAGACCCTCATGTCTTTTATCAACGAGAAGAAGATAAAAGACAGGTACGCTAGCCTGTTGTTGGCTTATTATCCCTTTTCCATTAGCATACTGCACCAATAAGAAGCCCAAGAGATTCTTCATGAATTTCTGTTTTGCTTTTTGCAAAGTATTGGTTTATCTTCAGTTAGGCTAACACTAAGTCAGTTACAAGTTATTAATAAGAAGCCAATTTCAGCTTTTGAAAACGAATCAGAAAATGCAACTTACAATGCAAAAATTCAAAAATCTTCCAGTGCACTGGAGAACATTTTATGTTAAGACCTTAACCAAGAAACATGAAGAACTAATGTTCAACTTAATACACATTTAGCTAATTCAGCAGGTACTGCATGAAGTTTAGCCTGCACTCATCTGAAGCTTTGAATTGCGTATGTTTTATCAGATTGGGAAAGGGAGTGAACTGAAGCAGTCAAATCTTCATATGAAATGGCAGTGAAATCATATCAGTACCTGCAACTCGTAGGGAACGGCTGTACCAGCTGTAGGCAAACTAAAGTGCAAGTTATGCTGTAAAAAATGATTTGATGTTTTAGCTTAAAAAAAAGAAAATAACCTGTTAACTTATTATTTGAAGTTCAAGATGTTAAGGTATCCAGGTTACTGACTTTTTTTTGTCAAAACATTAAATCATTTTTTACAACATAGTTGTAATATGTGTCAAAATCAGAACAGTTGACATCCCAAACTGCTTTGGTCATTGTAATCAGTTTTATTGTTGTTTATTAGAAAAATAGACAAAAACCAAAATGATACATTAGCAGCAGTTATCCTAACTGACGTATGGTGAACAGTACTCAATTGCTGATATTTATTGATACTGTTCTAAATGCTCTTACACTGTTGCTGTCACAACAGAACCTTGTATCTCTGAAATGGTAGGAACAAACATTCTTAACCTTTATGCACATTAATGTAGAAAGATTTTATTCTAAGTAATTACAGCCTATTGGTCCATTCATCATGAAATGTTTACTTGAGGTAAAGGGCAGCTGGTGTTTTCAAATGGTATAATATAAAGGATAAAATGGAGTTGCAAGGTTTTGATATGGCAGCAACAATATGTTATAATTTATTTTGTCTCAATGTTTCATTCCTTGGACCTGATAAAAAAACTAAACTTTGACATTGCAATTCACCTTTTCCATGTGTTTGTTAACAGTCAAACAGCTAGACAGCACAGGATTGTTATTCCAATAATAGATGGTTGTGAAAAAGCTGTATAAATATCTGTTACATTGGCAGACGATGAATGTGAATGGTGCAGGTAGGCAGGGCCTCAGGAAGTGTACATCATTCTCTTCTTCTGTACATGCCCATAGTCTTTGTCTTTTGTGGCCATATGACCACCAAAGTGGAGTTTCATATTCACTGCATTCTTGGCATCTGGGTACAGCTAGTATTGATCCACGGGGAGAGCAAAGTCACTGATAATTCATATAACATTTTCCTTGTTTCTTTTTGGCTCCATGACATAAAACCCATCTGTAGGTAAAGCACAACAAGTGTACAACAATAAATACATTAAGAAATACATTGCACAGTTGTATGCAGAAGTTATGGCACCCATGGTCTAAGTGAAAATAAGTAGACATCCTCTACATTGGGCACACTTCTGCACATTTCAATGCACATATACTGTTTATCTTCTGAATAAAACATTTTTGGGAGAAAATTAAACATAAAATGTAACCTGTGCAAAGGTTATGCCACATTTTATATTATAAGCACATTTTACACACAAACATATATATATATATATATATATATATATAAAATGTGCCGAGTGTTCCCTCTAGAAAATCTACAAAACATGTATTCATGCTTTTGCATGACACTGTGGCACAGAATGACAGTGGCCTCTGCACATTTTCTCAACCATAAAAAATCCTTAGCTCAGAGGACATTTAACTGCATAATGTGGAAAATGCCCTGGGGCTGAAGCCAGGCTTTGCATCTAACCAAATCAAATCCACTTGTTACATTTTCTGCCTAATCAATTCTCTGTTTGCGTGGTCTGGATCATAGATTCAGCTTCATTAACTGGATCTGAATTTGAATGTGTTAGAGGAAGAGTGCAATTAAAAGGGAAAGTAACTGCTGATACATGGAAAAAAAAAAATTATGTATAAAAATAAAAAGACGAAGCAGCAGTGTATAATTTGAGCTCTGACTGAAGGATACTGACATTTTTCTCCGGGATACATTTTTAAAGAGGCATTTCATCAGACAGAATCATGGTGGGGAGATTTTGCGTGAGACATACTGCAGATTATCTGGACAAAATCAATCTTTCATATACAAGCCAGTCTCCTTCCTGGAAATCCACCCAGCAGTTGTTGTTTGTGAAGGTCTAACTCAGAATGGGGTACGAACTGATACTCCTCACATATTTTAAGCATCTCCTGCATTCGGGTCTTAAATATTCATTTTAGCCATCAACAAACTGGCAAACTGCTAGTAATGGACATTCATTTGAACTCAATGACCAACAACTAGATTTAATATGACAAGATAAATGTCCTTAGTGTGTGTTCTGATTGGTCTAAAATGATGAGACTTGTATAGTTATAACTAGGATGAACAATTAACAGTAGGTATTATAGTAGTGGAACTAGGGGTCACAGTGTCTACAGTGCAAAGTTTATTTCCAAAAAAACCTGTGAACCAACTGAGTTTTTATATGTAAATCTCTGAGCTCTTATATGTAATAATAATACTAGTAAAATAATGGGAAATCTGGAAGGGAAAAAAAGTTTTATTTGGGTAATTTGTTTGCCTTACAACACCCTGCATGTACCTCTCCACCATGAATGCAAAAATATACTTTGTTTCAAAAGCTAATCTCAGAGCTATAGTAAAAAACAGGGGCCCAGGAATTAAACAGTCTGTTCTTAACCATTTCATTTAATTGCTTCCTCAGATGTAGTTTTCAGAGGCATTCAGTGATTCAGACATCCGGTTCCCATCATCACCACTGTGAACAATTCTGAGTCAAAAAGATTCTCTTGACTGGAGCATTCTCTTAATGAATTTGTTTACATCTTTTCAACTTAATTATAACTTAGAGAATTAAAGATTTTTTTGAAAATCAGTAGAACCTCCTCTTTAAAATAACACAAGTTATTTTATCTTCATGTATTTTGGTAAACAACAGCCAATGAGACAAGAGGATGATTAATAGAAAGGTCAGAATTCAGTTTATCCATCTTTACAGTCTCTCTAAATCATCATCTCATAAACTGTTAAAATTCAATTAAGGAATGACAATGCTTAAAAAAATACAGTATTCTTTGTTAGCTTATTCATGGTTCTTTTTTTTAGATCCTTACTGGAGCTGTTAATTAAAGTGCATGTCCAACAGTATTTGGAAAATAATACTACACTGATCTAGCTAGCATAAATACAGAAATGTACAGTATAGTAAAGTTATACACCTAAAGCAATTGATCAGCCACAGTTTCCTCCACAATAGTCAATTAGCCAAGACAGAAATGCAGCTTCTAAACTTTCAGAATCCAAACCACGCTTGTGTTCATAAGAGGATAAAATGTATTATTATGGTTTTAATGTGATTAAAGGTTATTGTTATGCATATAGTGTTACATACCCAATTCAAAAAAGTTAGAACAGTATTATGTGAAATGCTAGTAAAAAGAGAAAGCAGTGAAATTCTGTTTGACCTGTATTAAACTGAAAATGTTATGATGTTTTACCTTATGAACTTTGTTACCTTATGAACATTGTTTGTTATAAATATATGCTCATTCTAAATTTGATCCCTTCCAAAAAATTTGGGACAAGTGCATGTTTATCAATGTGTCACCTTTCCTTTTAACAACACTCAGTAAATGTTTGGGGACTGAAGTCACCAACTGTTCCAGTAAAAAGCATATTAAAAAAAAATGATTAAAGCTTTAGCTCAGAGAAATCAGCAGCATCTCTGGATGTTGTTGACATAAGACTTCCACAGTGCATGTACAGTCTTAACTTGCATTTGTGAATGTAGTGATGGACAGTGATGGTGTTTTACAGTGGTTTGTCAAAGAATTCCCGACACCATGTGGTGATATCCATCACAGAAGCATGCTAGTTTTTAATGCAGTGCTATCTGAAGGATTGAAGGTCACAGGCATTCACAGCTGTGGTTTTAGCCTTAAATTGCCGCTTTTTGGAATGTGTTGCAGGCATCAATTTCAGAATGAGTGTATATTTACTGAAATAAACAGCAAAAACCCTGCAAAATTCTAAGCTGACAACAGAGTGTTAATGTAATTAATTGTATGTAATGTAGTTACAACTAAGGTAAAAAGGTAAGACTCAGGTTGAATGGTAAAAAACAACGTTTGTAAACATGGGTATAATAGTATCATGTACACCTTACAAAAAAACACTCATACACTCACTCACACACTGTACGAAAAAACCCTCATCCTTACTGATAACCTGTAGTTCTCAGAAATTACACATTTTAACCTACGACACTGATATAATAATGCATATTAACTAATAAAACTAAGCTACGTGGCAAATACAAGGAGAAAGTTAAGAGACCAGCTCATTAACAGAAAAGATGTACTAGAAATAAGGTGTGTGAAGAAAAGAATGTATAGTCTACCAGCAAGGTACTTTTTTTGTTTTTGACAAATATGAAAAAGTTCAACATGAAATTAGTCTTTGACTAATAAATTTGGACTGAAAGACTCAAGCGTTCACAGCAGTTACAGTTACTATTCGGTAACAACAAATTCTTATCCATACATGTCTTCCTTTCATAAGAAAACGCCAGCCGCTCTTTTTATTGTATGCAGATTTCATGCACAATAGAAATGGCCCAACATTCCTCAAATCTTGTCAATTTACCATAATTAACAAAATATCTTGGAATAAAGTCTCATTAGCTTCAACGTACATGAAAGTTAAGAACATTTTCCTTTTCCTATCATGTTTCCATTTTGTAGATACAAGGCTTTTTTGACTGCAACAATGTACTAGTTACCATATATGCATATCCTCTCATCATTTCTATCTTTGGTCTACTAGACTAACATACTTTCCCAATCAGATTTCAGATTCTCTTCTCAGCGGTCTGGGCTCCAAAAGTACAGTTTCCTGACTGGACGCTGTTTCTGAGACCAGTTCAGTGTTTGCATCCTCCAACACCACATTCTCACCAAAGAGGTCATTCTTTACTTCCTCATGCTCTTCCTCATCATCCATGTCTTCTTTATCCATGAGAGCTATTTCATTCTCATAACAAAAGGAGTTGGAGGCAGACATGATGTACTTTTTCTCTGCAAGTTCTCTGGCACTGCATTGTGGAGTGCTGGGAACCTTATAAGTGTTCTCAAACTTGGAGTAGTCCACAGTGTAGTAATTTTTCTCCACAGAAAGAACAGGCTCAAACCGGTGGCCCCACAAAATTTCACTAGCTATGTAAGAGCTGCGACACTGTGTGGTCATGGCAGTGGCTTCTACCATACCTTCCAGAATGACCACTATCTCAAATTCAGAGCTTTCCAACTCCTGCCTGCTCATGTCGTAGAATGGACTGTCTTCATCGATCTCATGAATGATAGTAATGGGGGACACCAAGAATATACGGTCAATACCAGTGTCAAAGCCAACATCAATGTCGATCTGATCCAGAGGTATATATTCCCCCTCAGCAGTGGTGCGGGACTTGAGGAGCTGTGCACGAACATGAGCTTCCACCAGGTGGCTCTTTCGCAAGTTTCCCACCCTCCACATCAGACACAGTTTAGTGTCCCTCATGGCGATTGTAGCATAATGGCTAAATACCAGCGTCTCGTTTCTTTTCTTGGGCTTAGCCATTTTGGCCATGACTGCACCAATGATGAATGCATCAATGATGCATCCCACAATGCTCTGGAAGACCACCATGAAGACAGCAATGGGGCAATCCTCAGTTATGTAGCGGTAGCCATAACCAATGGTAGTCTGAGTCTCCACAGAGAACAAGAAGGCCGCTGTGAAACTGTCAACGTTCGAAACACATATCTGTTCCTCATTGTCTAAGTCTCCATATGACAATGCAACCAGCCAAAACACAAAACCAAAGAGGAGCCAGGAGAGGAGGAAGGACAGGCAGAAGATAACCAACATCCAACGCCAACGGATGTCCACGCATGTTGTGAAAATGTCAGCCAGGTAACGCTGACCCTTTTCGCTCATATTGATAAACTGCACGTTGCAGTGTCCGTTTTTGTTCACGAAACGGCTCTGAGTTTGATGATGCGTGTGCACCTTACCCCCAGCATTACCATTACCATAGCCATTTGGCATGCCAATCGTGGCCAGCTTCATTCCATCTTCTTCCGAGGACACAATGCTATAGCGGTGGGCTCGCACGCTTCCCATCACTTCTGACTGGGATGGCTGGGCCACTTCTGCTTTGGAAAACAGTCTGAGTTTTTGAAAAAAGCGTTGGAGAAACAGTTTTGAACTCTTTCAGGGACCAACACAAAGGAGAAATTTGTAGTATGAATTCCTCAGAAGATCGCTGAGTGGTTGTGCTATTTAGCTTCTCCACAGAGGCGATACTTTGGCATGGGCTTCAGAGTCGGTAAGGATCTGTTATACGTCATAGGTTGAGTTTTCTGTGGAAAAAGATAAGATTTTAGAACTGTATGCTTATCTGTCTACAAATACATTCTATAAGCTCAGAATCTTTGTGCACATTAGCTCACTGATATATTGTTTGACTGATAAAATTGGTTCATATTAAGGTTGCACTTAGGGTTACACAAATCTACAACCAGCTCTAATGATACTTCTTATGACATTCTTTACACACACTGCTAGGTTTGCAATAACTGCTGGCCTAATTGGTATTGGTTATAGTGACAATTTCATATTGGTTGGGCCCTGCAGAAAATTCTGAAATAAAAACTATTATTTTATAAAACCAGCCAGTTCAAGATGTCTAATAAACCCTATTTGAATATGACAAACAGTGGGGAAATAATGTTAACACCACATGAAAAAAGTGTCTAAACTACAATAACAAAGAGAACTATGTAGATGAGTCACAGCATGTTCAGTGCCAATTAGCTATAAAAGGGGGCCAACAATCAGCACATTGATACGTTTTCAAAAGCAACATGAGGCAACTAAATATCTCAGCAGATGCAGCTGCATATCTCTGCTGTTACCTCACTAAAAGCTGCCCAATTTTATAGGATCCTTCCAATTGGCTGAGAAATGCACCGTTCGCTTCTCAGAAATCAAAGGATTCAAGGCTGCTTTATCCTTCCAAAGGAATCGAAAATCATGACAATATATATCAAAGGCAAAGGCAGACAAAAGGTTTCTGTCATTGATTAAAAAACTGTTACAACACCTCTAAAAACTGCAATTAATGGCAGGCATGGCATTCAGAAACTGCTGTTAGCCAAGGCCAATGAAAAAAGTTTCAGATGTGTTGCTTTAAAGCAAGGAATGGCTGAAGTAATTATCTATTTTTTAGCTAGCAGCTTCATGCACAACAAAAATAGATACAATCCAACAAGAACTTCATAGAATTCATTTACAAACTGGTAGTAATGAACCATGTAGAATCTAAACCAGTAGAGTGCAAGTTTCATCATGCCAACAAGATTTTCTAGCCTAGGCAACAGAATATGATGTTTTATATGGTGTAAAAAGCCATACTCTGACCTAGATATGCAGTTCTGGTTAGAGGATTTCCCGCTCTAGCTTGTGTAGTCAAGTTGATAGGAAAATCACATGAAAGTGTGAAGTGTGAATAATTTTAGGTTAATTTAGCAGTGACCAGCTGGATGTCGCAGTTTTCAAAGCAACACAGAGTTCCAGTAAGGCCAAATAGTGGATGCAAAAGTAAGTATACCAGGTACAAAAACCTGTTACACAATGATTTAATGTCAAGAGGTGTGATCTCAAAAGTTATGATATGTGACAAACAGTCAGTGCAGTGATTCAACAGTGAATTTGTTAAATACTGTGATGGCTCTATAATGTTATGGGCAGCCACCTTATAGGAGACATTAAGTGCAAGTGATTTCTATTGTTGCAAACAGTATCCCTTGATGACTTAAGCCTTCCAAGAAAATTGTATATTCACTTTCAAAGTTGTCCTCTGGTCAGTCTGCCCATCACTGCATTCATCAAGGAATTTACTGGCTGTGATTATATCTTTCTCACACCACGTTCTACGTTCTAAGACCAAACTCATTATTCAAACAGCAAATTTAAACAGCAGTAGCAATTAGTGGATTAATCAAACTATGTGATTATTAGTAAAATTACCAACTTTTGTAATAAGCTCAATTATATCAATGATAATATCAATCTTTGCCACTCACATGAATCAGCTGGTGAGGTAATCCTAAATCCATGTGTTTCCTGAGAAGTACTGCTCTCTGTTTCGGCTGTATGTTTCCACAGCACAACAATAGGCTTTCAGGGCAATGTGAACTCTCCATTTGTCATGGGGTAATTATGCCACAGTTGTGATATACTGTATGCCATTCTTCCTGGTCTGAAACCCCTCAGAAGTGACTTGACGTCCATTCTTATAAGTGATTGGCTGAGGAATTCCTGTGAGGGAAAACAAGTTTTGAAAGAGATCAGCAGTCATCTGAGAGGTAATTTTTCAAAAATGTCAACATGCAAAAACCTTCAAACTGCTGCCAATGATGAGCTCAGAGTGATATTTGTAAATATTTGCTTTCTGAAGTATATCAGTGCATCACCACTGAATTGGACACAGGTACAACTGATGAAAATGACATTCAAGGCTGATCTACATCATGCGTTATTACCTGTTAAATCCAGATGAAGTTCAGCAGAGCTAGTAGATCAACATCAAGCCTCTGCCTCTGCAAATCTTGATCAATGGACTAAAGTTGTCCTTAAGTGGAAGAAATTGAGATACTGATTTAGAACCAGGCCAACAGCCACAATAAGCCCTTTGCTATAGAAAACGTAACTGTGATTACTATTAACTGTTCCAATTTTAAATTTTTCCTTTATATCTTAGGTCTTTGATAAGGCTGTAGCTCAACAGCTAACATCACACTTGCATAAAAATCACATACATAAAACTGTTCAGTTAGGGTAAGGCCTCATAACAGTACAGAGACAGCAATATTAAAGTAAATATAACTCCAATTCCAAAAAAGTTGGGACAGTATGTGACAGTATGTGAAATGCTAATTAAATAAGTAAATTAGTTAAGATTAGTAAATTCTGTATATTAAATAAAAAATGGAACAGATGCCTGCAACATGTCCTACGAAAGTTAGAACAGCATGTTTACCTCTGTGTTACATCACCTTTCCTTTCAACAACATTTCAACATTTGGGGACTGAAGTCACCAATTGACCCAGTTTTAAAATCAGTTTTTTTTGCCATTCTTCTGTTATACAAGTCTTCAGCTGTGCAACAATACAGGGCCTTTCATGTCACATTTTGAGCTTCATAAGACACACATTTTCAATGGGAGACAGTTCTGAACTGCAGGAAGGCCAGTCTAGGCCCCTGCACCCTCTGATTACACAGCCATGCTGTTGTACCACATGCAATATGTAGCTTGTTCTTGTCATGCTGAAATGAGCCTGTATGTCCCTGAAAAAGACAGCATTTAAAAGGTAGCATATGTTGCTCCACTATGTGTTCAGTGTTAATGATGTTTTCACAGATGTGCAGGTTACTCACTAATACCAAACATACCCTGACAGACCCTGGCTTTTGAATTTTACACTGATATAATCTGGATAGACTTTTTCCTTTTTGTTTCGGAGGACATAACATCCATTATTTCCATAAAAAGGTTGACATGTCAGACCACAATACATGTTTACAGTGTACATTAGTCCATTTCAGATGAGCTAATGCCCAGAGAAGTCGGCAGTGTTTTTGGACACAGCTGGCATATGTCTTCCACTATGAATACTACTGTTAACTTGCATTTGTGGATGCAGCAACGGTTTATTGCCAATGTTTTTTTTTTTTTAAGTATTGTCGAGCCCATGGGGTGATATCCATTACAGAAACATGCAGGTTTTTAATGCATTGCTTTCCGAGGGGTTAAATGCATTCATTTGTGTTTTTTCTGCCTTTTCCTTTACACACAGAGATATCTCTGGATTTTTTTTTTGTTTTTAAGATATTATGCACTGTTGAGTGTGAAGCATCTAAAATCCATGTAATCCCTGGCTAATGTATAAGCAACCCATCATTGTTCATAAAGGTCTAGGCTTTTCCTGGATGCTTCCTTTATATCCAAGCATAACTGCATCACCTGTTTAAGATGTTTTTTGAACATTCCAAAATTGCCCCTGTCCCAACTTTTTTAGAATGTGTTACAGGCATCAATACCAGAATGAACATATATTTATTAAAAACAATTCATTTGATAAGGTAAAACATTACATATCGTCGCTGTCTTATGGAAACCATGCATCTCCATTTTTGTTGATTTTTAGTTTTCTACATCATTTCAACACCCCAGCATCATTTCATGATGAATGGACTAATAGAAATGCTTTAAAATCACTTGGAACAAAATCTCTTTACATTGACTTACATTGAAAGGTAAGAGTGTTTTTGCCTTCTCCTGTAAAGTTAATATTTTGGAGGTTTTTCATTGGACAGCGACGATATCTTGTCCTTGTATAATTTGGCTGGTTCACTATATTTTGTTTTATAGAAAGCAGCATGCAAATTAAATTGAGCTCACTCATAGCCAGGTTGAGTGCCATCATGCAGCTCTTGGCCTGTGGCTTAAAGAGTTGCTGGCTAGAGTGGCTATAGTCAACTTTACCCTCATGCAAGACTTGTCTGTCTGTGAACACCCACAACACCAGCAGCAACTGTGTTGCTCTCCTTCTGCACTGTCAGAACGCCCAACAACAAACAGGTTTGAGGCTCGAAGATGCCTAATTTTAGTGTCGCCCTGGTAGTACTTGGATAAGTACCGCTATACTTACATATTTGAGGTGCTTCATAAAACCTGTCATGCCTCCATGGTATGCCAGTCTTTTATTGCCAGATTTGCTCTGAGCATTTGTCTTTTCCTAATTTAAAGTGCTCCACTGATTTTTAAGGCAACTGTGCTTTTTCACCTTAAACAGCCATGTGGAAAGTGTAAAAAAGATGATGCTTCCAAACAATAAATACCAATGTAATGAAGGAATACTCAGGAATTTGAATTACTTGGGTCAGCCTTGTTCATAATCAAAAATGAACTAACCTGAACCAAAAATGACAAAAATCTGCAAAGCGATATCTTTGACATCAGCACTTGCACTTCGTTACATCACAAAAAAACGATTAGCTGAACACTCTGAAGTAGACATTTGCCAGCTTCTTGTTTGACTTTTCCGGTTCCACCTTAAATGATGCAGCAGTTGCATTCTGAACTGTTGCGCCATTTAAGGTGGAGCAGGAAAATTCAGACAAGCAGCTGGCGAAAAAGAAGCTGACTTCAGCTTAATGGAGAGTTGAAAGGCATGATATGAGGAAGTTTCTCTATTTCGGCTTGTCAGGTGAGTAATATTAACTTATTTTTGTGGGTTCAAATGGTCTTACCTAGAGGTTCTACTTATGGGTATGCCTGTAAATAAGTGCTACAGTTGAACATTTTGATAAGGTAGCACAACTCGTCAGAGCACCACCAAAGCCCGCTGTAGTTTCAAGTAGCTTAGTGACATCAAATTGATGCGCAGTAACTTTAGATTGCATGTAACAATATTAATAGTAAGAATCTTTAACGACCTTGAAATTCAGAGGATCCAGTGGTATTCAGGAGAAAAATGTACACAGAACAAAACATATTCTGAACATTTTTGTCTACCACAGGGTGCGATAGAGGCAATTTTCCGAAAACCCCATTCATTCTGGCCGTAGAGAAATGGAGCTTAGACCTGGAGTTCTTAATATGGGCATAACGTGGACTACAGAATGATGCACGACTACAATGGTCTATGAGGCAAGGTTAAAAAGTCTTAAAGTGCCTAAAATAAATTCAAAAGCACTTACAAATATAACAGCGGTCTTAAAATGTTTATGCTGTTCTGTGTTTGGGAAATTAGTGCAGTCTTCTATTAAAAAAAGGTAAACATTCACAAACTATGATTTTGCTCAAATGCTCTATATGAACACAATCATTTTGGACTCAATTGGGAGCGCCCTCTAGCTTTTGACAAACCCATGAGGACAAGAGTGGTGGACTACACCCGCGATGTGAGCATAAAATAACAGTGAGCTTCAGAGTAAAATGGAGAATGACGACAGTCTGCAACAGCGTATTCACTGTTTTCTAGCTAGCTTGGCTAACACTGGAAGTATTTAACAATATCAGATCAGAGTATTTAATATATACATAAGTTTACCTACCCTGCAGGACAGTAACAGTGCTTCTCTTTTTTATTTTTTTTATCTCATGTAGATGGATTGCTGTTTGATGAGGCTTGATATTTTTGCCTAAATCTGTAGGCTTTAGCTTTTACCTTTACATTTCAAAAAACAAGTATCTCCAAAATTATAACTTCACAGGAGAGGGTAAAAACGTTCTTCACTTTCAATGCAAGTTAATGGAAAGACATTTTATTCTAAGCAATTTTGGAGCATTTCGATTGGTCCAATCATCATGAAATTTTCACACAATGTAAAGGACAGCTGCTGAGCTCAAATGATGCAGAAAAGTAAAAATCACAAAAAATGGAGATACATGTTTTTTTTATTGGACAGCAACGATATGCATGTACTCGTCCATCACAAATCTTACAGGATTAATGCTACTATGTGATGCACATAACTAGTTGACTTAACAAGTGTTGTGTGACAAATAGGGTGTCACAAAGTGTAAGTATGCTAGCACTACAATATTTCATTCATGTTTATGGGCGGAGCAGTGGCTTGTGTGTGCCGTTGCAAGTCTGCAAAAGCGGCACAATTATGTTTCATCTAGAGTGGCACAGTGGTATGCATCAGCCCTGGATACAACAATACCACACAATGCATATACGACAGCAACGTCTGTTGTGTTGTTAGACACTTCATTTGAGACTCTTAAGTTTCTGCTGTTTAAGAAATTGAGTCAGTTTCAGTCAGTTAAGCACTGTTTAAACACATATTTATTATCTTCTTTATTAAAATAAATAAAATAAAAATACATTTTATTTATTAAATATTTATGTTTAAACAAATATTGCGGTAAAACATGAAAATATAACCACAAGATATATAATTATAACTGCCAATATTATCAGTTGTCAAAATTTCTAGCCACATAAAATCAGTATAAGTCAGGCCCTAATGATATTCTGAACGAAAAATAGACCACTCTGTGCAGGACAACGCAGATACATTTACATGTTAAACTTTTTACAGCACAACAGTTATCAGATTATTACAGTCAGTGAGAAGTGTGGCATAGATCTCTATAACAGAGTTCAGGGTGTACAGTTGAACATGACTGAATTTCTGGGAGTCTCTGGGACAGGTCTAAGACTGGATTAGACAAAATGAGATTCACAGCCCTTTTCACATCACAACTGCTGATGCAACAAGCTGCAAAAATTGCTTGACATGGTGAAAATGTGTCCGTCATGCCAAAATCTGTAATGCTGCGCAATACTGCGTCTAGCAAAACGCTGCCTTATCTATATCAACACACCTCTGGCAGTTTATACATCGAACGACATTCGACAGGTTGCTTTCTCTGAGGGAAAGTAGTGCAGACAGTAATCAGATGGAAACTTGTTACATAAACACACGCTCTGTGTAGGTCTTTTTTCCCCCAGCTGAAGAAGAGATCAATACAATAACCAATGTTGCTTTAAAATGACCCAACCTCCAACATGACAAGCAGATCTCTGCTATGCACAGTTAGAGAAACTATTCACTATTGCAACTCTCAATAGAACCTTCAGTGGGTAGACGTTTAAAAATCATTGAAGAGATGAATTAGAGTAAATTCAAGAACAAACATCTCTTAGCACTCAACACGCTGACCCCTGAAACAACATCATAATAAGCAGAGGAAATAAAAACACACAGCTCTATTACTTTTTAACTATTATTACTATTACTTTTACTCAAATAAAACTTTTAGAGACAGCCAAGTGAGGCGCCAATGAACGACAAGCGTTCTATCTTACTGAGTTCAGCTCAGTTACTGATAAACATCAAGCCTGCTACTGATTAGCATCGACATTACACGGAATTGGACTGTATTCCCTTCAGTGATTCATACGAACTTTTAAAACCAAACAAAACTTTTAGCTCCACTTCTTGGTCCGATGATTTATTTGCTTACTTCTCATTAGCGACTTTCTCCAACTTTTAGAACTATCTCAGTGTGAAAATCACGTCTACAAAGCACGTATCAGCCTTACCTGCTGGACGTCAAAGCCGAAATAAACATTCACTCCTGTAATTTATAACACCTTCGGTAAATAACCAGCTCTCTGATGCTGATGGCGTATCCACACCTGCTTCCATGTCCAGGTCTGTCCCTCAGTTTGCCCTGAATGATTACCCTGAACTGAGTGATTGGCACTGACAGCGCGGCTCTAACCCCGCCCCCTCAGAGACAGCTAACCAATGGGCTGAGCTTCAGTGGCCCAGCCTGATATTTTACTGCATGCGACAGCTGATGGGGAGCTCGAACTGGTCCTCTTTGACTTGTATATATATATATATATATATATATATATATATATATATATATATATATGGAGTTTTAAACACCTCAGTGTTACTGCTGGACTGAGAATAGAACCAAAAATATCCAGCCAACAGCGACCTGTGACCACTGATGAAAGACTTAGTGGCTGAATAATACAAACTGTGAAGCAACAGATGAGCTATTGTCTCTCTTTACATCTACAAGGTGGACCAACAAGGTAGGAGTATCTAATAAAGTGGACAGTAAGTGGACACAGTGTTTTAAAACTCCAGCAGCACTGTTGTTGCCTTTGGCTTGCTCATGGGTGCTTGGACCTGGATTTTTCTGTAAAGCTGCTTTGCGACAACACCTGTTATAAAAAGCGCTATACAAATAAACTATGACTTGACTTGAATCACTGTGTCTGATCCACTTGCACCAGCGCAACACACACCAACACACTGACATCACGTAGTGTCACTGCTGAGAATGATGTACCACCCAAATAATGCCTGCTCTGTGGTGGTCCTGTCGAGCTCCTGACCATTGAAGAACAGGGTAAAAAGGAGCTAACAAAGTATGCAGAGAAACAGATCGACTACAGCTTCTGTATGGTAAATGGACCTGATAAAATGGACAATGAGTGTAGATACAAGGATGTGGTTTTAACCCCTTACATGGCCAGGGTCTGCTGGTGGAGTAGCTCGTCCAGTTTGCATTGAAGTCCCTCTAGTTACTGAATAATAAGCCTTATTATGTAATAAGCCTGGAAGTTTAAGGGGTTTATATTATGGTGTACATATATACTTATAATACTTCATAACATGTTTGTAATATGATAGGATTGTTTGTAATGTGATGTAGCTATCAAAAAAAACTTTGATATGTGTTGCTAGTTTGTTGTTGTGTGAGCAGGAAACTCATTCAAACATGAAAGCTCATTAGTGAAAACTGCTCATATTTGCTTCATAAAAGCATTTTTTTTTAATCAAACCAGTTGTTGCCTACAACATCTTTACGGCTGTATTGTACAGCTGTAAATGTGAATTGACAGCAGGAATTTGTTTCTTAAGGTGCAATGGACTCAAATTATTATTATTATTATCTTTTGATCACTGTCTCTCAAAATTCATCCAATCAAACTACTTATCAACATCTCTGATTGTTTCAAAATAACAAACATAAGGCAGTTTTTAGATAAATAGTTCATTTGAATGTAGAATAGGGTTTTACTGAATGTTAAATGATAGATAGTATTGCTAACTTGGCTAATTTCCGGAACAAAACAACTGACACTGCTGCCGAATAAAGAGCCATTTGGGAGCCAAAAGAGCTGTGTTTTATTGGCGATCTGAGCCAATTGATCTGACTCGCTGAAAAGAGCCGGCCATCACTAGTAAGAATGTGCCAAAAAGGTAGGCGTGTCTACTAAAGTGGACAGTAGGCGAGCACAGTGTGGTAAGTGTACCTGATAAAATGTTGCGTGTAGGTCACAGAAGCTGTACTGAAAGGGAAATTTCTACATTATTCAACATTTATGTATATTTAATTTGTTAAGATGTAAATAAAGTCATTGAGAATGGTTTGAAATAAATGTGCCATTCTAGAGTGTTGATAGGAAATGGACACTGGTTAGTGCTTTTAAAAGTCATTGCACAAAAGTTGATGTATGTGTTTCTTGATGCCAATGATATTGTTTTATGATAGTTTTGAGATAATCTTTTGGCCTTAAATGTTTTTTTTTACATGCAGGGCATTGTGTAGCAAAATGGTACCAAAAGAAAACATACTTATATGAAAACATACTTATATACTTATATGTTTATATGAATGCCACTATGTATGAATGTTGAGCTTATGAGCCGCTGAATTTGTGTGCCAAAGTGCATCTGTAGGTGATTCTATGTATAGCAACAATACACAAGAGAGTCAGTCCTGCTCTGCGAAACAGATTTCTTTTAACAAGGACAAGATTAAATAAAAGATACAAATCTGACTGAACCTGATTGAACCTATAATCGCTTCCACTAACATGCCAGAAAAAAAATACAATCCCTCTCTGACAACAGATGGTTGATATTACTCAGGCTACGGGGTAAATAAAAGGCTCAGAGTGTGAGTAAATGCCTGTGAGTAAATGCTTAATATGCATTTTTAAACATTTGAATAATTCAATTAAAACAGTTGATAAGCCAACACATAATCAAATGATTAAAAAGCTGCTTACAAAGTGCAAGAGAAGTCTATTATAGAGAGTTTTTGTTGAATTTCAGTCGACTTTGGCCTTTAGTCAGATGTGATTTTGTGTGTATTTTGTAGTGTTGACCACCTGGTACATACAGTCGTATGGAAATGTGTGGGCACCCCTGGTCAAATCAATGTTTTAATGACTTGCAGATGAGCTATCGTTCCTAACTTTACTACAAGGTTGGCCCAACAAGGAAGGTGCGTCTAATAGAGTGGACGGTAAGTGGACATGGTGTTTAAATACTCCAGCAGCACTGCTGTGTTTGATCCAATTACACTAGTGCGGCACACTTGTACCCTGTGGTATGCACAGACTTTGTCATTGTGGAAATAATGATGGTATTGCCTCAAAAATTCATTTCTGTGTCATGGCGCTCTCCATATTTCAGAGTGTGCTGGAGAGCAGGATTAGTAGCTACTTTATGGCACATCTCTATTCTGGAAGCTGTTCTCCTCCATGTACGGATTAGAGGCATGCGTCATGCTGCAATTCTATCCCTTGTCTTCTCTGAGATTAAAAAAGAGTTTTATGCTTGGCTAAAGAATCAGCATAGTGCTGAAAAATAAATGAATGAAAGAATCTGCCAGTACTCTATAATCAGCTGATACATAGAAATAAAGCAGAATTGTTAAACAGTACTTATACTATGGAACTGAAATTGACAGAGAATGCATTTGTGCCTCTTTTCTACTGCAGGGCTGAACGGTTCTGAGCACAGAGGGTAACCATTCCAGTGGCTTTTCCACACGGACACGGGTCGACACAGATTGCAGGCCTTAGCCTGTTTTTTTCAGCATGGTTAGCTAAACGTACCTGGGGCTACAGAATTGTTCAGTGGCATGACACAACGATGTAGCTATTCGCTGATTGTTTCTACATTTATTGTGCCACCTCATCCTGCTGTGTTATTTCAAACTTGAAAACAAAAGTTCAGTTCGTCACATGAACGTCAAATAAATGAAAGCAATGCGCGATTTTAAATCCACCATTCGGTAAACATCAAAACTTCAATCTAACGCTAGTTAAATGTTAAATGGCATTGCTAACTAGGAAAAGAGTAGCTGGTTAGTGTTAGCTTAGCTAGCATGCTGTCAGCTCTGCTCAACACAGAACATGTTCGATTCTGACTAGCAAAGGCTTTACTGACAAGTTTAGATGATAATGACTCGAATCTGAGAAAGCGAAGTTGAGCGGCTGATGTTAGAGGGAGAGAAAGCCGAAATTAAACCTGTAACTGGTATCTGGAGCTGGAGCCTCCTAGCTAAGCTAATGCTAGCTGGCTTCTCTCTCCTAGCTAAATAAACTAGCTTAGCTAAAGAGATCCAAACACCCCAGTGCAGGTTTGATTTGACTAACTGCGCTGCTATCACAAATACAGACGATAAAAACTTATGGCAGTGAGAGTAAAGTCGACTGATTGGCGATGGAGTAAAAGAAAGCTCAAATTGAAGCTGTTCTGTAGTGCTTTAATCTGTAGCCTTCTAGGCTAAGATAACATGAGTGTATGCTGCACCTTCCCCCAGTAGAGCTCGCTTCTAGCAAACCGATGATTAAAACATCAAAACACATTTAGAGGATAATGACTCATGTCTGAGATCACAAATTTGAATGACTGTTGCTGAAGTGACAGACAGATAAAAATTAGAATTGTTCTGTGGTGCTTTAAGCTATACCCTGCTGGGCGACACTAATGCTAGTGTTAGCCAGCTAACATTACAGATGAAGCCCACCACAGCACAGGCTGTTTCAGTAACAGATGCTTAAATACCACCTGTTTAAAAGATAAAGAAGTTGGGAGCATGCTGAGAGACTGGTGTTTGAGTGACAGATGGAATGCTTGTATTTATATACATGTGGGTGGTGTGTGAGTAGCTATTAGCCAGTTAGCAGTTATCCACTCGTTTGTGTAGTTTTCTTCAGTATTTCCTGGTTCTGATTTAGCAGCACAACAGAAGGAAAAAGAAACTGTAACTAGTCTCACGAGTCCGGACCAGTGCGGAGCAGCCCAGCATGGCCTTGAGGGCCATTTGGCTTGACAGTGAAAAAGAGGCCTTGAACGGCTGTAGAGAGAGCCAGAGATCAAACTAGCGATCTCCTGATACAGTACATTTTATGTCTCCCAGATGACTTTTGCTATTAAAAAAAATCTTCACTCAATAAGTTTTGAATAATAATACTAATGATATTATATTTTCACTTATAATGCTTCATGTATATCTTAGACACAATTTATACATTTATACAGCAATTTTAGTGTTGCTGCCTCAGGTACAGAATGCCTCAACCAATTGATGGAATAATAAGATCGGAAGATTACCAAGGAATTTCAGAGCAAAATGTGCTACCTAGTGTAAGGAAGCTAGGTTTAGGTCAAAGATTATAGGTCTTCCAGCATGATAACGACCCAAAGTTTACAACAAAAAGCACAACAGAAAGGTTGTAAAGGAAGAAGTGGACTGTTTTAGACTGGCCAGCAATCCTTATCTCAACCCCAAATCTTTGTAGACAGCTGAAATCTGCCATAGGGAAGAGACACCTTGAGCTTGAAAAGTTGTGTGGGAACTGTGTGGGGGGCAATGGAGGAGTGGGAAAAACTACCAGTAGACAGGTGCAAGAAGCATGTACATGGCTACCAAAAATGTTTGGAGGCTGTCATTGCTGCTGAAGAGTGTGTAACAAAACATTAGGAAAGAATGCCATTAATACTGTCCATGTCATATTTTGTTTCTTTTCTTTAAAATCACTTCCTGAAAAAAAGACATTTTTTTGTGTATAAAAACTTTAGACATCCATTAAAATATTCTAATGATAAAAAATGTCTATTTATTTATGAACATATTGTACATTTTATATAAAAAGGAAAAGGGTGCCAATAATGGTGGCCAGAACCGTGACTGTATTTACCATGCAGATGTCAGTTTTTGGAAGCCATTGTTGCAGTCACCAGTGACTTCTAATGTTGCAGCTTTGACAAGGTAGTCGGCTTTGTTGTTGCCATTCTTGTCTGGACATGGAAGTGCCCTATGACTTTCTTCCAATAAATTCTTATCCCACAGTTACTAAATTTATAAATAATAAATAAATAAATAAATAAATATTAATAATATTTGAATAAATGACAAAGTTTACTTTAAGGGTCTTGGCAGTGAATCTTCAGAAATTTCAGAAATAGGAGATCAAAAGTAGATTCTACTTGAAACTTTTGAACTACATTAAATATCCACATTGTGTTTTACCCCTCATTAAGTTTTGGACCTTGGCTCTATTGACATATACACAGTAGTGAATGGTGTTTGGTTTATTCTGAGAGTAAGAATACGCAACAGAAAGAGATCTTTGATCTTTAGAGATATTAAGATGTGTCATTCAATCTCCATATCACATCTCCTTTTTGGAAAGTTTATGAAGCAGAATGACTGAAAAATAAATTAATATTATGAGCTAATATCAGCAAGCAAGTAAGTAACCATTCATTTTGATCATAGATTGTTTTGCTGCTTCAATTAAGTACAAGTTTTAATTGAACAAGCTTTTTCAGGATGTCAGTGTCTCCCACTTCTAAAGAGCCTGCGAGAACAGGTTGACTATAACATTGTGTCTGACATTGTCATTCAAGGTAGTTGCGAAGAGTTTTATAAACTCTAAATGTCTTTTTGCAAAGGTGATATTTTTCACATTACCTCTTTATTGACACATAGGACAACAGTTTTTAGAGTAGTCTAAACATAAATTTACAATCTCAACATTGCTCCTACCATCAATTTGAAATCAGGGTCTACAAACAACAGATGAATCAGCTGAGGAAACAAATAGAAACTTTAATTAACACAAAAGACAAGCCTACCTTTAATTAACATTTCCTTTGCAGAAAAACCAATGTAAAGGAAAACATAAAAATAAAGTACATAGTAGGCATGACTGCAGCTGGTACACATCATAACCTAAGGTTTAGTACATAAAGTAAGGTCATACCGGTGTAGTTTTGGGGAATGGAATAAATTTTATCATGAATTCACTTTTGTATGAAGGCTAAATCAAAATCAACACTCACTTATGCTTGTTCGGAGAGTGTGCCTCATTTTGTAGCTATTTTTGTCTATGGGAAAAATGAAGTGAATTTTCACAAATCAGCCTTGTCACACGCAATGGTAACTAAAATTTTCCAGAGCAGATACATTTTGTCCTGTATACATTTTACTGCTGGATATCACTCGGTTCTCTGAATTATGTGGTCATTAAGTAGTTAAGTAGTTAGAAATATGCTATAAGCACATTCTAAAATCAAGCTAATAGTCCTTATGTGAGAGTACCTGAAACAACACCAGCTACTTTAATTGTATAGTACCATATTTGACAAAGCTTTTTTCAAACATTATTTGTATATCCTAACTGCATCATGTTTTGCAACAAGAAAAAATGATCAGCCAAAAGAATGACCTCAAAGTAAAAGCAAAAATCTAGGAATAAGTTAAATTCTCACATAATATTCTTACAACAATCTCAAAATGGATAAATTAAGATACATTGACTAGACTTAAGTTGATTTCATAGACTAGACTTAAGTTGATTTCACTTGCTATGACAATTTTTTACAATGCTGTCAGTCTTGATGACACAGTCTTAAATGTTCTTAAACTTTCAAGCTAAATATGTTAGCTTGCATGTAGCAATTTTCCCATTTTGATTATTTACCAACCTTTTGATTAAAATGACACAGTGATGTTCAGAGGAAAAATGTATGTAGGACAAAACATACAGGCATAGGAAGTGCATCTATGCTAATGGTAAAACACATATCCTCAACGGCCTATTTTACTAAAGTGGATCTAAACAATATATATGCAATTCAAAAAGAAGAATGGACACATTTATTTTCTGGCTATTATGAGGCTATGATAGATGGGCTTGACTATAATATGCAGGTAGAGAGAGCTGTCAATAAGGTACTCTGATGTACGACGTTGCAGGTCAGCATCCACCAGAAAGTCCCCAGTCTCCTCTGTGCTTTGGTGGAAGTTGTAAACATGGCGTACCACAACCTTTCCCTGCTGCCGAGCTGCCACAATCACTGTCTTCTGGAAGCTAACACCAGCGAAGTCTGGACTTGAGGTGGCCGGTGTGATGATAATGCGTGGCTGTCCTCCGTCAGTACGCGTAGGTTGCATAGATCCATGCTCGGAGTAGGTTGAGCGGACACTGAGTGGGAGCCAACGTGGAGAGAAGAGAGCATTCCATGTCACTCGCTTGCTAGCATCATGGCCACTCGGGCCCAACTGCGTCTGAAAGCTGAAGCTGCGGTCATCGCGTGTTGGGTTGTTGATTACCCATGGTGAGCCCCAAGCTGAGGACAGGTAGTTACGTGGCATGAAGAGGCTGCAGTTAACGTCAAAGTACTTGGCCAGCTGGACAGGTGAGGCCGCATGAAACTGGAAGGTCAAAAAGAGAAGATCACGCACCGACTCGTAATACTTAAGCATCAGCGGTGACTGCTTCTGCAGGCGGAAGAGGTGTTGAGGTGGTATCATACCATATCGGACTGCCCGCAATGCGCTCTCTGCTGTCATGTCAGCTGGCTGGTTCTGACTGATCCAGGCCTCCAGAGCCTCATACAACTCCAGCTCACTTTGAAGCACAAGGTCAGAACGCTGCATGAGGGACAGCAGAAGCTCATCACTGATAGAGCGCCACTCTGCACTCTGGAGCACTGATGACAAGTTCCAAGAGAGGTACTGCAAGCAGCTGTCCCTTAGAGTGGTATCTCCAGTCTGCACTGCATACTGGTACCAGCTCACCACATGACCTGTTGGGGAGTCACTGGACAGATGTTGCGTCATGTAACGTGTGAGGCCTTGCTGCAGGGCCCATATGTGGTACTTACTGGCTAGCCTATGTAAAGCAATGGCCTGGTCAGGGCGCACAGAGATGTCACCACAGTAGAGGTACCTGCCAGAAAGAGTGGCCACATTAGACTTAGACAGAAATTACCTTGAGAATATACTTTTAAAAATAAAGGTTCCTAAATGGTTCTTGGCCTGATACTTACCTTGGATGTATGTTCTAAGAGCTATTTTTATGAAGATTATTAAGATCAATAACTTCTATCTCAATACATTTGTATATTCTCTGATCTACCCCATGTGTATGAATGACTACCTCATATACCCAAGTATAGTCATTGTCAGCAGAGAACATTTAGGGCCTTGTAGACCTACAGAGAAGATCTAATGATTTTGGGAAACTAAAAGTGCATGTCTATAATTGTGATTGATTATATTTAATCTCTGCAGGTTTTGTATTTAAACTCATATTTCATTGTTTAAGTGTTCATTGTTAAGGATTGCCTAAAAGGAAAATCCAATCAGGATTTTTCCTGTGCTATTCAGGTAGATACAGCCAATCAGTCTCTCCCATTGGTTAGGCCTTCAGGAGCTGAACAGAAAGCCTAACATGTTGGATTAACTGCCAACATTATTAGGAAGTTTTCAATCTAAAATCAAAAACAGTTAATGTGCACTAGCTTCAGTTTTGTGCTAACCTACTATTAGACACCCCTCAGGAATGCTAGCAAAAATTAGCTTTGCTGTAGAGATGGGTTTCTTTCTAGAGAAGTGGTCACCAACTCCTTCTTTCCAACTTCTTTCCTCACCTGATCCATCTAATTACTGTCTTCAGAAGTCCTTGATTAGATGAAGGAGGTGTGTTAGATTTGGGTTGGAGAAAAGTGCAGGAGCGTCTCAAGGAGGTGCGTTGGTAACCACTGTTCTAGACTTTTATGGCCCGAATTGAAGGCCTAACTCTAACAAACACAATTTGTCACTGGTCACTTCCTTGAAAAGGTAAAATAAAAATTGCAATATATGACATATTGTTCATAGCAATTTCTAGTGATGCCAATATATGTGATTTTTGTGTATTTGTCATTTTTTTTTCTTTGACTAATTTTACTTAAGAGATTACAACACTGCCCTGTTTTCAGTGTAAGATCAAGCTGATACACATCACTCTGATCTCTCATAACTTTTTTTCTGGAAAAGTATATGCTGTTGTCTTCACCCTGTAGCTTTAAACAGTTCCTCTCACCTAATGAACTTGTCGAAGACGGAAGCACATTCGGCGCTTTCTCTGAGAACGAGGTTGCTGGAGTTCCGCATCTGTAGGAGCTCATCGAATACATCGCTTTGCAGAGTCAACACCAGTGAGTGGGCCTGGATCACCTTCACCTCATCCGTACTGACAGTTTGTATCCGCAGAGTTACATCACTGCCATTGCCGAGGGCCAACAGGGCCTCCATCCGCTGCACCAGAGCCATTGAGTGATTCAGAAGAGTTGCACTGTTCTCTAGTGACGCCTCCTGCTTCAGTGCAGCTGCAGAGGAGACGGGATAAAATACGGTTTGTTGACAACATGCATGTTACAAAGAAATTATAATGAACACTCAGTTCTGTTGCCCGCTGTTGAAATACCTTGGATAAAATTCTACTTTGATACGTTTATGGCACATCTTGTCCATTATGTTCTTTTTTTAATATGTTAAACTCTGCAAATAAGTAGAAAAGCACTCCAATTTTCATATAAATGCTATATTTAAGTTTGTTCCCTGTACAAGATGTGTTAACTTGAATTCATTTAGAAAATGTAACACGTAGAAGCATATCATTTGACTGGGGGTGTTCAAAATTTTTTTGCATATGATGGTATTACAGTGATATGTATTGGTGTAACTACCGGCAGTGCAGTCAAGCAATTATAAGACCCATGTAGTAATTGTACCTTTATACACTACTACAGTTTTATACCCGTAACCCAGGGCTAGCTCAAGGGCAGCCACTGGCCTACATTAGAACACCAACTTCATTCCGACATAAAACCAGATGCATACATTTGAACACTCCTGAACAAATTATATGTTTTGTTGATTGTTTAACTGTGCATAAATTAACACATCCTCTACAAAGAACACACTTAAATATGACAGTTTTTTTTCTACATTTTAGTGTGCCATTTCTATTTGTGTTTGACATATTAGAAAAAAGTAAAACATAAGATATAAAATTTGCCAGAAATATATATATATAAAACTATATATATATATATATATATATATATATATATATATATATATATATTTACATTTATAAATCTGTGCATTAAAACGTAGATGTATTAACTTGTATTCACTTGGAAAATCAATAAAAAGTCATTTGTCAGATCCTGGTTACCGCACTGGTGATAAGGTAATGATTTTAAAGAAATATGCCTGAATTTGTTAAGCCGGTGCCACCAGGGGTTCTTTACATGCCAGTGTAAGCAGCTGTAGAGGAAAGAAAGTAAATGAACAAATCTATTAATCTATCAATCATGGAGAGACAGAGGGTTAGTCACGTAAAGCCAGCTGCTCTCTGCTCTGTTGAAATGAGTCGATCTTCCTCGCCAAAATCATACGATTGATCACATAAAATAATTTCAGGCCTGCTACACGCCCTTATGATAATTATGGTTTAGCTCCTGAATTGAGCGAGTGAATAGCGAGGCTGCATCCAAATTCAAACTGCAAAGGTTCAAATGCTGACGATACCACAGAGAGCACAGCTCAGTTCCTCTCTCCTTACAGTGGCGCCGGCCAGTCAATAGAATTTGCCAGCCCTCCTAAACTGAAATATTTGGTCAGCAGTGCATGAGAGACTTAAAAAGATGAAAGGGCTGCTTTCACGTGTGTTGGAGAAAACACATGGTTGTAAGAGAAATTCACAACTGGCAATAACTAACATGTATATAAGAAGACATTTTCATGATATGCAATAATATAACAAAATTTCATTTTTCTGAGACCTGACAAGTTGAAACAGTTGGAGTGTGCTGGAATGTGGCATCACCAGTGCCACATTAAAAATGCTATCATAAACTGTTAATACAATTATTTGTATTCAGTGTTTTAGTGTTAATCACTACATCCAATTAAACAAGACCAATTAAACAATCTTGGTCTATAGGCATCATCAGGGATTCAGACTCATGACCTCCTGACAATATGACAAAACCTCAGACAGTTATGCCACATAGAGATCCCTGTTAAGTCTCTTTTTAATGAAACATGCAGCTGGTCAGTGTTCTTTTTAGTACTGATTTCCACGACATGCTCAGAAAAGCTATAATATGTCGCTGCTGTTGGAACAAAACCTTGTATGACCGTTTTTCAGTTTTTTACCATAATTTGAATATGCCTGTTGTCCTTTGCATTGTGTTCAAATGTCATGATGAATGGACCAAGAGAAACGTCCCACATTTTACTTGGAAAAAAATCTGGTTTCAATGACTTACATTAAAAACAAAGTATGTTTTTTCCTTCTCCTGTAAAGTTACCATTTTGGAGATATGAGGTTTTGTTCTGACAGCAGCGATATGATAATGATATTATATCCTCATATCACCCACGCCTGGAAAGAATTCAGTTTTGCAAAAAATGCTTTTAATTTAATATCAAAATGAAAATGACGTTATAGCAACTTTTTCTCATATTTGACTACATGCATTGTAGTGGCCAATGCATTGTTACATTTGTGCTTTGAATTTGAGGGCTAACTTTAAAGATGGCAGAAAACGATTCTACCAGTATATGTAATGAAATATTAATTCTGTGCCCAACTCAGCCCAACTGACATAGCGGTTAGCCACTAAAATTAGCCAATATTGAGAACCCATGTGCTTTATGAGTATCAGCAGTTACTATACGTTTATTAAAAAAAAAGTCCCTGTGTAACTATATTACATCAGTACTAGTCTCATGGGACAAGATGTCATCTCTTAATGCAAATACACATCTAGGGACAACTTGTTAAACTTTTGGGGTTGGGCTGGGTACAATGGTATCCCCCCTCCAAAGCCCGTCCCCAGATTGCTCTAGTCACAATGCCCATCGGGTGATTTCATCAAGCATACCATCACCTCCTACTTTGAGCTTTTTCTTTGGTGGTGGATTGGTTTAGAAAAATTACCACCACTGTGAAGAAGTCATTTAGTTTCTCTATAATAAACTATTTCACATCAAACCTCTCTGAATGACTTGGTTTACATTTCAACAATTGAATTATGCAGACATTTTGAAAAATTGTCCTTTAACAGAAACCAAAACTGTATATAATTCTGTGTAGCTTCACCCCCAGTGCTAGCATATTTATATTATTTTAGATTGTGAATGCTTGTTTATTTGTGTGACAATTGAGACCGAATTAAAATGATTTGGATACAGAATTAACAAACTTCTCAGATAAAACATTTTCCTAAAACAAATCATTCTTCCACAAAGTAACATACGGAATGCTGACTAAAACAGACTTTTCTTATACTGTTGATATCAAATATTGCACGTGAAGCTTATATTAATGGACTGATATGACTCATTACAATCAGTTTCTCCTATCTGAAAGTTCTCCAATCTGTTTTTAGCCTGGAGCAAAATATTCTGAGGAAACCTTCCCACCACCCTCCTCCAGCTTCAGCTGTCTATGTATAGTCCAGCATTGGTGAGTGGGAGAATAGCATAGAGATAAGGACACTTGTTCAATAATTCAGGATGCACTGACCTGACATTGCATAAGAGAAGGGAAATCACTGTCATACAATAACAGTGCTGTTCATGCATCTGTAAAATGTGCAGTTTTGTCCCAACACTTGCAATATGACCAGAGAATGTTTTTGTTCATAACCATTTACTGAATCATGTTTGGTATATCATTAAAATAATGAGATAGGTAATAAGATTATGTCTTGCACATAACAATTTATATAAGATGATAATATCATATAATAATAATAATAATGATAATAATAATATTCTTGCCAATATTTTTGAGTCTTTTTTGTGTGATATACAAAGAAGCTTCCAAGCCATCTGAGCAGTTAATAAAAAGACAGTCAAATCTTACCTCCTCCTACCGTCTGGACAGCAAGCACCACAAATAGGCCAAACAGACAGACCATGGTTGAAATTCTCTGTCCAAAGAGGTGACGCATGTCACAGCCGTTATCTTCCTATTTTCCTTTCTTTCCTGTCTTTTTCTTTCTTCTCCCAGCTTTATCTTTCTGCCTGTTTTTCTCTGTGATATGGCTGTGTGAGCATGAGTGTGTTTGTCAGGATATGTGTGTGTGTGAGAGTGTGTGTGTGTGCGTGTCCTGTATGGTGCCCAGTCCTCCTGTCCCACACTCTTTATGTAGGACAGTGGCCCTTCCCATAGCCTCGCGAGGAACCATTGATTGGTGGAATCTGGCTGGGCCGTTGCTATGACAACAGCTTTGATTTTTGAATTTCTCCCTTTCTCAATGTTACATGGCATCGATCTGTGGCACTCAGCCAGTCGAGATGCGGCTGAAATGTATTTTTTGGATACGAGTGGGCGCATGAGGTGTGATTGTGTCCGCTAAAAATAGAAACCACCACACATTTGTTTCTTTTTTATATTTTGACATAGAAAACAAATTGCAGTGTGAGCCACTTACAATGTACACTAATATGTATTACACATCACATTTAATATACATTTATGATAACAGCAGATGCTTAATTTCCAAATCAGACAGCATCTTCTCAGTGATTTAATGATTTGGTGAATTACTCATTTCTAGGTGCCACATATATACATATATATTATTGATCACTACAATTAATCTGAGCAATTATAAATTCAATAAACCATAAAATTATGGCCTTTGTTGTCAGACTTTGTCAGAGTTTGAATACATTAGGCTTTATTTTGCTCTTCACAGACCTTTTGACTACTGAAGGTTCCTGTGCAAAGAAAAGCTAAAGAAAAAAACAGCTGAAAGATCCTTTTAACAGTGTGTTTCATTAGCTACACTTGTCAACCCATCAGGAGGTCAATAATGACAGAATTGTATGGCTTAAGTATGGCTCAGAATGTACACTGATGTATTCTATTAATTTCAAAATATTTCCTATTAATATTACAGTGTTAATATCAAGTGTTGCAATAAAGCTGCACATTTTAATGTTACATAAAGAAAAACACTGTCATCTTCCTGCATTTTTTATAGAACTTATATTGTAAGTAAAATGCAGATGATACTGTGCAAGACTGATGATACCTCACATGAGCTATTTCAAAAAAGTTATTTAAAAGAATTAGTAAATTAAGTGGCATGTGTATAACTACTAAATGAATTAGAAAATTGTCAAAACCTTGCAACTGAAATCACCAGCTGCCTTACGTTGTGTGAATGTTGATTAATGGATAGATACCAATAGTCCAAAATGAACTTAAAATAAATTCTCATTGCATTATTGTACTAAAGCAATAAGCCACTTAATAATGTAATGCATTACAGTAATTTTATCAAGGGTAAGGGGTGTTCTTAGGCATGATATGAAGTGCCCATGATAAACCCATGATAAAACCACTGTAATGCACAGTCCTGAGTGCCTTATTGTTTTTTTTAATGGCGACAACATAAAATATTATAAAATACACACATTTCAATAACTTAAATTAGAATTGTTAATAATCTCAATAAATAATTCTTCTACCAAGAAAAGTATGCTATTTTACATACTAAGGCTTTTTTTTTTCAGGAACTACAGAGACTTCAGTGCAAACTGGTTGATCTATTCTTAGATTATAGAAGTGTGTAATAAAGCTTTGGGCCCAACAGCGGTCATGTGAGGGGTTAAACAAAATAGGGTTCTTTCTTCAGCTGTCCATGCACTTGGTGCTCCATGTAAGCAGCATAAAAGTCCCTCTACAGCACAATCCTTTTTTTTATTTATTTATTTTGGTGCATTAATGCAAAATTCAGTTGTTGTGAGGCAATCATAGGTATTTTATAGCAGCTGCGAACTTAATTCATTCAATCAGATTTTAGGTCCAGAATTACCCATTTCAGAAATTGAATTTAACAACTTTTTTTTCCCTATAAAGTTTCAAAGTCACCATATGTTGTTACAACATAAAATAAAAGTATTCAATAACAGTTTTGCTTCAGTGGACACAAAGAACATAAACCTTGTAATCTTAAGTGCACTTCTTGCAGATGTGCCTTTCAATTAATTTCAGAAGAGTCTCACTTTATATTAAGCATATCCACTAGTGTGCAGTTATATCAGATGTATATTTGTAAGCACAAGGCAATGGTGACTATAACAGAACAATAGTGGTGATCAGAATGCCTTTTGTAGGGAGACATTAGGTAGCAGTAGTATTTGCAGGCCAATTTGAGCATTCATGCTAAATAGAGCATGAGTAAATGCACAGCTGTAAACAGTGCATTACTCATATCACCAGAAAAAACAGACCCTTGTCTGTAGTGGGATGTCTTTGATGCATGTGTTCATGTTTGTGAGCTAACTGGAACATCTGTCCTACAATGTTGCAGAATGTTTTATGTATAGAGTTTGTCAGGAAGCTGCAAATAGTTGATCAGAAATAGTAAGCCACGTTATGTGTCTGGCTGATCAATGGCCAAAAACGATGTTCACAAAGAAACTGCAAAATATAATGAATGTTCACAAAGAAACGATGTTCACAAAACGATGTTCACAAAACGATGTTCACAAAGAAACTGCAAAATATAATGAATGCTCTGGGAGGGATGTTCACAATAATGCTAAGCAAGGAGAACATTTTTTGGGGGCCTTAGCACTAAAAGATAGAGGGGTCTGGGTCAGAGAACTAGAGTCAACATGGATGGCTGTAAGAGTGAAATAGCCAGTAAGGAATTGTTCACATGTCACTGAATCCAAAGTGGCTCTTTGTAAAAAATGTTATGCACTGTGCAGGAGCTGGTATTTTTATTCCTATGTAGTGCACTATGTAGGTAGTACAGAGTCATGTAAGATTCATCCTCCAGCGTGGGAAAAAGGATGTACAATACTTTGAGCTTAATGCTAATGTAAGACTGGAAATTGCATAGAGGCATTAATGGAAATTAACTTTGTTGTCACTGTTGGTATTTTGGTAAATAACATTCAATCACTTAAATTTTTTTTTTGCATTAAACACTGTTATATTATGATATGGTCATTATTAAATGACAAAAAGTTTATAAAACAACTGCAATATAATGCTGGGTGACTGAATGTTATCATTTTCCATCAGCAGTTCATTGTTTGGCAAAAATAGCATACTCTAAACAAACTGTATTTCTTGGCATAGTAATTGTTTCTCCTTATTATGATCAAAAATAACAAATCATATATTTAAAAAAAATATGCATTTCATCATATTTTATGTTGTCCGCAGTTTGCCATTTGAAGGCATGCGTGACAGTGATTTTATCATGTAAGGGAGTTTTAGGAATGCTTCACATTAGGCCTAATAACACCTGTACCTGTGATAAAATCACTGGAAATCAATGTCTCATGTGGCCTATTGCTTTAATTATACTTTGCCTACACTCAATGGCCATTTTATCCAGTACACCCACCATACAGGTGCGCTTTGCAAGTCTACTATTACTGAATGTACAACATCTGCTGCTACAGAATTTATCAGCTTCTTGCTATCTTATCTATAAACAAAGAAGGACCACCATAGGACTGCCGCTAACCAGAATATTTGGGTGGTGAATCATTCTCTGCACAGCAGTGACATCATTGTAGTGGCCTTTAGTGTGTGTTGGTACTTTACTCTGTCTACACTCTGTACTTTTTTTTCTCACTGAACATCTCAAAAAACAATAACTAACCCAAATGGGAGCCAAAGGAACTTACGGTTCTAGTTTTGATTTATTTTCCACCTGCTTGAGAGACAACTAATATAACCATGATTAACATTTTTGGTAATTTTATGCCACCTTTCTTGCTAGTTAGCTTAGCTTATTGGCTGACGTAAAACAACATATTGCACTGTTTTGCACTCACATACGCACAACATCCATGTGTAGAGACACATTACATGGCCAAAAGTATGTGGACATACTTCCTCCTAATTAGTTCGAGTGTTTCAGCCACACCCATTGATAACAGGCGCAATCTCCAAAGACAACCATTCGCAGTAGAATGAGTCATACTGAAGAGCTAAGTGACTTTAAATGGCACTGTTATGTCACAAGTCAGTTTGTGAAATTTGTGCCCTGCTAGATCTACCCCAGTAAACTGTGAGTGCTATTTTTGTGAAAAGGAAGCATTTGGGATCATTTAATAACAGCTCAGCCACAAAGCAGTAGACCACATAAACTCACAGTGTGGGGCCAAAGAATGCTGAAGTGCAAAGTGAGTAAAAATCACCTATCCTCTGTTGCATCACTCACCACAGAATACCAAACTGCCACTGGAAACAACATCAGTACAAGCAACTTGATTTGGATTTCAATTGAAATGGATTTCCATGGCTGGCAGTCGCACACAAGCCTAAGATCACTATGCGCAACGCCAAGCGCTGACTGGAGAGGTGTAAAGTGCGCCATCACTGGACTCTGGAACAGTGGAAATGTGTTCTCTGGAGTAATGAATCCATGTATGTGGTATGTGGCAGTCTGATGGGTTAGTGGTCTGAACCAGAATGCATAGGGCCAACAGTAAAGTTTGGTGGAGAAGGCATAATAGTCTGGGGATGTTTTTCACGGTTTGGGAGAGACCCTTTAGTTCCACTGAAGGGAAATGTTCATGCTACAGCATATAAAGACATTTTAGGCAATAACATGTTAACAACTTTGTCACAACAGTTTAGGGAAGCCCCTTTTCTGTTCCAGTGTGACTGTGCCTCTGTACACAAAGCGAGGTCCATAAAGACATAGTTTGACAAGTTTGGTGTGGAGGAACTACCATGGTCTGCACAGAGCCCTGACCTCAACCCGACTGAACACCTTAATTTTGGCCATAAAGTGTAGCACAGAGTAATGTTGCAGCCTTTGTTTGTTACAGATGGTGTAACCCTGTAATCCCTGATTAGGCAATAACACTGAAGTTCAAGGCTACCTTGAGAAAAACTATACTATGTTTGTTTCTCTGAAATATGACACTCTTGATAAGATTGTTTGTAATATGCTGTAAATTAAATTCACATTCATGTTGCCCTCTGTTTCTCTTGAGCTCCTGCCCCCAAAAAACACTGGCCTGGTCATAAAGCAGCTTTGGAGACATCCTGGTCCAGACTCCTACCGAGCAAACTTAGGGCAACAGTGGTAAGGAAAAGCTCCTTATGTGAATGAAAAAGAACCTTTGAGGAGATGTACCACTGAATGAGCTTTTATAGAGGATCATACAATATCTTGAATCTACTTACAAATCAAAGCTGAAGAGGGATGTGATGGTAGATTACTCATTAAAAATGTGAGGTTTTCATTGCAACAGGAGGGTGAATGTCACATGCAAATGGTCCAAAGTCGTCAAGCAGGTCTGGGGGCGGAAAGAGGGAGGGGGAACCATAACTGGAGTGGCACAGCAGGCAGGAGCATGCTTACAGCTCAAGAAAGAGACACAGCGGACTGTCAGGTAAGTTTAGAACGCACAGCATGTACATAACAATCATGCGTAATCATCATATGCAGTATTTCATTCAGCTAATTTGGAGAAAGGCCATCACTAGTACTACCAGGCTATTTTATAATCAAAGCAGAATTTAACTGGCAGCTAATGTGGTGATGATAATAAAAGGCTAATCAGGTCAAACTTTCTAGTTAAGGACACTGGACTCATTGCATTCTGGGTTTAAACTTGAACTTGTTTTTAAAATATTGATAGCAAAGCATTATGATACTCCAATCTGGAGGTGACAAAGGTATGAACTACTTTTTCCACGTTGTGTTAAGTATGTATTTATGGTTGGAAATATTTCACAGATGGAAGAAAGCAGCAATGGTAATGTTACATAAACATAAGAGATTAAGAATCAATACTGACACCAAAGTTTTTTACAGCCATGCTTGATAGAACTGAAAAGTCATGTGCAAAAGTCAGAGCACCCAAAATGGTTATTAAGCACAACTTATTAATTTTTCAGCATTAGAGAAGAAGAAGCAGAAAACATCTACAACAACAACTATTTAACAGAAAATTACATAGAAGCCTCAACAATTAAATATTATTTTTGAATTTTCAGTATTTAGTGTTCCACTCTTTGTCTTACAGTTTTCCTTTTTTCAGGAAACTTGCTTTCAGCTTTTCAAAGAAATCTGCAGGGATTTTTTTCCACACTTTCAAAGTTTAGTCTTAGAAGTTTGTTGTATTTTTTGCTTCTCACATTCCAAGCAATCCCAGAAACCATATTTACACAAGGAAATCACCCCTTATTAGAAGATATTTGCTTTTTATGTGGACAGTGTGTCTCCAAATAATATTTTACATTCTTTCAGTTTTCTCAACTTAGTAATTACATGATTCAGTCTACAAAGTCCTTCCCAAGACCCAACAGATCACTTAGAAATCACATTTGAGCGTGTGATGCATGTCTGCACGTTCTTGGTTATTTGGTGGCATCTAGTGGTTTGTTATTTAGTTGTCTTGGAGGGATAATGTCATTGTAGCCTGTCTTTTGGAGAATGACATTACTCAGGAGACTTCAAAATTGTAGAGATTTGGCAGTTCAAGTTGGCTTTTGACAAAATTCTTTTGGAACTTAGAGCTCCTTGAGAAGAGGCTGCAACCATTGCTGTGTATTTTGGAGGATGGGAACGCTTGTGTAAAGTCAGTTTGTTATGGGACAGGCCACGAGGATATTGCTTCATTTATCAGATGCTTCTACAGCAGCTTGCAAATGTGTGTGATAAGGAAGGATCGCTTAATAGCCAAGGGCTTATATAATATAAGGTTATATGAGAAAGAACTATAGATATACTCCAGTGATTTCTGGAACAGTTAATTGGGACAAATACAGGGAAATATAATAGATTATTTCTGAATTACTATATACCAACAGAGAAATCGTATAGTTTCTTAGTATATACACTTTTGATTGCAAACAGCAATTCCAGAGTATTTTTGGTAATGTTATCCAGGTAGTTAGCTATTTGCTTATATAGCGTATGGCACAGTGAGATCTTTGAGGTCTTCACAGAAAGTGGCGGTATGAAACGATGTGCACTGTAAGTCAAGAAACTTCATTTAATGTCTTTCTCATGGAATTTTTAATTGATCACAAGCATTTTTAAGTGCAATAATGATTTATAACATCATTTCATGGCTGTGATTTAGCTGTTGAATTAATTGCTTGTCAGTTAATAAGTAAAAACTTTTAAAAATATTATTATTATTATCATTATTATTATTATTATTATTATTATTACAAATAGTAGTAGTAGTAGTGTAACTTGGAAGTTGAAGCTGGGTGAGAGTTCACATGCTCTTTATTGCTTTATTCGCTAGGTGGCGCTGTAGGCTTTCAGGCTGCGCGTGAGACTGAAGCGTTACAAATAAAGAGTTGTCTTCATCAACCGACACTTTCGACGGATTACTTTTTCGATTCGTTTCTGACAGTGTAGTGGAGAAAAGCTCGAGCTGATACATGTACAGCTGTTTTGCTAAGTGTGGCTCTGTGTAGAACATTATATTGGCACAGTAGCTGTTGCTTCAGCACTTCATTATATATGATTCACCGCCTGTTCGAGCACTTCAGACAAACAGGGGTAAACAGCTGTTAGCCTCAGTCCGTTTCAGCGCCAGGTACGTGCTATACGTGACCTATTTATTCATTATTCAGCATTTATTTCTTTATACTCTTGTACTTTTAGCATACTATGAACACTGTGCAGTTACATCACTCTTTCTAAAAAGGGGCGAAGTGGCATTCAGTTCAAATTAATGTTTATGTCAGGCAAAAAAGTATTTTACTTTCATTCTGTGTTCTAAAAGACAGAAAGAAAACCTCTCAAATGCAGTTGAATAATTTATATTTCATATAAGATTTACAGCCGTATATTTCATATAAGATTTACAGCCGTTTCCACTGTAAAGGCTTTTATGTATTATTGCTATAATTTAGGACATAGTTAAAGTGGTCGTAATCACATAAAACTTAGTTTTAATATAAAATGCAATAGGAATTCATGCTATTTTCCGTTAATATTATATATTTAAAGAGGAATTTCACTGATTTTTTAAAAATAACTGTGTAATTCAATCATTGATACTGCTCATAATAGTAATTTTTTTTCAGGGGGATTTGTTTACATCTTGACCATTTAATTATGTCGAAATTCAGATATATTTTAAAGAGAGTTTTTCAGATTACACCCAAATAAACATAGCAAAAAATGTTACATAGGATAGATCAGCTGTATTTTACAATTTATATTAGATGTACATTCACTAAGATCTAATTAATCGTCAAAGGGATTTCTATCTTGTCTTTCTGTTCAGACCACAGGACACTTTCTCACAGGTCAAACCTTTGTGTGCTTTCTTGGATATGATTAGCATCTGGTTTTAGGTTTGTCATTTATGACTAAAAACTGTCTCTGTAGTATTTAAGCCAGATTTGGCGAACTGTATTCCTGGAGTGTCCAGCATTGTTTGGTGATTTTCCTGCACTAAACACACCTACTAAACCTGCCAATGAGGTGCTAAGTTGAATCAGGTATGACTGTCGTATTTTATTATCTTACGTGCTTGAGAAAAATAGTACAACAAAGTCTTGAAAGAACGTGATTGTATCTCAAAGCCACAAATTATGTAATGTAAGAGAACATGACCTTTTACTTGAGGTCACAAGATTATAAAGTTGTGGCCACTAGACAAGTATCGTACCTCTTGGATACAAAATTGGCTGTGAGATACTGTCATGTTCCCTCAAGGTATTCCTCCATACACCCTCTTCTCTTCCTCACCATTGAGTTTCCAATCATAGTGACTATGCTTGGGTTGAAAATGAATGATGTTCCCTCCAAAGATTTGCATACAGTTTAAGCTGCAGTGGCCTTGTGCATCCCCCACACATATGCATAGTGAAATGCATAAACACATGCATTTTCATCTCCATAGTCACGCTGTAGACTAGAGAGAATGAAATTTTGCTACTCCTCCCCTCAGTCAGAGTTACATGAAATTCAAAAACAGTTTTATAAATTTCAGAATCTGTGATTGATATCAGTCCCTGTTCCAAAGTTGCATGTGTAAAGTTAATAAGGTTCTATGCCATATGGTTTTACAGTTGTAATCAGTGTTAACTAAACATTGAGGATGGAAAAACAACAATGAATTACCATCAGTGCTAACTGGTACCTGGTAAGCTTTGGTTCACACTGAAAAATGGCAATGTTTAATCAGTTTTGATCTCAAGTTAAAGTGTAGACGAAAAAAGAACATTAAAACACTGTGTTCACTAAAATCCTGTGAGGAACTGATATTGTGCCACATTAAGTCAAGTCTTGTACACATTGGAACGAAATGTCGTTCTTCAGGCCCATGGTGCAGCACTCAACAGCAGCACCTTACACAGAACTACATAAAGTGCAGATACAGGATTCAACAAAGCAGCATATGAGTGGAGGAACTAGTGCAAACATTATCAACCCCAAACTGTAAGAAAGATTAAGGTAAAAGTGTCCCATAGCAGCATTCAAAGAATTAAAGAATTTAGTTCAGGTGTACAGTGATGGTTAAAGGGTGTGTGGTCAGTCTGGTGGATGACTGGAAGTGTCTAGGTAGAGACTTTATAAAGGAGGAGACAGGTAACTGGTTGGAAAATGAATGGAAAAGCCTGTAACACTCAACATGGCGTCTACGGATGCCCTTCAATTTAGATGAGCCGGTTAAGCTGTTTAGATGCTGGTTAAGCTGCAAGTGGGAAAAATTCACCCTTGTTGTAAAATCAGAACAAGCTGAGCTGGAGAAAGCTCCAATTTAATCAGTGATTTTTAATATGTTCCTTTTAGTTTGGGGTTTATAGGTCTCTCCCCATTTAAAGAGATTTTGTATGAATGGAAATAACTGCCCTGGGGTGTTGCCAACTTGGCTATTAGAAATTTGGTCTAGATTAGTCCTCGCTCTCTCAGGGCGTTTTCACACTACAGCTTTTTGCTAGACCCAGGAACACTCTCTCTATGAGTTCAGTACATTAGGTCAAGTTCGATCACTGTTTTCGAGCCTGGGAGCAGTCCAGAGAACCGATCTATGGTCCTCCTAAAATTCGTGGTCTGGGGTTTAGCTTCCAGTGAACTCTGGTGCGGAAGCTATCTGCTCCTGGCACCGCATGGGGGTTTAAGTTAATTCTGTAATGTGACTGCTTCAATTCATTGTGTCACTTCCCTTTCTAAGTTTCGTGATGACGGGGAAAGGTTCGTTGTGGACAAAAAGCGGTGTTCTTTGGCCCGTAAGTGTTTGTATTCAAAGACAATAATAAAGAGCAACAAATGGGTGAAGATATTGTCTACCATTTTGCAGACCTGCACACAGAAAAGTGACATACGGAATAGATCCATGGTTCGAATGGAATTCTTGTGTGTGAAAGCAAACCAACGATAATGAGCCCCTCCCCCAAGCGAGCCCAGAATCGGTCCTAGGTGTGGATGCAAGTATTTGGGACAAGTGTGAAAATGCCCTTAGTTTGCTCTCTTCATCCTCTGCAGGAAATGAGGTTGCTGCTGGGCTTTCCTGACTAGGCAGATGGTGTTGAGGGGGTCAACTCTGGAAAGGGTTCAGACTTCAGACTTATTATTGTCATATGCATGGTGCATTAATTTTATTAAGACAATTGTTAAGACAAGACTCCACCTAACTGTCCATACCTTACTAACATTTGTCCCCTATAAAAGGTAACTTTTTAAAAGAATAAAATAAATACCAGTATAAATCTGTGTCTAATGTGAGGAATATCACTACTGATCACTACTATATTACACAGACAGTGAAATCTAGACCCTGCCTTCCGCCCGATGACAGCTGGGATAGGCTCGAGCACCCCACCGCGACCCAGAAGGATAAGTGGTTTAGATGATGGATGGATGAAATCTAGAAAATCCACATAATGCATACAGATATAAAAGATGAAGAATAATGAAGAATGATAATTACTGTAATTACACTAAACACTAAAAAGTGCTTTTAAAGTATGATATTATTTAACAGCTTGTAAATAAAAATAGTCTTTTAGCCTAATAGTTTGTGCCCTCGTGATCCTATAACATCTCCCGGATAGCAGCAGACTTAAAGGGGAACCCCACCGATTTCGCAAAATTACCTAATGAATATAAAATCATTCAGAGTGGTTTGAGGTGAAATGCGCCTTTCTAGAGAAATTTACAGTCAAAATTGTTCACCATTGTAGTACTAGGAACCAGATGTCCGTATGTCTACACTACAAATATCACCATTTTATCTGCTATCCAAAATGACCATTGAACTTACATGTGTTTTATAAGGTTGTGTATGTCATGCTGATAATGGTAAAATAGTGCTAAATTCCGCACACCTTTTGTGTTGTTTGGGTTGGCACTGTTGCGTTACTTGGTGTCAGCAAAACTCAGAGATTACGTGAATAACATTATTCATCGAGCTGCGATAGATCTCAGTGGCACCTCGCTGTGCTTCCCAATAAACTGGTGAGCAGAGTAGCAAGTTGTTTGTTGTTGACACCATCAATTTCCATTCGCCCTGGGGTCTTCTGTTTCGGCGCCGACGGGTTTAGTCTTTCTCTCTTGTTTGCTTTCTCTTCTTCAAGCCACTGCAAGTCATTATTATGGTTCAAATCAGTATGGCTCTACGACATTTTAGAAACAGACCTTATCAAAGTCCTCCACATACTCTGTCATCTTCCAAAAATAGGTAAGAAAACTGTAAAAAGAAACTGTAAACAAAAGCCGCTGCTAGTGTTATATCCGATTCAGTTACTCCTCAAATTCCCTTTGACAAATCAGGTCCTCGGGCACGCGCATTCATTGAACAGAAAACAGCGTCAAGCAACACTGGAACTATGGAAAGCAAAAAGTATATATAGAAGCAAAATATTTGATTAACTGACCCCAAAAACTTTACTAAATAGATATTTAGTAAATACCCTAACGTAACATACTGCGTGCTGTCTTTCTGTAGGTTGGAATGTCTCTTGCAGTCACCTCAACGGCCATGAATTCCTTCAGCACCGCACCAGGAGGCTGTCCTTCCGCAATAGACCCCCGCTACTATACACTGTGTGACCTGAAGGCAGTTTGGGGCATTGTGGTGGAGGCGTTTGCGAGTGCTGGGATTTTAGCTTCCTTTTTGCTGCTGCTTGTCATGGTGTCAAGCCTACCCTTCGTTATTGACAGAAGAAGGAAGAGCGTGTTGGCTCTGCAAGTCACCTTCTTGATTTTCAGCTTGGGCCTCTTTGGCTTGTCCTTTGCTTTCATCATGGGACGGGACAGCACCACCTGCACAGCAAGGAGGTTTGTATTTGGAGTGCTATTTGCAGGTTGTTTTGCATGCCTGCTGATGCATAGTCTGTGGTTGGCACTACTGGATCGGCATAAAAAATGCCCACAGGGAAGGCTATTCTGGCTGGGAGCTCTTGGTCTTTGGCTGGTGGAAGTCATTATCAACACAGAATGGATGATAATTACACAGATGCCGCAAGACAATGCAGCAGTGATCAGAGGCGTATGTGATATTACCAATAAGGATTTTACCATGGCACTTATTTATGTCATGGTACTGTTGGTTGCTGTAGTACTAATGGCTGTGCTATCAATGACCCACACACACAAGTCATTCCGGCAAGACGCACTCTACATCCTGTTGACTGGGCTCCTCTCCTTTTCTATTTGGTTGGTTTGGATTGTGATGTATATTCATGGCAACAAGATTTTACAACATTCTAACTGGGATGATGCCACACTGGCCATAGCTCTGGTGTCTAATGGTTGGGTATTCCTCTTGATATACACCATTCCAGAAGTCTGTGCTCTCACCAAAGACATAGAAGATGTGGAAGTAAGCCTTGAAGGCCAACATTGCCTTTCAAGTATTAGAGTCTATGAGAACTTCCTGAGAGACCAGACAGATAGCCAGTTTGATACAGGTATGATTTCTAATACAATACTGCATGAATCTTTTTGAGTCTAGAGGAGTAATGTTCAGAAGTCTTCTAGTAAGCATATCTATAAGAGCTATCAGCATGTTTGCAAACCAGCAGTGCAAGTGCCTGTTGGTAAACGCTGTTATATACATCCAATAACCTGCTAACATCTACGTGTATCTGTATTCTTAGGGATCTGTTTTTCTTCAGCTCTCTGTTTTCTCAATATGATAAATGAAGTGAGCTTATGGAAAAGTTCCTAAAGTCATGACTGGGGTCATGGGGTAAACAAAGATAACGTTGGACTGTAATGCTCCTTTTCCTGTAATGCTTTTGTTTAAACTGATGGGCTGATGGCTTATTTTCTAAACTAGAACTAGGCTGATCAGCAGGCTAACAGGCTAAAAGGTAGCTAACAGTCTAAACAACTCCCCCATTAATATCATAGGCTTTGAAGTACATACTATATGATTTGCTGTAAATACTAAAGAATGTCATTTGAATGTCTTACATGCTTCAAATGTCTATATTTTAGACATATCTGCCTTAAGTAGCATAGAACCCAGGTTGAATCTCAGATGGTTCCCTTCTTTCTAGTGTGCTATGTAAATTAAAAAATTCTGGCATTTACACCCAAATAGTGCACCTTTTTTCCAGTATGAACTTGTACACACATGGCTGAATCCCAAATGACTGTTTGTTAGACATATTATTCACTATTTGGGTGCAGGAGCCAGTATTTTATTTGTGACTATGTAGGAAGCAGGGAGCCATCTGGGTGTAGAGAAATGGTCTGATCTAGACAGCAAGATTGTTGTTTCATCCATTTTTGTGCAATGGACTTTGCTTTTTTTCAAAAGTCAGTTAAAGTCAGTCAATTCATGAGTACTTATACTATAAAACATGATAGAATGATAGTCAGATTCCCTCTATGTTCAGTCACAGATTTTTTGCAGCATGTCATCTAAAAGTCTCTATATAACAGAATATCTCATATTATCTTTTAATGTGTCCAAGATGTCCCCTTGGTATTTTAATAAATGTTCTCCTTTCCAGCAAAGAAGTTGATATCACCCTATAGCGGGTATAATGGGCAGGTTCGCAGTCGTGTGTACCAGGCTACTGAACTCGCCATCATAAGCAAGGGACCAATCAATGTGAGTATGGTGTAAATCAGGGTCAAGTCGTGAAGCTGCAACTTTAAAGACAGTAACTCCAGTTTTTATTTGAAAGCATTCATGGAGCAGATCATGTCTAGCACTTTTTCTTTGCCTTGCAGCTCTAAATTAAACTCAATCAACATGTTGGTTAGACACGTCATAGCCAAATTTAAGAGCCACTGTTTGTCATCCAGCTGGGCACATTCTCTATGGCTTGAGATGTGAAGAAACTCTTTGATGTCAGTTAAAAGATCCTATAGAAATTTCCCTATACTTAGCCATCTGTATGTAGCACAAGATTAGAATGCTCTTTGCCAGCTTTTTCCATGTATGAACGAAATAGCCGTCTCTCCAGAGGTGTTGCCTGAATCAAACAGGTGATTTTTGTTGACATATCCATCACTTCGGGTATGTTTAACATTCTTGTGCATAGTGCCTGTTGGTGGACTATACAGTGATAATTAAGGAAGTTTGGGAATGCTTTGTCCTTCCTGTATTTGGTGATAAACCCATTTATGTGACCCACTATTGCAGTGGCGCTGTCAGAAGTGATGGATACAAGCTTAAAAATTGGCACCTGGGTTTTGTCGATAAACTCCTTGAATGCACAAAAAAATGTCTTCTCCTCTTGTGCAGGTAAAACTGCAAGAAGCTCCTCTTTAGATATTATGTCATCAAATACTATTCTGATAATAATCTTCAGCTGTGCAGTAGTGATGACATCTGTTGACTTGTCAAATTAGAGTGAAAGGACATACAGTTATTTATATCTTTTTTGCTGCACTAAATCCCTTGCCATGATCTCGCAGCGTTGCATAGGCCTAACTGTGCTTTTTGACAACTGGAGAGCTTTAATAGCTGAGATTGTCTCTGTTTTGTTTTTAAAATCCGGAAACAACAAGTCTGTTGCCTCAACTAAGGCCTCTTTGACCATCTTTCCATTCTGAAATGATTTCTTGTGTTTCACGATAATATGACTCACCCGGAATGATGCTACGGTATCAGCTTTTGCTTTTGAGCTGGGCTTTGTGAAGATTGACTGCTGGGCAGTTACTTTTAATTCTTGCACTTTTTCTTCCTGAGTTCATTTTTAGCTGGGTATTCATCGTCATAGTTTCTGTGTATAGTTGAAAAATGTGTTGTTCCCCTTCTTTGGAAGTGCGATGGCTACTTAGCAAATCAAGCAGATGAGTTTCACATTGTAACAAAAAAGTTTAGATTGCTAGAGAGGCAAACTCACAGCAGTGCTTTTTATGGGCAGTGGAATAGCTATGCTAACAGCAATACATTAAAGAGACAGTGGCCACATTTCACGCTAATCACGTTGACCTGCTGACTGCCAGAAAGTGTTGGAATTTGACACCCTGTTTAATTGTAAAGGAACGTTAAATGAGGTGCCGTCCACCAACATGTACTGTTTACTAGTTGATCGTGATCGACGTATTAGGCACCCCTGGTGTAAATCATTCATTGGTCAGAGGGCTATTTCTTTAAATGTGACCATACACTGATCTGCCAGTTTATTAGGTAGTGAGAAGAAACGACACTTTTGCTTTTGTTACTTAATACCTAACTATATGCTTCCAGAGCATATATCCACTTCATATTTACACATATAATGGCCCATTCAACAAAGCATGCAGTCAGATCTGATCGTAAAATGTGCAAGTAAATTTCACAGACCGTTTTGTGTTTCATCTTTGGTGTATCTGTATATATATGGTGTATCAACCTTATCTCTTAGGAGTTAGGGGACCAGATATTAAAAGTCAACAGTTGTGTAATGAAAGTCCAATCAACGTCGACCAATTGCTGATGGCGTCATGAATAAAACAACAGGACAAGGGAATGCTTTGCAACAAACTTTAAAAATCTGACTTTAAAAATCCATGACAAAGGTCATGACTCCACAGGTCAGTAGAGTGTGTCTTTTCCAACCAGCCCTGGATCGCATTCCTGGCCTTCAAGTTACCAATGATACAGTCCCCGGAATCTAGCATATTTGTATTTGACACCCTACGTGTCCTGCTGAGATGCTTGCCCATGGCGAACTTCTGGAGAAGCAGAAAAATTAAGAGCGCCGTAACTTCGTTTAACTTCAAACTTTACAGGACTACAGGGCATAATGCTCCTTCTCCAATGACATATGACTATTTTATTGTCATCTTTGGCAAACCAGAGATAACGACGTTTGATATCTGATCTTTGAAGCACTGTAGTTCGATTAAAAAATGGTAGAACGAAGCCAAACTCCATAAGTAAGTAGAGCATGACGTGTCCTTTCAAATGAGCTCTGGATCGCATTGCTAGCATTGTGAAAAAGTCAGACGCTATGTAGTTCATGTCATTCAGAGTGGTCAAATCTGCACTCTTTGTATGCCACTTTGATTAATAAGGGTTAATGTCTTTTGACTTTGTACTTCCGAACAAAAAAACATTCCAGTTATTTAAGCTGCAATAATAGAAACAAATATATCAGTGCAAAATATGTGCAAATTACAGCTAGTGTCATTATAAAAGATTTCAGTTTTAACAAGTAGGAAGTGGGTCTGGGAGCATGCTCCCCTAGGAGGATGTTTTTAATAACAATATCTGTTCGTCATGAACTTTTAGGGTAGTGGTAGCGCAAAATGTATCAAAAAGAAGATATGTTTCTTCAGACTTAAATATTGTAACACAGATCACAGATCAAGCACAGGTATTAAAGTGAAGCAGCGCTATCTCCTCTGTCTTAGATAAGCTGCAGGTCCTAAATGTGGTATTCAAATACACAGATTACAGATCAGTTCAGTCTCAGTTTGTGCAACCAGACAGAATGTGTTTGTGTTCTAGTTGCACTTACATGTTTAAAAGTCTAAGTGACAAAGTCAGTGTGACATTAAACAGCACAAAAATGACATTTTCTCAATTATTTTTGTACCTTGTCTCACAAATGAGGATATATTAAGAGCCCCAATAAGAATGCACTAATATGTCTCTTCCATAATAATATCTGCTCAGTGGTGGCTCTATGGTGGTCCCTTTCCATTGACAGATGTGGAAGAGGGGAGATGATAAATTGTGCAGCAACAGATTGATATTGATATTTATTTGCAAAGTGCATCTATATGTTAAGTATACCTGACAAAATGATCAGTGAATGTAACTAAATGGTACATATGTATAACAATCTGACAACACAGTGTGTGGTCTTATGTAAAAGATGTACTGGGGAATATGCAAAACGTTCCATCAAGTTAATCTCATGGGTTGATCTTTCCCGTTTCTCCTCTGCATGAAAGGAAATCTCCCATGAGGAAGTGCTGCCTAGCGCAACAGCTCCACCTCTGGTCCCAGGCAGCAGCAGTCCTCTGCCTAGCGATAACCTTTGTCTCCAACAGTTCAGAAGTGTAAGTGTACATGCTGCCTCAAACAACAGCTCCAGTTAATGCTATTAGAAATGAACAAACATGTCTGACAGTGATTTTATCATAACCCTGCTTTTAATAAATTGCATCAAAATACAATATGTTAAAATACACTAATGAATTACAAACAAAAAATGTGTTTATTTAAATGGAAATGAAAAGCAAGAAAAATTATGTCCATGTTTAATATAATCACAATAAACAGTTATTTTTTATCTTTTATATAATAATAATAATAATAATATTAATAATAATAATTTATTTAAATCTTTCATATGTATTTATTTCAACTTTATTTTTATTGGGTTTTCACAGGGTTACAATAAAATCACTGCTCACCAAATCAGTCCACTTAGATTTCACGTTATGTACTTTATTGGTCCTACAAGGGAAATTTGTCATTTTGCTATGCCCAATCTGGGAGCAGCACAGTGTTGTTAGCAGAGCAGTGCCGCCTGGCGGCAGTGGGGGGTTAAGTGCCTTGCCCAAGAGCACAGCCAGGCATATCTAGTCAGTTGTGGGATTTGAACCTGCAACCTTCCGGTTGATGGCTCACTTCTCCTACCACTAGGATACCATGCACATGCAAGAACATGACAAGGTGTCTGGGGGAAAAAGAAGTTAAAAGTTAAAAGAAGAGAGCAAAAAGGAAGTAGCAAAAAGAAAAAAAGTGAGGCACATCTTGACTGAGGGCACTTGACCATTACATTACAATAATATACTTTGTTTCGTCCTAGTATTTAATACATGCATGCTGTTTGCATCAAAGGTGTCAGAATATATATTCAACAAGTTAACACTGGGTGACAAGGAATTCTTGGTATATGTTGTGTATATTTTATGAATTCTTTTCTAATAAGTTTAAATCTTTTCACAGTCCCAGAAAATATGCATTACAGGGCCTACACAACAAAATAATTTCAAGGGATTATGGTACAATTATGTTCCCTGACTAAAGGTACTGAGATGTACACTTGAGGGTACCACCCCATTGACAGGAGGGGTACAGCCCCAGTGTCTGGTCCATACCTTTTTTCTGAGAGTGTAGTGAGTTAATGAGTTAATAAATAAATTAAAAGAGAGTGAAGTAAAACTCAGTCTCTTGGGGTGAGTTGTTAGCCCTTAGCCTAGTGTGGAGATTTGCCAGCTTTCCATGTGTACCGTCTGTGGTGCTTCTTGCTCAGCCAGCTGTGATGCCACGGTCTCGGCCTACAAGCTGAGAGGCTCTGCAGTGTCTTAGCTAAAACTAATAGTGTGAACAGCATGTAATATTTACTAAATTCCAGCAGTGTCTGATGGTTGTTGATTAAAGCTCGAGTGTAAGAGACGCACATGCAAGACAAATGACTTTCTGAGGTAAGACAACATTCAACATGTTTTTGCCAGGCTTGCAGAAGCCACTATGGGGTTTACATACACTCGCCTTTATCTTGTTAGGGTTGGAAAACGATATTGACATCTGCCTATATATTGTTTACTATTTCACTCAATAAAAATATATATTTTTTAAAGATTTACTTCAGTTAAATATGGTTCTTATTTAAAGTGAAGGGACATCCAGAATAATATGCTACTGTTAATCTACAAAAAAGGTTTACTTAATCATCCAAATTGTTTTATTTGAAAAAATATACATAAATACACTGTACTTATCATCGATACAACATTACATGGAAGTACATTACAAAATTAAAAAAAAAAAAAATTGATACATTAAAGTTAGTTTTAATTTGGTCAAATGATCTAATTGTAATTCCTTTAGACACCCATATAGGAGGCCAATGTTCCTAGTCTGTGGAGGAAAGTCTGGATTATGGGCAACACAAAAAACAGTGTTAAGCCAGGCAACATAGTTAATTTACAAGAAATTCGCCACAACATATGGCGGCTTATTACATTCATAAAACATTTACAGACTAGGATATTACTAAATAGGGGAGAGCTGGGCACAACCTAACACAGGTGAAAATGTAATAGGGATATTTATGTAGTTTTGGTCATGTTCTTGTGTTCCCATAGCAATGTCATCTGTGAAATTTGACAGCAATCTAACACCCTGAAGACTGTCTTTGTACCATAGAAGTAACTTTTTAAAAAAAAATTTTTGATTACTTGACACATACATTAATTTTATTTAATCTTCATCTTCGTGGGGTACACTTTCAGAAAAATAGGTACAAAACTATCACTGGGGCAGTACCCCTCCTGTCACTGGGGTGGTACCCTCAAGGGTACGTCTCAGTACCTTTAGTCAGGGAACATAATTGTACCATAATCCATTGAAATTATTTTACAAGGTACAAATACATACTTTTCACAAGGAAAAACCTATTTAAAGTACACAGTTGGACCTTAAAACCACTGTTGTATCTTTGAGGGCACAATTACATTGTTTGTAACTTGATGCACATAAAATGTACCTGCACAGAACCTTTATTTCTAACAGTGTAATATAGCATAGTTTTGAACAATATAAGCACCTCAGTAAGAGCTATCTAAGCCAAAGTACAACCTCCATGCAGCATGGTAATTGAAACACAGTGTTACAGCGTGAAGTTTTTATCCACAGATTCAACAAGAAACAGACAGTTATGTAAATAAATATAAACATAGTCATGTAAATAAAAACATTTATCATGCTTTTATATTTGCTCTTCTACTTGGAAAAAATATGTTTGCTCAGGTTGACACAGCTTCTTTTCCCTGATCATATACATTTTGATGCAGATATTCTGTACTAAAGATGTGTATTGATTCAATTGATTCAGTTCAATTGATGTGTGTCATAAATGTGAATATGTAAGTATTTTACAAAGACTTTGATGTCTCTCAGCCAAACAGATTTTATAACTGGTATGATCAGTTTTATAATGTGAAACGTGCCCCTCATATTCTCAGACAACTGTTCTGACTTTGTGGTTTTGATGTGGTACAGGTTAGTTTCATCTTAGGTTAATTTATATTTTGTATAGAGCATGTTTAATGCACAGTATCAGCTCAGCATAATTCAGTATAAACACCACTGGCTTCAGTCAGAAGTGCTCAAATATTATTTGTGCAGTGAGTCTTTATTACACCACCACTGATAAAGATATAATGCAGAATAAAATACGCTTTTAAAAGGGCTTTTATTCTAATGAATTTTAATATTCCTCTAAACAGAGTGCACTAATGTGACCCTTGGATCATTCTCTCGATTCCTCTTACTCGCTGTGTGGACATGTGTATGGATCCTTTTCTCGGTGATCACTTTGTTAATTAACCACTGTTACAGTTTTCAAACTTCTTGTTTATTGCATTTATCCATTTTTCATCAACCATTCAATGCTGTTGTTATTTCTTTGCTTTTCTCTACAATAATGAATAACAAATATATTTTCACTCTTTCCAAACTTCTAAAAAATGATGAAAGGATTTTACCTAAAGCAGGGCTGCCCAAGCTGTTTGTTTTGGGGGTCCGAAGTGTAATGTTTATGGTGAGGACAAACAAGACAAAATATTTACAGGTTAATAGAGTGTACCTGGCTAAAGTGGAGAGAAATCATTTCAATTAATTTAAGAAAGACAAGAAATTTTAAAAGAAAGAACAAGAAGTTTTAAAAATACATGATCTCTCATTGGCTGAGAGAGAGTGGGGGTTTAAGTACTTGGCAGGTGTGCCAACTCAAATGTGCCAGTAATTTTTACTGGTAAAAAGGATCATTCAGTGCTAACTGTCAAATGTTGACAAGTATTATTATTATTATTATTATTGTTATTATTATTATTATTATTGTTGTTGTTTTTATTTAGCAATAATAACAGTTGTAGTAGTAATGGTATTTTAGAATAATGGTGTTAAAATCTGGGTTGAGGCCAGTTCAGATTAGCTTTGCTAGTTCAGCTGAAGAGATTTACTTACTTAAGTATTTACTGACATTTATCTTAAGAAGAAGTTCAAAGCAATAATTAATTCATTCATCTTGTGGATGGACAGCAATCTTAAGCAAATCAAACCTGAACTGATTGAACTGGCCCCATTCCAGGATTACAATAAAAGCATATTTATTTTTCTACACGTCTGAGGATAATATGTAGCTTATCTGTGATGTTAATTTTCAGCTTTTTCTTTTAACTAAACAATATATAGTTGTATGCAAAAGATTGGACACCTCTGGTCAAATGACATCATTTGATTTTCTGAATGTAAATAGTTCACGTTCTACACACCACACACTTAATTTAAAATACTGGGGAAAAAATAAAACAAATTGTGGCCTGTGCAAAGGTTATGGCGCATTTTATATTTTACAAACAGGTTAACCTCAGCAAATAAATAGAAACTGTGCATTATCAGAAAAATGCCGTATTTAAGATGTGGATGTGTTAACTTACTTTCACTCTTTATCGAGGGCATTCAAACATTTGCATACGACTGTATCTGGGTCTTATTTTCTTCATGATCACACAGAACTGTAGATACACTTCTTTTCTATAGAAAGGACAATCTGTTGAACTTGTTGATTTGCATGTGTTTTCATAGTGTGCAACCATATGATTTTAGTCTCTCAATGTTAGTGAGGAAATGGTTCTCATGCCACGTCAACATATTAAAGACTGTTTGACACATACATGACTCCTATCTGTAGTTTGACTGACCACTGTTGATTGTATCATTGCACCTTTTGAAGTCATTACCGAAAAAAGCTTAAGAATGAGACCTACACAAAAAGAACTATACCAGGGGTAACCAATTCCAGTCCTAGAGGGCTGAGGCACGTCTCACAAAGCAGGATTTCTTGCTGAGCCAGATAGCTTTAAGCTTAGTTTGATCTAACACTGGTCAGACTCTATTGAAATGTAGCCCTCCAGTACTGGAAATAAAAACCCATGCACCTGGAGGACAAGACGTTTAGATCAGTGGTTTCTAACTCTGGTCCTGGAGAACCCCTGGCTCTACATCTTTTAGTGTTTTTTTACTCTAACAGATCTACAAATCAGAAAGGCCTTGTTAAATAGCTCACAAGTTGAATCAGGTGTGCTAGTATGTGTGTTTAAAGAGCTTCTAACTTATTGTTACAGAGTAAATCCAAATAAAGAGACTCCAAGCGTGTTGAGCTGTTCAATGATGTTAAATAAGCAGCAGTTTAAAAAGATGCTTCACATGACTTGGATGAACAATGTGTTAGCCTCATCTCCTAGCACTGTTAGTATTCTGTAATTAGCTAGACCTACCTAGCTATAGACCTAGCTTCAATATGGCGACATCTTAAAGAAGGTAAGGTTCTTTTTCACTTTCCTGTTGAATGTGCATCAAGGGAATGGTGGTGCGGCTTGTTGACCATATGAATGGTTGAAGGATATTCTTGGGGAACATTGTTTTCTTAAAGATCTGTTTGGTAATGATCTATTTCTACATGGTCATGTGTCTATTCATCTAAATGCTGACATGATAAGAGTATGTGCTGACAAGGCTGGCTTGAATCTGACCAAAAGGTATCAAAGAGGAAATAACTCTTGGGTTTTACATCCACCTCTTTTGAGAATTTTGAAAATGTGCCACAAATCTGAAAAAACATATCTAAATATAGCGAAGAATATTGTGCACTTGGATGAAGTGGTTCATCAATGGAAGACCAATGCAAAAAAATTACATTAGTGGGTGATGACAAAGTGGAATTGCAACTGAGCCCTCATTAAATTCTTTCCATTAAACCGTAGTTCATGGAAGCGCTTGAGCAATTTTTCTGTTCCTTTACTGACTGCCGAATGGAACCAATTTAGTGGTGGGGCTGATGGCAGTATTTACAAGGCAATTACGGATGTCTGGATGTGTTATCATTGGCAATAAAGCATAATTGGGACTTAAAAATAACATATTGAGTTTGTATGAATCAACAGATTCAGCTGATTTTTTTAAATAACTTGATTTGGAAGCCATTGACTGCTCATTAACATTATACTGTCAAAATGTCAACAGTATGGCTATCTTTAGGTGTTACACGAAATATTAGTGACTGCACTTAATCTCCACAAAAACTAGTTAAAGTCTAACCAAATTCTTTCAGGTGACGTATCATCAGGGTTAGGATAGCTACTGAAAAATTTCCCAAAAGTTGTAGCTAGCACAATTTAACTATTTCTTAGCTACTTTTTGAAGAGTAGTGCACCACTTTTTAGCTACTTTCAAAGCGTGATTGTCAGAATGATTCTGAATCTCCACCTGACACACCAAACAAGCCCAACTGATAATGTGAACAAGACACTGCATTTAATCATTGCCAGAAAGAAACATACAATTGAAAAGCTGCAAATATACAAAAAGATCACAAAAAAATAAGTTTAAGTGTAACCAACAATGAAACTTACACAACCAAAGGCATGATATCCAACAAAGATTTAGACTAAAGGCTAAGTCAAAAAGGTTTTTCATTTCAGCAAGATGTGTACAGACATGACATTCAGAGACCTTTGTTAAACTTCAGCAACACTTTAGCCTCAAAATCCCCATCATTGACCCTGGTTCTGTTTGTGGTGAGAATCTGGCCTGAATAATCTCTCCACTGCTGCAGAGCTGTTGCGGCTCCACAGCAGAACTAGATTTTTAGGTAAAATAACATAATCCTCTTTTGCTGTAAAGTTGTTATAACACACAATTCTAGCACAGTTTTCACAATAAATGGTCTTAAATGCTGGAGTTAATGCATAACTGCTAATTCAACCTTTAACGCTAAAGACTGACGCACAGACTGCTGGTCACACGGCAACACAGACAACAAAAAGGCAAAGAGAAAGATTTAAGACGAACATCGATGATTTGGAGATGAATGGACTTATTTGCATTTATAAGCACTCAGCTGGTTTCCTCACACGTTTAATCTGCAACAACTCGTGAAGCTGAAGTCAACTTCTCATTCGAATTCTCCAGTTCCACTTTAAATTGTACAATCTGGCGCCTCAGGCACCATTTAAGGTGGAACTGGACAATTTGAATGAGAACCAGGAGAATGAGAAGCGACTTCAGCCTCGCAAAAAGTCGAACATTGAGAGACATTTTACAAGAAACTCGCGGAAAGGTTTTCTGAGATGCGAGAAAAGACGATACAGCTGAGCTAAAGGTTAAAGCAGAGCAAACTAAGTCTGCGTTTTCGTTTATTAAATTTTTAGCCTATACTAGCACATAAGCACATACTGAGACATACTTACAGCCAAGATAGTAAAATTGACATAAAATGTTGTGCCTCCCAAGGTGGTTTCATTTTTTGTTGAAAGGACATGGCTCTTCCTAACATTTCGGTTGCCGACCCCTGTGCTAAGACTACTAGTAAGGGGTGATCAGCGCGTGACCCTTTGCTTGAGCTGTCCGCAGCTCAGTCAGGCTTGCACAGTCGCCACCTGGCGTTTTATCTTCTTCGGGCAAAAAAGCTTGCCACTGTCTGGTGTAGACATTGTCTATCTTTCCTTATATGACCTTTACAGATGTAGAAACATTAGAGCCAAGAATATATATGTGATTAACAAACAATATGAAATGTACATACACGAATTTCTCATCGTTAGACTTGCTGAAAGCAGCAGAACGAGAAACGAAAGCGCGTCGGTGTAGCTTACGCAGTCTGCGTAAAACGCTCGTGCATGTGAACAGAAACTGCGAAAGAGCGCCCTCGACGGTCACAGAATTCGGTGTAACACCTGGTTCTGCGAGGCTTTACCAGGTCGAGAAGGATCTGACTGCAGCGCCGCAGAGCAAATTTACAGTGGAACGCATGCGCAGTAGGACAGCGCAATCGTGCCATGTGAGCGTTCCCATTCGTATTTCAACCACTTGCCGGTGTTACGGTAAATTCAGATCCCCCTGTTTTCCCCTCATTGCGCATGTCGAAATCATGACGTCCTCAGCTGAGGCTGTGTAGCGGGACCTAGGCTTAATTCGTTCGTGTTCGTAATGTTCCTCGTGGTAATTTTGTTATCATCCTCGGGGTAAGCTAAATTTTACTTCGTTTGTGAAATGTTTTGTAATTAAAGGCATGTTGAGATGTATAAAATGTGAATTTAATGCTCAAACAGTAGGGGCGTAAACTTGCTAATGCTAGCTTTCGCTCCATTTTAGCCATAGATATACATACCTAGATGCCGCTTTGAGTCCAGACAGTCCAGAGGCACAGAGAACCTGTTGATGTGATTGTTTTTTTTCCTGGTTTTATATTAAGCTTATTTTATTTAATAGTCTATTTAGGAGATCTTAACTTTATGTAGTAGTTATTTATTTATAATGGTGATTAATGCTTTACAGCTAGGTAAGTATAGCATTCCTTAATCCGTGTAGATATTCATAATTCTTATTCGCCAGCTTCTTGTTCGAATTTTCCCGTTTCACCTTAAATGGTGCATCAGCGAGCTTCTTGTTTGATTTTATTTTTATGTGTATTAAGATTAGAAGTGATCCACACATTGATGTATTTGCTGATGTGTGTGAGATTGTGGTGTTTCTACCGGAGCGCTAAACTCGGTTATTAACGTCAGGTGCAGATTGAGTGCTTTTCTGCTGGCCCAGACGGCTAATTAGTACGATCAATTATTAAAGAAATAAAAGCTACCGAAAACAGTCCGTGCAACCTAGATGAATGTATGTCTGAGGATTATAACAAAACAAATTTAATGAAACTTGGGTGAGTAATAAGGAAGTTGTGGCTGATTTAATCCTGAGAACTCATCTTGACCGCTCCAACATGGCGGACTCGCAGATGTATCGCCTCAGATAGAGAACAACAGGCAACGCGGCACCTAGGTATGTATATCTATGGTTTTAGCTACTCCGTGCAACACTGAGAGAGGGGGTTCAGTCCCGAAGTGGCATCTGGCAGCAGGAAGTGGCAACTCCGCCGTCCGGAAATGGCACGTACTGGCATGTGCCACTTAGCAAATGGCACCTGACACCGACAACTGGTAACAAGTGGCACATGGAGCTATGATGTGCCGCTAGTTAGCCCAGCCGAGTCTATCCAGAGTCTTTGCTTTACTCACAGGAGCTGTTGGTATGTGCCTGTTTTGAGAGGCACACGCCGTTTCTGTGTGGCGAGTGTCACTAACCGAGTGGCATGAGCGGCATGTGCCACTCGTTACCAGTTGTCGGTGTCAGGTGCAATTCGCTAAGTGGCACATGCCAGTACGTGCCATTTCCGGACGGCGGAGTTGCCACTTCCTGCTGCCAGATGCCACTTTGCGACTGAACCCCTGCAGAACACTGATTTAATGCTCCACTTCTGGTTTAATTACCGTGCATATAGAGACATTCTGTTGTTCAGACTCCAGTATTTTTAAAGATGTACTGTAGATGTCCCATAGCCTCGTCAGTCTCGCTAAGTTGTGTAAATATTTGAAAAATTTGAAAGTTTTGTTGTTGATATAAATAAACTGCATTACACGGCACAGTAATTGGTCTATGTTATTATTAATACTTGTTTAAGTCTGTTGAAGCTGAAGTGCATTCATGTCTTACTGTTATGGTAGTAATGTGTCTTTTCTTTGTAGCGTTCATTAGTGCAGTTGTTGTTTTACACTAGAACACAGAGGGAACAGTTAGCTGGTACTAATGGGAAAAGGTTTCCCAAATATTACAATATAACAACTGAAATTGAATTAAAATGCAAGAGTAATGATAGTGAGCATCTGTTCTGTCTTTGAGCACGACAAGTTTGATCCTTATAATTTAGTAATAAGAACACAGCAGGGAAGTGGTTTCCACTTGGAGAGATACAGCTGGAGTGGATTTAAAATACAGTAATAATGCTGGTAATCTATATCTGTACCAAGGTCATTTCTGTGAGGAACATTTAATCAAATTACACCACCTTTACTCTGAGAAGGTTTTTCTCTTGTAAATTACAGCTGGAGTGGATTTAAAGTACAATAATGATGCTGAAAATCTATATCTGTGCCAGATCATTTCATTCAGCAAGTTTTACTCAATCTGTACCACCTTTACACTGAGAATACAGGGGGGGCATCTTTAACCAGAGCCCTTAGAAAAGTGTTTTCCCCCTGTATATTACAGCTGTAATTGATTTAAAGTGCAATAATAATGCTGAAAATCTATATCTATGCAAGATCATTTCACTCAGTAGGTTTTAGTCAATCTGTGCTGCCTTTACACTGAGAATACAGGGGGAACTTCTTTAACCAGAGCCCTTAGAAAATTGGTTTCCTCTTGTATATTACGGCTGGAGTGGATTTAAAGTACAGTAACAATCTATGCAAGATCTTTTCACTCAGTAACTTTTAGTCATATTATACCACCTTTTAGACAATAACACAATTATTATAGTACTTTTATAACTTCTTGTAATATAATGAAATGAAAGTAGGATTATTATAGCACCTTTATACCCCGTTGTAGGGTAGGGAAAGGAAACCATTTACCAGGAACACTAGTAAATTCAATCCCACTTGTTTACTTCCATTAAACATGGTAACAGATAACATAGCTGTATCAAGAAACATTAGTGTACTACACCTGTATGTAGTAATCATTCAATTTGAGAAAAATGGTCAAACATTAATTTAATTCACCACAGTTTAAAATGTTGGACACATTGCAGTTACTGGGAGAACTGAAAAAAGCAAAGAAAGCATTATAGTATATTAAACTGATCCTAATGGTCAGTTTTTTACTGAAAATTACTTGTTTTAGGGGCACTGTGTAAATCTGTTCTACCGTTTACTCTCTGTATAAAACAATGTTAATAGAATGAAGCAGGTGGAATAAAATTTAAAAACAAAGATGAATGAATATGATAATAGTGCATTAAATCTATAACAGCTGTAATAATGCCCCATCTGCATTCTCAGTGTGAAAGTGGTATAGGTTGACTAAAACTGTGTAAAATGATGATACAGATACAGATTTTCAGCAACATTATTGTACTTTAAATCCACTCCAGCTGTATCTCTCCAAGGGGAAACCACTTTTCTCTGGCTCTGGTTAAAGATGTTCCCCTGTATTCTCAGTTGTAAAGTTGGTATAATATGAATAAAAGTTACGGAGTGAAATGATCATGCACAGATATAGATATCAGCACCTTTGTTGTACATTAAATCCACTCCAGCTGTAATATATATAATATATCCGAATTAAGCCTATTAGGCGAGCAGAGCAGCGGCAACTGAAGACGTCATGATTTTGACATGCGCTATGAGGGGAAATAGGGGGAACTTCCTATTTGCGTCCCTATGCATATTATCTTTCAGGAAGTGATTTTACAGCAAGGATACGCTCAAAAATTCAAGTTTGTTTTAGCCTAAAACTTAATATTATGTTCCGTTTAAGCCTGCTTAAGGTAAAGTTCTATAAGTTAACAGAGCTATATGTCTACATAACCCATTAATTTACCCAGGCCACATCAGCTGTAGTTTGTGTAATATTTACCCTGTGAATCTTTATATGCGTTCAAACCAAAGTTTTTTTTAGCCTAAAACTTAAAATGTAAGTTATTTAATATTGATTAGCCTAAATGTCGCTAAGAAAAGAAAAACAAGTGTTGGCCCATGTGCTGAATGCGGGGCGGCAGGTGCTTCTGAAAGATTCACAGTAAAACGGCTACATGGTAAACTGCTAATATGTATGTCACAAACGTGTATTTTATATGACATGTTTATAGAAGCTTCAAATGTCTGTGTCTTTTAGAATTGTCTTTTTTGATTATTCTGTTTTGATTATTCTGTTGGTGTCCAGTAGCCAGTAAATTTTCCTGACACAGTATAAAGGAAGTCCAAAGTCCAGGTACCTCTAGATGGCATCGTTTGGTGTTGGGTCATCATCTATTTGAACACTCAACCACAAAATGATGTTCCATTTGGGCCTGGATAACCTCTCCATGAGCCATTCACTACACTCTGGACAGCATATTCCAATGATACAGCCTGTTGATTCCACATGGTTTGAAACTTCTCCAAGATCTTACTAAGCACAATACTACGTGAAAGCATGTTTAACAGGCTGTTTTAATAACATGATGGTGTTTTAAATGACCTGTAATGGAACACACTGTATGAAAATGAGAAACCTATCAGATCCACACATGAAAATATGTCCCATCCTGATTTGCCCTTATGAGCAACCTAGATTCAATAATCTTTTATTTTAATTTGTGATGCCATGCACCAAAATCAGGCTCCCCTGGCTACTGGGTCAAAAGGCATTCTTCAATGGCCAGTCAGTCATCTAATATGAAGTAAACGAAGTGTTTATTTTACTTGCAGGAGATCAGCTGGAATTCAATATGGCTGCAGTAGAGTTAAACTTCAGAATGTCACTATATGCAAAAGATGTGTAACCAAATATCACATTAAATGTTACTTCCTGAACATAACTTTCCAATCCAGATACTATTAGGGTCATAAATGGAGAAAGTAGTTTTACATAACCTAATAAACTTTTTAAACTGATTATTAATTAATTAATTTATTTATTTATGCTAAAGCTTAACATTTTCACTAGCAGTTTTCTCAGGGACAAGTTCAATGAAGAAGTCTCATTTTCATTTGTGAGTATAAGAAATAAAATAATATAAAACAAAGTAATCACAATATTAAGATATTCAGTAATTATGATTATTTTATTGTTTTTTTTTTTTTACAAAATTCAAGGTTTATTTATAATTGTTAGCACAAAGAAACTGGATAGGTAAAAAACAATCTCAACTTCTTTTCAGCATTCAAAAATATACAAACCAACAAATGAGCCAAAAGTGGTACTAATGATCCAAACCTATGTTAAATAACTTATTTTATTGTAAAATTAGTTTAATCACTTTTTTATATGTACATTTGTTCTATTTCATCATAGTCTTTATTATCATATGTTGGTATATTGTATTTATTTGATGTTTGATACTTCTAGCCCATAAAGCTAATTCCATTATTCAGCCATTCAATTTTCATGCATAAGAGCTGCTTATCCTCACACGTCACTGACCAGATACAATTCAAATGCACTAAACTATGATAACGTTAGAGAACAGTCATGTCTCTCTGACATAACTGGTGTAACTGCAGTAACACCAGTTAAAGCAGGTTTAACTGGTGTTTTGTAGCAGTGAAATTACCAAACTGTGGTGGACAATTCAGAACTGAAACAGATGACCCCTCCTTTCTGAAGTCACAGTCATATTATTAATTATTAGTTACTGAATTAAACAAATTGTGCAATTTTAAGTTCTCTGTAGAGGATGTGTGCTTATTTTCACTCAAGATGCAATCTAACCTTGGGTGTTTAAACTTTTGCATACAATTGTATCATTGAAGATCCTTTAGTTTGTGTATCGCTGCCTTTTGTTGCTCTTGCTGTTCTTGTTTCTGCTTCTTCAGGTGCCGGTATGCCTGCACCACCCTCTCACGTTCTTCCTCCATCATCCTCTGTCTAGCCATGGAGGGCTTGACTGTTGATAAGGCAGTGTGGCCGAGTAGAGAATTCAGAAGAAGGCCCTTGGATGCCCCCTAGAGGAATTGACAATGCATAAACAAGCAACCTGTTAGATATCAAAATGACTGTAAAACTGGATTCAGGGTCCATTACATTATCGCATATTTAATTACAGAAGTTATGCAATTAATTACATTTATTTCAACTGACATTCTGCCTCAACTGTTTCCAGTGACCATTGTCTACTTTTTACATTTTTGTTTGTTTTAATGTCAAAAAATTAGAAAGATGCAAAACAAATTTTTGTTTCTGCAAAAACGGACTGAATCAGAACCCAAACCATACATGAGTTGGTCTTGACCAATAAGTGACTACCTGTGGTTTTAGCAGTATCAGCGAAAATATTGCCAATAACACACAGATAACTAGTTTTGGTCACAGCACTGCTTCAGAATCTCCTAAAGAGAAAAACCTTAGACAGCTATGCCATTCAGGAACCCAACATGAGGAACTTTAAGTTTAAATATGGGACAAGAATTCAGGCTGAACTGCTAAATTTGAACACAAATAACCATCATGGTTAAAATGCAAACCCAAATCCAAAAAAGTTGGGACAGCAGTTAAAATGTAAAAAAAAACAAAAAGCAACAATTTACAAATCTACTTTGAGCTGTATTTAAACATAAGCAGTAGAAAGACGGGATATTGTCTTAATTTGGTATTTGTACATATATGCAAATTTTGAAACAGATGCCTGCAACATATTCCAGAAAAGTTGGGATGGGGCAACTTCAGACTAGAAATGTTAAGAAAATCCATCTTAAAGCGGTAAGCAGGTGATGCGATCATGCATGGACATAATAGAAACACCCAGGAAAGGTCTAGTCTCGCCACTTTGCAAAACATGGCAAAAATCCAATATTTTAAAAACAACATTCCCCAATCAGGGATTGCAAGGATTTCAGGCATTTCAACCTCTACAGTACATAATAACATTAAAACATTCAGGGAATGCAGAGAAATCTGTGTGCGGAAAGGACACAGAGATTTCTTGTAACATCCTGTAACCTTTGATTCCTCGGACAGCACTGCATTAAAAACCGGCAAGCTTCTGTGATGAACATCATCTCATGGGCTTAGGAATACTTTGACAAACCACTGTCAATCATCAATCAGTTCATCTGAAATGGACTGATGCACAGTGGAAAGGTGTACTGTAGTCTGACAAGTCAACAGTAGAATGGCAATAGATTTTGGTTTCAAAACTATCTGTGTCTTAAATCCCCAAACGATTACTGTGAAATTGTTTGGGGACATTAAACAATTAGTGTTGTTAAAAAGAAAGGTGATCTGACACAGTAGTAAACATGCTCCTGTCCCAGCTTTTTTGGAACGTTGCAAGTTTGGAATGAGCATATATGTCCGTATAGAGCATATTTACAAAATAAAAAAAAACAAAAAAAAAACAGAAGTTGTAAGGTAAAACATAAAATACTGTGTTTTTATATCATTTATAACTTAATACAGGTCAAACAAAATTTACTAAACACTGCTTTCTGTTTTTATTAGCATTTCACATACTGTCCCAACTATTTTGGAACTGAGTAAGTAACAAAAACATGTAAAATGCAGTCAAACCTAATCTTTAGTATGACAACAACATGCCACAAAAAAAATTTGTATAAGGACATGAAAAACACAAGAAAAATAAGGGAATTAACAGAAAAAGAAGGCAGAACTCTGGGTAGCCTGCCCCTAGTACTACAATATTTATGTTATTTAATTGTGGCTTTCAGTTGTTTGAGTTTAACTAACTTGACCTCTGAGAACCAATTATCATATTTTACAATTTACAGTTGACATTAACCTCAGTCTAAACAGTCAAATTAACCAAAACTATTGAAGTAAAATTAAAACCTAAAAGGTAAATGTAAAATTACATCAGCTATTACTATCAGTTATTAGAATTTTTAGTGCTGTAAAATTGGTATTGTTATAAAGCACAAAACTGTCGTATTGATCTCCACATTGTAGTGATCGACAAATACATAAATTTTCGACCAATGCTTTCCATTAAAAAGTGAATTTAATTTCCAATAAACAATTGATCTCTATACCATTTCTCACTGCCTTTGGCTGGACCCTCACCACAAACAATTTGCTTTCTTCCATCAACAAAGAGGCAGTCTATAAAAGCGAAACTAAGTGTGATAACCAGGACAGAGGTGTCTGTGGCGATAGAGAGTAGAGGTGAGACTGCTAGTGTGGAAATCACACATGAGCGCCAGGGAGACAAAGCCAGTGGCATGAAAAATGCTTCTTCAGTGAGAATGCTTCTTGTCTCAAGTTGATAACTCAAGGAGAGCTAGAAAGCTATTTCAGTGATATTCCACAAGCATTGGAAATCATCTTCATTGGTAGAAAGTCAACAGTGTATGATTCCTGACAGTGGCAGACTTTGGCCAGATGCTACTTGGGCATAGCAGTGTCTTCTGCATAGCGGGACTTCTCAGCCGTTGGTCTGACTGAACAGGCTGTGTAGTTAAGCTACAGGCTGCAAATGTATGTTAGCTTATGAATTTAGTCCCATGAAAAAAAAAAAAAAGCATAACCCCTGAAATAGCCAGAGCCCACCAAGTTTTATTACAAAGTTCTATAAGAATAGCTCAGTCAGTTTGCATTGAAGTCCCTGTACTTGCTGAATAATAAGCCTTGATATGTAATAAGCCTGGGATTTCAAGGGGTTAAAAGCTGTGAGCTACTGACCTTATGTTAATTGTTGTTTAAACTGTGCATATGAACTTCGTCAGGCCATGTATGTTAGTTAACATGGGCCATAATTAATCTGTGGTAAATGTCAGTAAGTAAACTACATTACATATTAGAAATAATACACATTTTATTCAGTAAAGCCTAAAGCCTTGTTTATATAAAACACAGTTCTGTGTTTGATGTTTTCAGTCAAGTCTGTGATGTCAGGTTTGTTGGTTAACGATTAATCATCGACTAATAACATTTGGTTATTGGTCAAAAGAATTTGCCAAAATTTGCATCCATTTTCTTATCACCACAAAATACAACATATTGCCAAAAGTATTCACTCACCCATCCAAATAATTGAATTCAGGTGTTCCAATCACTTACATGGCAACAGGTGTATAAAACCAAGCACCTAGGCATGCAGACTGCTTCTACAAACATTTGTGAAAGAATGGGTCGCTCTCAGGAGCTCAGTGAATTCCAGCGTGGTACCGTGATAGGATGCCACCTGTGCAACAAGTCCAGTCTTGAAATTTTCTCGCTACTAAATATTCCACAGTCAACTGTCTGTGGTATTATAACAAAGTGGAAGCGACTGGGAATGACAGCAACTCAGCCACGAAGTGGTAGGCCACGTAAAATGACAGAGCGAGGTCAGCGGATGCTGAGGTGGCCAACTTCCTGCAGAGTCAGTCGCTACCGACCTCCAAACTTCATGTGGCCTTCAGATTAGCTCAAGAACAGTGCTTAGCTTCATGGAATGGGTTTCCATGGCTGAGCAAATGCATCCAAGCCTTACATCACCAAGCGCAATGCAAAGTGTCGAATGAAGTAAAGCACGGTGCCACTGGACTCTAGAGCAGTGGAGACGTGTTCTCTGGAGTGATGAATCACGCTTCTCTGGCAATTCGAATGACGAGTCTGGGTTTGGCGGTCGCCAGGAGAACAATACTTGTCTGACTGCATTGTGCCAAGTGTAAAGTTTGGTGGAGGGGGGGAGTTGGTGTGGGGTTGTTTTTCAGGAGTTGGGCTCGGCCCCTAAGTTCCAGTGAAAGGAACTCTTAATGCTTCAGATACCAAGAGATTTTGGACAATTTCATGCTACTAACTTTGTGGGAACAGTTTGGGGATGGCCCCTTCCTGTTTCAACATGACTGAGCACCAGTGCACAAAGCAAGGTCCATAAAGACATGGATGAGTGAGTTTGTTGTGGAAGAACTTGACTGGCCTGCACAGAGTCCTGACCTCAACCCTATAGAACACCTTTGGGATGAATTAGTGCGGAGACTGCGAGCCAGGCCTTCTCGTCCAACATCAGTGTCTGACCTCATAAATGCTCTGGAAGAATGGTCAAACATTCCCATAAACACACTCCTAAACCTTGTGGAAAGCCTTCCCAGAAGAGTTGAAGCTGTTATAGCTGCAAAGGGTGGGCCGACATCATATTAAACCCTATGGATTAAGAATGGGATTTCACTCAAGTTCATATGCATGTGAAGGCAGATGAGCGAATACTTTTGGCAATATAGTGTATCTTCTTTTCTACCTAAAACACAATTGTTATGCACTTCCAACAGCATTTCTTCTCTGCTTGTTTCAGTGAGCTACAAGTGAGAAATAATGAAAAACATGGAACTACAACATGCTTTGTTGTCACCACCTATAACTGAAGCTTCCGAAAAGTTTAAATCATGTTTGTCACATCACATTTAAACAGTTGCGAAGGTGAGTGAAAATCTTTGGTCTTAGGTGCGTAGCCCCCTTGTAGTAGTTAAATACACACACACAGATTCTAAATATATACATATTAATATACACAAGTGTCAACTATTCCAATACACAGTTTTTGTACAGTGATAAGTTATGAAATAAAAGCTATGTGTACAGTTGTACACTTTTCCTTATGTGCAATATGTGAGTCTGGGGTAGATAAATAAAAGAGATGCAGGGTACACAGGGGATAGAATATTGATATATAGATATTCCAGATTACAAGACATGGATAGAAGATGTGCAAGATGATCATCTATATGTGCAAGCATAGATTTGCTAGACTGAAGTTACAGTGAGATCACAGTGAGTCTGTTTGAGGTTGCAATGTGGATTGTCCACGGAGATCATCATGACGATGATGATTCAGAGGTGTAGTGACAATGTTCTACAACAAAGGCACCTTCATCTAATCAAGATCCACACAACTGTGAAAAGCAAAAACAGCTAGGACAAAGTGATCTTCAAATAAAATATGTACGGCTCTGTTCACATTTGATATTAACATCTATTTGATCTGGACAGTGAGAGCAGTTTACACATTTACATGCGTATCATATCTGTCTCCAGTGACCACTTAGACTATATGGACAAAAGTATTGGGACACGCCTTTTAATCATTGAAGGTGTTCAGGTGTTTCATTCAGTCCCACTGCCACAGGTGTATAAAATCAAGCACCTAGCCATGCAGTTTGCCTTTACACACATTTGTGAAAGAATGGGCCATTCTAAAAAGCTCACTGGACTCGAGTGAGGTACTGTAATAGGATGCCTGCGTTCCAACATGTCAGTTTGCAAAATTTCTTCCCTCCTAGATATTCCATGAACAACTGTGAGTGGTATTATTGAAAAGTGGAAGCATTTAGGAATCACTGCAACTTAGCCACAAGGTAGCAGACCATGTAAAGTTACAGGGTCCTCGAGTGCTGAGGCACATAGTGCATAAATATCGCCAACGCTCTGCTGACTAAGTAAGAAGTAAAAGTTTCAAACCTCATCTGGCATTAACATCAACACAAAAATGGTGCGACAGGAGCTTCATAGCATGGGTTTCTATGGCCGAGCAGCTGCATGCAAACCTTACATCAGCAAGTACAATGCCAAGCAGCAGATGGAGTGGTGTAAAGCATGCCACCACTGAACTCTGGGAGCAGTGGAAACATTCTGCATTCAGTTCATGTTACATTTGCTACTTTGTTTATATGTTTCCAGTGTGATGGGTGAATTTGGGTATGGCAAATGCCAGGAGAACATTACCTGCCTGCATTGTGCCAACTGTGAAGTTTGGTGGAGGAGGGATCATGCTATGGGGTTGTTTTTCAGGGGTTGGACTAGGCCCCTTAGTTCCAGTGAAGACAAATCTTAACGCTTCAGCATACCAAGACAGTGTGGACAATTGTACACTTCCAACTTTGTGGGAACAGTTTGGGGAAGGCCCTTTTCTGTTCCAGCATAACTGTGCCCCAGTGTAAAAAGCAATGGCATGGTTGGGCGAGTTTGATGTGGAAGAACGTGACTGGCCCACACAGAGCCCTGACCTCAACCCCATCAAACACCTTTGGGATGAACTAGAATGGAGATTGTGAGCCAGGCTCTCTCCTCCAACATCAGTGTCTGACCTCACAAATGCTCTTCTGGATGAATGGGCAAAAATTCCCCACAGACACACTAAAATCTTGTAGAAAGCCTTTCCAAAAGAGTGGAAGCTGTTACAGCTGCAAAGGCAGGACCAATTCCTTATTAAAGCTTATGGATTTAGAATGGGGTATCATAAAAGCTCCTGTAGGTGTAATGTGTAGGGGTCCCATTACTTTTGGCCATACAGTGCATAATCAGATTTTGTGATTGTAGGTAAGATACCACAGACATTTACTACATTGTGTTCCAAATTATGCAAATTGGATTTAAGTGTCAAAGATTTAATTTTTTTTTTTTCAATTAAACTCATGGATGGTATTGTGTCTCAGGGCTCCTTGGACGTTCCACATTATTAAGCAGGCCACAGGTTTCAAGCAATATGGAAAAGAAAAAGGATCTCTCTGCTGCCGAAAAGTGTCAAATAGTGCAATGCCTTGGACAAGGTATGAAAACATTAGATATTTCAAGAACACTTAAGCGTGATCATCGTACTGTGAAGAGATTTGTGGCTCATTCAGAGCACAGACGGGTTTGTGCAGATAAAGGCATAATGAGGAAGGTTTCTGCCAGACAAATTCATCGGATTAAGAGAGCAGCTGCTAAAATGCCATTACAAAGCAGCAAAAAGGTATTTGAAGCTGCTGGTGCCTCTGGAGTCCTGCGAACCTCAAGGTGTAGGATCCTCCAGAGGCTTGCAGTTGTGCATAAACCTACTATTCGGCCATCCCTAACCAGTGCTCACAAGCAGAAACGGTCGCAAAAGGCCCAGACATACATGAAGACTAATTTTCAAACAGTCTTGTTTACTGATGAGTGCCGTGCAACCCTGGATGGTCCAGATGGATGGAGTAGTGGATGGTTGGTGGATGGCCAATATATCGGGGGCTGTCTTGGGCTGGAGGTTAGGGAACCAGTCTTGAGACCAGAAGGTCGCCGGTTCGATCCCCTCAGCTGACAGTGACTGAAGTGCCCTTGAGCAATGCACCTAACCCCCAACTGCTCCCCGAGCGCCATGGATAGGGCTACCCACCGCTCTGGGAAGGTGTGCTCACTGCCCCCCAGTGTGTGTGTGTTCACTAGTGTGTTTGTGGTGTTTGCATGGATGGGTTAAATGCGGAGGTCTAATTCTGATGTGTTCAGACACAGTTGGCTAAAAAAACTTTAACTTCATGTCCCAACAAGGCTACGTCAGCAAGGAGGTGGCAGAGTCATGTTTTGGGCCGGAATCGGGGAGAGAGCTGGTAGGCTCCTTTAGGATCCCTGAAGATGGTCTGACTGACCACTTTCTTCCATGGTACAAAAAGAAGAACTCATGGTGTGGCCACCATCCTCCCCTGACCTCAACCCTATTGAGAACCTTGGGAGTATCCTCAAGCAAAAGATCTGAGGGTGGGAGTCCCTTCACATCACAACAGCAGCTCTGGGAGGCTATTCTGACATCTTGCAAAGAAATTCAAGCAGAAACTCTCCAAAAACTCACAAGTTCATCGGATGCAAGAATTGTGAAGGTGATATCAAAGAAGGGGTCCTATGTTAACATGTAACTTGGCCTATGAAGATGTTTTTGATTAAAATAGCTTTTGATTTCAGTAAATGTAACCTCTTAATGCTACAAATTCAACACATGACCATTTTCGGTTCTTTACAACCTATAAAATGTTTTGAAACTGTTGTGCATAATAATTTGGAACAGTGCATTGAGTTTTTTTATTTAAAGATCATTGGGAGGTTTGTTCAATAAAATTCAATTTATACTCTAATGGTTGATGACTTTAAAATTATACTGACTGTCATTTGCATCGACCATTTAGGAAAATCAGAGAAAAATATCATTTGCATAATAATTTGGAATGTGGTGTATTTAAAGGGCTGTTAGAAACATTACGATTGTATAGATCACTAATGCAACTTGTAATCTTATGTGACAAGAGATGAGAAAAGGAGGTAAGTGGCTTACTTTTATCTCTGCTGTGATAAGGCAGTTCATTAGAAAGTCTTTCTTTAATGTCTAGAACACTTGAGCATTCACACTACAAATGCTGCATAGTCACATGTGTCCTTGACCACACTAGTAGTGGCCAGTACACCAGCTCAATTTTTCCTTAGATATGAGTTTTGTTACAACTATTATATCATTGTCCCACTAATAAGCACAGATAATGTGACACTGCAAACCACAGTAACATTATTCCCTTTAGCTGAATGTATGTTTCAGCTATGTTTCAAATTAAAATGGAAATGTTGCAGTCCCTCCATCACTTCCCCTGTCTAGTCCATTGCATCTGAAGCTGTCAACTTTGTTTTCAAGGCAGTGGATATACAGGAATGGTTGGTTTTTGAAGTTAGCCCAACAGGGACACCAGGATGTATGTTCATGCCAGGTGTAAACAGGGCCTATATTTCCAATGTAACTTACCTGAGATTTCACTGGAGCCTTCTTGGGTTTGGCAGTCAGTGATGGAGGTTCCATGGCGACCTCTCCAAACTGTACGTCATCTTCAAGAAGACAAATGACATTTTAAAATACATGTGTGGATGATTGTGAAGTATTTTCAGAGAATGAATACACAGTACAAATGTTAAATAATTCAAGGAGAATCATTACGTACCTACAAACATCTCTTTTTCCGCTCTCTCCTCACGTTGCTCAAGCTTTTTCTTATGTAGCCGCTCTAATCGTCCTTTATTAAACCTAAATAGAAAGGAAAATTAGGAAATACCAAGACCTGAATGTAGAACATGCAATGGCAAGAAAACTTAGCTAACAATAATGTACAATAATAAATATGAAATGATGAAAAACATGGGACATGAGTGAATAGATAACAGTGACAAACATATATAACACATGCCACTAACAGTATCTTTTTTTCAGATTTATGTTTGCTTGACTTTGTTTCCTTCTCCTCCAGCTGCAGCTCAGGCTGTCTCTCAGCCTGGTTTTTGGTGAGGAAGAGAACGTGCTGGGTTTCTCGAGACATGCGGCTCAGGTAAGCCGATTCTGACTCTTGCTTTCCTCTGCGAAAGTGTGGAACTGGAATATCTTCCTCTACAGAGGTTTCTGTCCGTGCTTTGGCCTTGGCATCTAAAGTAATGGATGCAAACGAAAGAAACAAAAAGTTATTATTCTGCTATTTAAGAAAGACTGCAATAAAAAGCCCATAACAAACCATCTTTTTCTGACCACAAGGCAGGAATTTCATAAACATTAAAGCCCAGATATATTAAAAGCTTGCAATGGGTGCAAGCAAATCACAGACACTTGTGCACACAAAGTTGCTAAATTTTAGCATGCTTGACATCATTAACACTCATTTTAGGGTGTGGCACTGTTGAGGCACAGATATTATGCAGAAATTATGTGAGGAGATTACACAAACAACCGGGAGTGATTTACTAACATGAACTGACCTGAATTTTTTTAGTATTTTTTAGCACATGGAGAAGGAGGCAACACTTCTTTATAAATTGTATTTTTTAATGTTATTATTGTTATTATAAACAGGTATAACCCCGTTTCCAAAAAAGTTAGGATGCTGTGCAAGATGTACATAAAAACAGAATGATGTGCAAATCATTTAAACCCTATCAAGAGTACAAAGACAATGCATCAGGATTGGAATTATTTTTAGTCAGTTCAACTTAAAGCAATTTAACCTAAAAGAAAATTAAAATTAACTATTGCCATGTTCCTTTTTTTTCAGTGTGTGTGTGTGATCACTGGAGTGAGGCATTGAAACTGGTTTTATTTAGCTTGCATAAATTTAAGTTGAATGAAAAAAAAAACATTTTTACAGTGTAAGAACTAAAAAATGTTTAGCCTATAGGCAGTTTAAATGGTAATATTATAATATTACAAAGTTCCACACAAAATAAAGGTTTTGTTGCTGTGGGATGATTGGACCTTAGATCAGACTGAGAGATCATTTGGTACTTCATTTATTTTCTTCACTGTGATTTTCCAAAGTGCTTGTTTTTAGTAGCTGAGACCCTCCCTCCTTCATTAGAAGGTCTAGCTGTTCTAGAATTTCCTGTCTGCTTTCTACAGCTTGAAACATGCTCCATGTGGATCTCTGTGCAGGATGTCCTTTTAACAGCCGATCATAGCAAATAAGGCTCAAAATAGAGCCAGCTGCCCTCAGTAAATTTTAGGATGTACTGCATGGCTTCCATGCTCTGTAGTAATTCACTTTCCAGTTTATTAGGTAGACCTACCTTATATCAACAATTAAATTTTATCTGGTACACTGACTATTAAGGTTAAGTTACGTGATGTCCTGTCAGCTCAGGGGATCAAACCGCGACCTTCTGGTCACAAATCTGGTTTCCTAACCTCCAGCCCACGACTGCACCAATTTGGGTGCACTCTGTACAGCTTGTAAATAAACATGAACCGCAGCCCATCCGTTGCTGCACAATTTGTCAGCCACCTCTACCTTACCCATCAAAGTAAAGGGACCACCATAAGACCACCACTGATCAGATACTGTCTGAGTGATTGACTATTCTCAGCACAGCAGTGACTCTGACATGGTAGACACTATGACACTAACACACCACCACATCAGTGTTTATGCAGTGCTGAGAATGATCCACCACCCAAATAGTACCTGCTCTGTGAGGGTCCACTGGGGTCCTGACCACTGAAGAACAGGGTAAAAGGGGGCTAACAAAGTATGCAGAGAAACAGATGGACTACAGTCTGTAACTGTAGAACTACAAAGTGCACCATATAGTAAGTGGAGCTGATAAAATGGACAATGAACGTAGAAACAAGGAGGTGATCATAATGTTATGCCTGATCGGTGTAAATACATACATACTAGGCTCTGCTATATAGTTAAAACAACACTACCAATGCTTTTGGAGGGCCACTCCTAATTAAAGGGGTGGAGCCCACTGAGTGCTTTTCATACCCCTCATGATTTTCTTCAGCTTGCTGGATCCCATTTTCATTCTCTCTTTGCTTTTCATAATTTCACGCAGACGAAAAGGTATCTGCTCCAGATGTTCTTCAAGTCGAGGTTTCACATCTTTCTTCGGCTTCTTTTTCTTGTTGTTAAAACTAAAAATCAAATTAGAAGTGATAGAATTAAACAAATAAAACAACTAAACAGTGATTTCATTTAGAAATAAAACTAAAAAAGTAAGCTATTTTGATGCTGGCATTCAGAATACATAAATCAGAGACAAAACCCATACATTAGGAGTAAGAAAATCAAATGATACATTGCTGAAGAGGGATTTTTTTTAATTTATCAGTCATTAAGATGTAAACAAATCATTCACAGTGGTTTGATGTTAAATGTGCCAATCAGGAGAAACTTGCCAAATCAGAACTGTTAACAGTGGTAATGACAGGAACCAGACCTCCGAAGAGGTTAATGCGTCTGAATACGTCACAGAAAGATATTTTACATAAAGTGGTCACGAATACACTGCCTGATGCCCCACACACTGTTTTATGATAGTTTTAAGAAGATTTATTATTGACTAACCTGTCAAACTGAATTTCTTTTTTATGTGCTGTCAGGTTACCAAAAATAATCAGACAAAGTTGAACATTGTCATATTTAAATTCATAATTCATGCTTCACAATAAATCTTCCACTCAATAAACATTGATCAGCTACTCAGTAGTACAAGTATTAGTTTTGGCGCATGCTCTTTTATTCACGATCACATTCGGTTTATTTATGTTAACTGATGGCTAAAGCTTACAGAGCCCCCGGAGGGGACGGAGGTAAAAAAAAAAAAAAAAATTAATTTGAGTGAACGTTTTGCAGTTCGTATGCACGTTTTCTTTTATTCATGGTCACGATTTCTTAAATCGTTCCCACGTTTTCTTTTAATCGTGGTCATGTTTTATTTTTAATTGAGTGCACGTTGTTTGTATTTTGATAACAGCTTCCTGAGACAGTCTGACAGGTTTTGATGTGTTAGATTGATGAGAAAATGAACAGAGATGCTCATCAGGTCTGATTTTGATTTGGAGGGTTATGAGGAAACTGCAGCTCCTCTTCACAGCAAACGGCCCACGGTGTTTCTGCTCCCGTGTCAAGCTGCGGTGTTAGAGACCATCATACAATTAAAAAAAGAAATGATCAGCGTTTCAACATCCTCACATAAATATATCTACATCAAATCCATAGATCTATTAAACTCTCTTGCCATTTGACCTCATCCCACATTAATGTTTCTGTGTGTGTTTGAGTTTGTTGAAACGTTTACGCTGACCATTTCTTCCTGTAATTGTGTGATGATCTTTAACACTGCAGCTTGTCGCGGGAGCAGAAACAGCGCTAAGCGGCTGCGCTGCGTCTATATATCTGTTAAATATGATCATTAGAAAGTGCAGTTAAGATTGTGGTTGTAGTTTATTGTCTTCCTTCATTTCACCACCAAACTGCAGCTGCACTGATGAATCTGAGGGCCGTGTGCTGTGAAGAAGAGCTACAGTGTCTTCATAACGCTCCAAATCAAAATCATAACTGATGAGCATCTCTGTTCATCATCTCATCAATTTAACACATCAAAACCCGTCACACAGTGTCAGGGAGCTGTTACTTCCTTCTGCACAGAAGAAATAACACAACCTGTATCTACTACATTGATTTTGCGCACGAATAAAAAAAATAAACAACGTGCGTTCAGTTAAAAATGAAACATGACAACGATTAAAAGAAAACGAGAGAACGAATAAGAAACTCGTGATCGATTTAAGAAAGGGAACGATTTAAGAAATCGTGACCACGAATAAAAGAAGACGTGCGTACGAACTGCAAAACGTTCGCTCGAATTATTATTATTTTTTTTTTTTACCTCCGCCCACTCCGGGGCTCCGGAAAAAAAACTTAATGTAGTTGTTTACACTTAGTAAGTCACTTTGTCTGTGTGTTGACTCACGTAGGAATCATCTACAGGACACAGAAAAGCATCAGACAACACTGACATCCTCTACAAATGTCAATGAAGTAAGCTACTGGTGCAGAAACGTGGGAAATCGGATTACAGTAGAAGGTAAGTTAAACTAACAACACCGTTGCTGAAAGGCGATACGACTCAATTCACATTCTATCACAGATTACAATAATTTACTATTACCTTTTATTCTTCTCCTTCTTCTGTTGGTCAGAGGACTTTGCAGCTTTTTGGCTAATTTTGGCCATGTTTGCAGTTTACCTTCTCTTCTGTCTCAGACCCATATGGCAAAACGTTTCCTCTTCTTCTACTATCCTGACGTGTTACCGACAGGAACGACACCGCCACCTACCGACTGCTCTGTGTAGAGCGCCAACTCTAACTAAGGAAGGGACTTTTATTCGGCCCAGCGGTCTCAGTATGGTTAGACTCAAACCAGTGAAAAATTATTTGCGTTTTATCAACAAAACCGAGTAAAAAAAAACTACCCAATAAAATCTCGTTTCCCAGTTGATTTATTGTTGAGTTGCGGTTGACTTAGGCCTGATTTGATGAAATATTAAAAGTCCATTGCATGGGCAGAAAATTAATAAGAATACAAATACATATGAAAAAATAGGCAAGGCATTCAAAACGTTATCTTTTATTAATATAAATGTGAACTTAAGGAAAACACAGTGAAAAGAGTCAAAAATCAGATTTGATGGCGTTCAGCATTTATCTTTAGCAGTCAGTGCATTTACCAGAGCCGGTTTATGAGGAGCCTGGCCTCTTACTATTTTCTCCCGTTATATCAAAAACATGACTACAAAAGGCCAGAGGGCGCCTGCGAGCGAGTCCTCAATGAATGGGTTGATTGTATTCTCTTACATTAAAAATGTTTTAGCATTTATAAATATGATTTTGCTCAAATGCTCCATCTTAACTCATTCATTTTGGACTCACGCCCTCTAGCGTTTAAAAAACGCGGAAGACATTACCGAGTGGTAATTATCCTCTCTACAAGTTCTCTGCATGTAAACTATTTGGCTAAAAGTATATGGGCACACCACCTAATTATTCAGTCCATGTGTTTCCCAAGTGGTTGCTAGGGACTTGCTAGGCAGTTGCTATGGTATCCAAAATGATTGCCATGGTGTTGCCAAGTGCTGGCTATGGTATCCCAAGTGGTTGCTAGGGTGTTGCTAGGTGATTGCTATGGTATCACAAGTAGTTGCTAAAGTGATGCTAGGCAGTTACTATGGTATCCAAAATGGTTGCTAGGGTGTTGCCATGTGCTGGCTATGGTATCCCATGTGGTTGCTAGGGTGTTGCTAGATGTTTGCTATGGTATCCCTGGTGGTTGCTAGGGTGTTGCTGGGCATCTGCTATGGTATCCCAGGTGGTTGCTAGGGTGTTGCTAGATGGATGCTATGGTATCCCAGGTGGTTGCTAAGGTGTTGAATTCAAGTTACTTACTTTCAAATCAAGATTATTTATTTATTTATTTATTTATTTATTTATTCATCCATTCATTCATTCATTCATTCATTCATTCACAAGTTCCTCTGATATAGAAAAGGCCGAACTTTAGCAAATTTTCTCAAATGATATTAAGATACTTTAGTGACTGGGTTTACATGTGGGATAAAACAGAGCTCAGAATCTAAGATTACAACCAGATTTCATACTTCAGGTTGGTATATAAAGCTAAAGGAGCTCCTCATAAAGCAGCTTTTTCTAAGTTTTAGTACCAACTGTCAGTTTTTCAGTTTTTTCATGATTTAGTTGTAGAACATTTTGTGACATCCACTGAGAAATATCTGACACACAGCTGATTAGTCTGTCTACATAGTCCTGATTATCAGAAGAAATGGAAATGTATAATTGTGTGTCATCAGCACAGCTATCAAAAAAATTACATTATGTTTCCTAATGACATCACCTAAAGGTAGCATGTACAAAGAGAAAAGCAAAGGCCCTAAAACTGAACCTTGTGGGTATTTTTTTTTTAAATTAAAGATTTCCCAGTGAACCATGAACTGCCTATTAAATAAATAAGATTTAAACCAGGCATGTCAAACTGGGGACCTTTCGGGCCAAAGTGCTGCAGAGATTAGTGTTTACCCTCATCTAAAGCTCTGAATTCAGTTAATGAAGGCCTTGCTAATTAGCTAATGAGCTGAATCAGCTGTGTTCAATGAGGCAGCATGCAGAAGTCTACAGTGTTTTGGCCCACAAGGACTGGAGCTTGACACATTTAAACCTTTCTAAATTTGTGCCTAAGAGGCCTACCCAGTATTTAAGAGGATGGATTAGAATCTTGTGATCAACGGTATCAAAAGCTGATCCAATAAGACCAGAATAGAAAGATTTTGTGCATCAGTGCTAAACCTGAGATCATTCACAACATGAACCAGTGATGTCTGAGTACTACGGTTAGAACAAAAACCTGACTGAAACTTCTCATATAACTTGTTTAACATTAGATATGCATTTAATTGTTTGAAAACAGCTTTTCTAAGACTTTATTTAAAAAAGAAAGGCTTAAATTGGTCTAAAATGATTTAGTATGGAAGGATCTATGCTGCTCTTTTTTTAACAGAGGCTTCAAAAGGCAGTTTTAAAATCATCTGGAAAAGCACCTGTTGACAGAGAAAAATTAACAATAGTTAAAACATCACTTTGAACACAGTCAAAAACCATCTTAAGGAGAGAAGTAGGAATGTGGATGAAATTTATTTGTTTATAACAGTAGTGAGCTTCTGATAACTGATAACAGAGAAAGATGTCATTACTGATGTAGGTGAACATTGTATGAGCTGTTTTAGCTGGCTGAGCTATGCTCTGTGTTATCAAGGATATTTTATTTTGAAAATGAATTGCAAACCCTTCACGAGTTTTAGAAGATAAATCACCATGAGACGCACTAGCAGAAAAGCTGGGGTTAATTAGTCGGTCTGTGGTGAAAAAATGGATTTTGGTATGATCCTTGTGTTTATTAATTACACTAGGTATGACTGGATATTTTAATAGCATTATTGTAAGTGGATATCTGCTTTGTAAGAAGTTAAGTGGGCACACTTGCCTAGAGTGCCTGGGGAGCAGTTGGAGGTTAGGTGCCGTGCTCAAGGGCACTTTAGTCATGTCCTGTCGGCTCAGGGGATCAGAGCAACGACCTTTGGAGCTAATAAATGGTAGAAAGTTAACAACACTCAGAATGAGGGATTGCTACACTCTTTACTGTTGTTCCTAATGCTTTCTGATGATCGCCTACAGGACTAGGTTAAGGGTAAACTGAGCTCTGAGTTGAGTGGCAGCCTTCATGAGCTGCTGGTTCAGCTTTCACACGGCTGCACTTTATGTACAGGTCCACAAAATGAAACAACAGATAAGAGGCCATTACTATTTAAAGTGTTACAGAGGTTATAGACAGTGTTACAGAGGTTATGGGATTCCAAGGACAGAAGACACAAAGCAATAACATTTGATGTTGTTGTTGTTAAAGAATATGCATTACTGTGTGTTAAACAACCTGCCAAACAACAGGTGACTGATGATAGTAACAGATTACAATAATTATAAAGATAAAGAGCGGTTTTGCAGAAGAATCATAGATAAGTAATGTTTGGGGGGCACGGTTTCTTCTTTGACCCAGTTTGAAGTGTATGTATAGTGAAGCACAACTCTTGTTTGCACAATACATAATTTGGCTTAATGATGTATAGATAAGCATAACTTAATAATATGACATAACCAATACTGATTCATTGTCTTATGTTTTAAAAAAACAGCTCCTCCCCTGAACAACTTGTTTTAAAGACTTGCCTCAAGCATGTTGTTGAGCATCAGAAACAATTTAAAGAGAGAGATTTTAACTTTATAATGGCTTTAGTGGAAACCCTACTCCTGCAGGGTACCAGCACAGGCATATTACTTGGTGGTGTGGTGCTGCTGGTGGTTGTTTATTTACTTTTCTCTGGCTTGAGCTTTAAGGAAGAGGACAATGAACCTCCAGGACCCAAACCGCTACCTGTTTTGGGTAACCTGCTCCAGCTGGATCTGGATAGACCCCCTGAGTCTCTCTGTGAGTTGAAAAAAAAAACAACAAGCATGTATTTCACATGTATTTCACATGTATTTGCTAATGAATGTTAAACTCTGTGTTCTACAGCTTGCCAAAATGTATGGATCAGTGTTCAAAGTATATTTTGGTCCTAAGAAGGTCATTGTCTTAGCGGGATACAAAACAGTCAAAAGAGCTTTTGTTAACTATGCTGAAGTTTGTGGAACGAGAAATCACAGTGATATTCAAGAACTTTGAAGAACATGGTAAAAATAGCCAAAAAACATCTGCACTTGCTTCCATATGGTTGAGCTTAAAGGGGAATTCCTGTAATTTTTTTTTTTTTTATTTCTGCATAACTACACAGTAAACAAAGTAGTTCAAAGTGATTTGACATGAAATGCTCCATTCTAGAAAAAACTTACCGAGTCAGAATTGTTCACAGATGATATGAATCAGATCTCTAAATAGCTAACTGCCTCTAAAAGTTCCTCACAGAAAGCTGTTACATGAAATTGTTATAAATACAATGCCTGAGGTGTTGTTTTATGATAGTTTTGAGATAAGGGTTTGGCTTATAATGTAGTTGTTTAAACACATGCATGGTGGAGAGGTGCATGCTGGGAGCTAGAAGGCAAAATAGTTTTTTTTGGATTTAAAGGCATTCATCATCATCAAAATTACATTATAGTAATTTATAGTACATACAACGAGTGTATTTGTCACTTTGTGACACCTGGTTCCTATCACCACCACTGTAAAATATGAACTGGTAAGTTTATCTACAATAAACCATTTCACATCTAAAACTCTGAATGACTTTGCAGAAAATATGCAGATAATTCATTCAAACATGAACACAATTTGTAATGATCTGTTAATTAATTAATGAATCATATATACAATTTGTGTTTGTGTGAAACATAAAACCTTTGTGTTTTGTGTCTATAGGTATACTGTTTTCTAACGGGGAAAACTGTAAAGAGATGAGGCGCTTTGCCCTCACCAAACTCCGAGACTTGGAATGGGCAAGAGGGGGAGTGAGGAGAAAATTATTGAAGAAATTCAATACCTTAAAGAAGTGTTTGAGAGCTTTGGGGGCAATAATAATACCTTTATTACTACTATCAATGGCTTTTTTATATAGCACCTTTCATGCATAAACATTTTTCACAAGTACTTCACCTTGTGACAATAAAACAGTAAAACATTGTAAATAAAACAGTGCAGTAAAAAGGAAAAAAAAAAGGAAAAAAAAAAGGAAAGTGTAATACGGACTGTATAACCTTTGG